TTAAAACGAGATTAGGTTATTTTAGATTTTGATTATTCTTAAACGTTAATTTGTGTTTATAATTTCTATTGTCTATTTTTAATAAATAAAACTATGAAAAATACAATATTTAAGGTGTTAATTTTGAAATGAATTCAAAAATTAGGAAAAAATCGATTATTTTTTTAAGAAATATTGATCTTTCTTGCTAAAAATACAATGAATTAATAAAAAATAGATATTTTATGCAGAATGTCACACTGCAAGGCCGCGTTCGTCATTTGTTTCGGTAAACGATGACGCAATATCAGACTTAGTCCATTTGTAGTTTGAGGCTTGAGCGGTACTGGCGTGATTTTTGATAGGAAATAGGAATACATCTACATAAAAAATTATTATCAGTTTTTTATCGTAGCGTTAAGCAAATCGTTTTCTGCGCATGTCCAATCACGTAACACATTTAGCAAACTCGTCATCTTGGAGCGTGTTAGACTTAGGGTGAGATCTATAGTGCGCACTTAGGGTGAGATCTATAGTGCGCACTTAGACTTTGCTCTGACTTAACTATCGAGCTAAGACACAGTCGGTATTTATAGAGCAAACTACGAATCTCTCCCTAGTGTTGGCTTAGCTTAATCTCAAGTCCACGAAATCGACGACTTACCAAAAACTTTGACTATAAGCCTAACAAAAATAATGGCCCAAAATTTGCTTTACCATCATATCTTTTACTGGACTTTTTATTTTTGTCGGTTTTTAATGAACGGTGTTGCCATTTTGTATCGGAGTTCCATAGACTTTGGGAAAAATAGAATTTGAATTCAAAGAAATTATAAATGATCTTGATAAATACCTATGAAATGCATGAAATAAAATAATTACACATTATTATGGTATTTATTGTTGTTTATTTATATTATTTATGTAATTGTTCAAAGCCCATTTTTTGAGAAATCTTAAAAATAACTGGTGTGATTTTGTATGTCACCTGGCAGCCCTGGCAATTGGCATATTATAGTGACAACGAAATTCAAACTATAACCTAACCAAAACATTGCGATCCGTTCTACGTAATAAAATTATTGTCATCTTTAAATAATTAATACATTTTCTAAAGGTTACTCGTGAATTTCTAGTTATTGCAATAATAAAATAAATGAATACATAAATAACAATAAATTGAAGATATATGTGTACCGTTTTAGATTTTTAAATATTTGTTATTGTTAACTTTTTTAAAGGATAATAAACAAAGTATTGCATGAAATGAAACATCAATTTGTATTTTGACATTTTCTGTCTTAGCTTGGGCTTAGCTTAATCTCACCGTTAAAATGTCTATAAATACGAAATCATAGTTTAACCTTAGTGTACACTAAGCAAAGTTTTTCGTAAGGTAAGTCTGAGCAAAGTCCAAGTGCGCACTATAGATCTCACCCTTAGACTTTGCTCTGACTTAACTATCGAGCTAAGACACAGTCGGTATTTATAGAGCAAACTGCGAATCTCTCCCTAGTGTTGGCTTAGCTTAATCTCAAGTCCACGAAATCGACGACTTACCAAAAACTTTGACTATAAGCCTAACAAAAATAATGGCCCAAATTTTGCTTTACCATCATATCTTTTACTGGACTTTTTATTTTTGTCGGTTTTTAATGAACGGTGTTGCCATTTTGTATCGGAGTTCCATAGACTTTGGGAAAAATAGAATTTGAATTCAAAGAAATTATAAATGATCTTGATAAATACCTATGAAATGCATGAAATAAAATAATTACACATTATTATGGTATTTATTGTTGTTTATTTATATTATTTATGTAATTGTTCAAACCCCATTTTTGAGAAATCTTAAAAATAACTGGTGTGATTTTGTATGTCACCTGGCAGCCCTGGCATATTATAGTGACAACGAAATTCAAACTATAACCTAACCGATGTCTCTCGCTTCACATCTGTTATTTTCGTTTCCCTGAATCTTCTACCATTTATTACCTGACTACCCTAAAAAATTTGAGATAGGAGTGGAACATATGAAATTAAAAAATCTGTTAGAAATAGAATTTCTTCAACAAAAATATAAATTAGTATTAGAAATATGTATTACACTTAAAAAAAGAATCAGAAAATAAATGATTAAAATGAAACAAGTTTTGTTTTGATATTCTTTATTACCAAACAAATTACCTAGTTAAATTGTGCAATCACAGATTGCCGGAATGCTAGACCTGTAGGAGATCTTTCATTGTTTCTGTGTTACTCAACTTCTGCTATCAGCAAGATCACCATCATCATAAGCATCGCCTCTCTGTATTATATTATGTGTCCTATATTATGCAATACAGCACAAGCTATAATTATATATAACTAGTATTTGTCAATTTTGACTGTAGTCCTAGCTGTAAACATGGAAATTTCCTTTTCACACTCCGAAAAACCTTTAAAAAATATGCCTAGTTCTTATTTGAGAATAATTATAAATATTGTCAGCTCTTGTCATTGGATTTAAAAGTGTTGTTAACATGAAGTTAAGTGCTGGATAACTGCTGTCACCTACTAAAACAGGCATTTTCTAAATATCCTGCTGTCGTGTGAACTGCCAGGCCACCTAGTCACTATAGCAAATATTTCCATATCAGGCCCTATTATTGCTTGCACATTTACATAAAAATACCCTTTTTTATTTCTGTATGCTTCAGAGTGAGCGATACCTTTGGGTCTATTAATTTTTATATGGGTGCAGTCAATAGCTCCGATTATACTGTTTAGGCCATGGTGAGTATTAGATCTTCCTAATTCTTCAAACTTCGTTTTGGCTGTGTTCATATTTCTTGGAAAATTTACAAATCTAGGAAGTAATTTACTCAACTCTGCAGAGACCTTATTTATAATTAAACAGACTGTAGATTGGCTTATGCTGTTCAGATCACCACACACCATCTGTAATGTCAATAAAGTATTATTAGTCACATATATGTTATGTTTCTGAAAGTCAGAAGACAAAAGTCTTCAACATATGTACTATTTAAAATCATTTGAGAAGAGGTATAATATATCAAATTGAAAAACCATACATATTTATGAACACAATATTACCTGAAAACATCCAGTTGCATTTTTATGCCTTAATGCTATAAGTATTTGCAATTGCGGTAGGTTTGGCGATCCTCTGTTGTTATAAGGTTGCAAGTTTGTAATGATCAGCGTCAGGATCACATTTAATACCGTGTGTTTCAAAATACGGTTCCTTCTTTTGAATTCATTCTCACCGTACAGGATGGAAGGATTTTGGTTTTATTAGTTCCGAACATATACAACACTTTAGGCATTCGTGGATTCATATCAGCTGCAGTTCCTACCCTTTCAATGTTTTCTATTGAAGATAGAACTCTCTCTCTCCATCATGTCACTTTCGATATTGATATTTCCAAGCGGTCCATGTAACAAAGCCAAATCACAAAACGTCACAGTGCTTCGGGAATGCGTAGGTCTTAAGTAGGTATACGATCCAGATTGGTCCAGGTCCAAGTCACAAAGCCAGTCGTTGTTTTGAAGAAAGATCAATTTAATAAATTGAAGTGGTTCAAAATTTTCAATTGTTGATAGTTGATACAAGTGCTCTGTTGCTGTTGTCAAAACATTGCGATCCGTTCTACGTAATAAAATTATTGTCATCTTTAAATAATTAATACATTTTCTAAAGGTTACTCGTGAATTTCTAGTTATTGCAATAATAAAATAAATGAATACATAAATAACAATAAATTGAAGATATATGTGTACCGTTTTAGATTTTTAAATATTTGTTATTGTTAACTTTTTTAAAGGATAATAAACAAAGTATTGCATGAAATGAAACATCAATTTGTATTTTGACATTTTCTGTCTTAGCTTGGGCTTAGCTTAATCTCACCGTTAAAATGTCTATAAATACGAAATCATAGTTTAACCTTAGTGTACACTAAGCAAAGTTTTTCGTAAGGTAAGTCTGAGCAAAGTCCAAGTGCGCACTATAGATCTCACCCTTAGTCGATATGGTTATTAATTTTCGAAAGTATTTTTATTAAACCCTTAATGATATTGAACCGGAGAAATTATATGTTTTTAATTAATTTTAAAGAATAATCTATATTTTCAGTGAAATCATCTTATTGTAATATTTATTGTGTGAAGAAAAGGTTAAAGGTGGTCTATAAATATAAAATCATTCATTGACATAGGTAATGTGAGAAACAATTCCACTTAGAATTTACATATCTAAAGTAACCTTAGATCTCTATGAGCTATCTGCTTAGCATGAGTACGATTTCATTTTGCCAACGTGTTTTGTTTTATACTTATGTTAATTATTGTCTTATCTTATGTATTAATTCAAGGCTACGTGCAATAAAACATAGTCGAGGTCATAACATTTTCTATTTAATATCTCAAATTACACACATCGTATTGTCGTCTGGTAACTCTTAAACGACTAAAGTTGAATATAAATTCTGATGAAATATTTCAAATTACTGAAATACCTACTATATACAATACGAGAAAGCTATTTTAAGTTAAGAATACATAAATTTGCGTAGTAGATATATAACTTTAATACAAAATGAGAAATTCCTACAAAAATAAGTTCATGTCGTAATATTAAAAAATCTACTTAAACATATAAGTCTTTTTCTTACAAATATACTAGAAATAACCCAACACAGCACTGTCAAATTTCTTCTATACATAAAGGCAGGACTTACTACAATAAATTGTAAATGATACCATGAAAAACTGTCGACATATTCAATATGCAATGCATTATTAAATGGTGCAAAATTTTTCAATAAAGGAACAAAAGTAAAATACAATAATAGCTCCACGTACTAAAACAATTGCATACGACAAGAGTAAGTTAGTCTTACGTCTAAGAGGTAACAGTACAGGACACTCAATTTCCTTTTATAGAAGCAGGTTCAATGTTAATTATAAACCGTAGTTTCAGTCAAGTCTTAATTATTCCTTTCATCCAGTTAGAAGTCCTAAAGACAAATGACAGGCGGTAAAGTTGGTTCCAAAAGTCCCTGGCGTAAAGCCGTAAGTATGGGCCAAGGCCTGCAAGCACAGGACCCAGTCCAATCGTCAAGGTCCATCGCCCATAACGCAGCGCCTCTGAGTCCCTCAAGGGCAATGGAGGCAGACATTCGATGGACCTCTTCGGGCCTCAAGTAAGTGACCCATTGGGAACCGGAGACCACATACGTTCCTGACGGACTAGCTGAGATCTTCCAGTTATCTAATTTTCCTTTGCATATCTGTAACAAGATCGTGATTTTAGAAGTGGTTATGGTGGTGTTTCTTCGCTAACACGTACTATTGCAAAATTGTCTACACAAACTTTTGAACATTGTCAATAAAATGGATAATGAGTGGAAGATATTCAATTTTGAAGTACTAAAACATTGAATCTTTGAATGTAATAAAATATTCATCTAAATTTATATACCTCATTATATGCGAGGAATCCGGGAACTTGAGTACTTTCCCCGGGTTCGCCAGGCGCAATGGCCAATGCCCCGGGGACAGCATTCGTCTCAGAGCGCAGGGTGTATGAACGGCCATATGCCGGTACGCTTAACACTAACCGGTTACTTGGAACTATACTTTTCCAGTATTGTATTATTGATTGCTGAAAATAAATAATAAATGGTTATAATGACCAAAACAAAAATATTAAAAGGAATATGCCGGCTACGCTCTCGCGAGCCCCCTGGCATTTACAGTGTCCATGGGCGGCGGTATCACTAAACTTCAGATGAGCCTCCTGCCCGTTTGCCCCTATATTGTTCTATAAAAAATGCTTTTCAAGTAAGAAATTCGGTTTAACATTAGTACTTAAAATTAAGGAAATTAAAGTAAGTAAAATCTGTGAAATTAAATTTTACCCAAAATAATCATCTTTTCATATAAAATATAATGAAATTAATCACATTCTTTAGATTCTACTTTTATGCGTTTACAAATATCAAGCTTTTGGTAAAGAAATCAAAGGACGTATATTACTAATTCGTGATAAATAATTTTTAAAAGTTCTTACAAAGTTATCCATTTCATTTAGTTCAGTCTTCTCAAGTGGCAACAGATAAGTGGTCTTCTCATTCGTGCTATAGTAATCGTTAGCTGCTATGCTAATCCAGTCTAGAGTAGAAAGAGTTTCAGGGTCGTAAGCCAGCGCTGCTATTTGTGGATGAGGGGAAACCATAGCGGAGACCTCCAGGTTATGACGCTGGAATGCCTTTGAGAGAAGAGTCAAGAGAAGACTGAAGTTCTCCTTTTCTTCCACCTTGTTGTTTGAGCATGGAACCTGTATTAATTAAAGTTAATAAGTCAGAATCAGAACACTAAACATACAGATTTGTTGTTGACCCTAAAGTAAAGAGATCGTATTCGATTAACATTAGCACATTTACTTCTTGTTTGTTGTCATTCTTATTATTTATACATATAGATATATCTTTATATATATATATTTTATATAATTCTATTGTACGTGTGTATGTCACTGATCTCCTTTGACCTAAACTGATTTGAATGAATTTTTTATATGCGTTTGGGTGGCGCCCTGGATGGTTCAAACCAGCCCGGCAGATGGTGCTATCTAGGTTATTTATCTATACTGCAACCAAACAGCTACAGGTACGAGATTCGGGTTGTTTACCTAACTGGTAGAGCTGTTGGCGCGTAACCAAACGATTTGGGTTCGATTCCCAGTCTGAACAGCCCGAATTATTTTTCGTTTCCCGAAAAAGATTTCCACTGAGTAAGGTCCTCTTTCCCCTGATCTTTATCCTTATCGCTTGAAATGTCATGCAGGACAACGTCTGTGGGGTCGGCTAGGCTATAACCTATATTTCGATATACAATAGTCTTCCGATGTCGATTTCTGAAAAAAAAACACTAAGAACAAATCACTCACTTGTTTACATACAGGATACTGCCACGCGAGTTGTAGTCCATCGAAATTCCACTTTTGTATGAATTTCAGCGCGGATTTTACAAATATTTTCCTGTGGTCAGATTTAGACACCATTTCACTCCAAGTATTTCCTTCCGAATTTTCAATACCACCCACTCCCAAAATAACCTTTATACCCATTAGTTTGTATTCCGTAATTTTGCCATAGAAATCTAAAAAAATTAACGACTTAGAAAAAATACAATAATATGTCATGTTTTTAATTTTATTGTTTAAGATTTTTACAATTTGCAAAAGAATTCATTTAAGTAGCGTACGTAAGTAATGAATAATAATATCTTTAAAACTGTGAACATTTTTAGTACTAATATTATAAACATAAGTTATTATTTAATTTATTTGTTAAGAATTAATAAATTTATCTTTCAACTTATTAAAAAACCAAGAATGGCTACAGCTAAGCGAGGGGAATTAAGAATTATTACACTTTTTAAATATTTTAATTTTCTCATACTATTTAATTTACCTGATTATAATAATATGTAATACTTTATTTAAGGCATTTTTTCAAACTTACCATTAACAATATCCAGCTCTGGATTTCCAGCTGAGAGGGTGAAATTGTTGTCAAGGTGAGCCCATGAGTAAATAAGGTGTGTGCACAATGACGGGTCTACTTGCTGAGGTCCAAAGCTGCCTTCATCCTTCCTGCGTCATAAAGATATTTCGGTTAAAACTAACATATAACCCTTGATGGCTAATCTTAACTTGTCGGGACTAACTACTACTAATATGTTTCTTTAAAAAAAAATCTGATAAGATAAAGTTAATCTAGTTTGTAATACGGACTCGTCTGACGTTGTCACACACACCCAGGTCTTAAATACAAATAAAACCATCATCTAATTGTAAATAATTCTCGAATGCACATGACCACATACAAACAATTTCATCAAAATCGCTCCAGTCCTTGAGGAGGAATTTAATAACCCACGAACAGAAGATTTATAAATAGGTACTTAAAAAGACAATAATTGTATGTAGTTTGTAGTTTTTGAAACTAAAAAATGGGCTGTTATATTATTAAATTCTAAACAAGAAAAAGATTCGTTAGCATTTAACTAAAAACTTGTACCACGATATCGTGGAAGTTTCTATGGAAAAAATATAGGTACATAAGATAAAACTTTATGTATGATCTAATGACTTTAGCCTGGTCGCAATGCGAATAATAATAAAAATTATCACATTCTATGCAATATTTAAAAAAGAAAAATTTAGATTTTGGATGTGCATGTTACGTAGTTTTTTTTAATTCAATACATAGTGCACTTAAAGAATATTGAACGCTTTGGTCCGTTTATACAATGGCAAGTAACACGCGTTTGTTTATAGCGTGATCTTAATGTACCTGTAATATGCCCAATTAGTGAAGTAACACGCGATGATGGGCTTCTCAGTCATTATCACGTCTTGATCCGAACTCAGTTTTAAATTAGCTTTGTTCTTGCAATTTGACTTTGCTGCCCAATCACAATGATTCTGAAATATAAATACACGTTATAGTACTATGTTATGTGATGTGGTTGTTTGCGACGACGGTGTTTTGCATATTCGCTTCAATGAAGAACTTTATAACACCTTTGACAACACCAACATCGTCCAATTTATAAAATGCATCAAGCTCAAGTGGTTGGGACGTGCACCGAATAGCGGAAGACGTTCTGTCTTGTCCAAGGTCATTACTGAGCTAACAACCCGGTGGCAAGAAAAAACCCGGTAGACCGAGGCTCCGATGTCGTGGAGTTGTCAAGGGCCTCGAAATAATACTAAAAACGTTTTTCTTTTTTTTTGTTATATACTCGAATTGAGAGTTACATTAATAATTTTATCAAAAAAAAATAACCGCTCAACAAGCCATATAAAATGTCATATTAATATCATAATGTCATAATAATAATAACAGTTAAGTTGTAATTGTTGTTAAAACTTATGGTCCTATACTCTCCCAAGCTATTAAAGAAAATATAAATTTTTAAACGAAAAGTGTTCTTCCTTTAGCTTGTCCATGCAAAGCGTATTTCCGAAATATTTTTTTGTTGCATACAATTTGATTCGCATTGATAGTTTACAGAAATTCTCATCTATTATAAACACTAAATTAAGAACTGCTTTATAAACTTAAAGTGGTTTAAAGTTTAACAGAGGTTTAATATAGAATTAATATTTTAATTACCTGGTTCCATACTAATGGTGGCGGACAAGCAAGCTGCATATAACGACCTCCAATACATAAGTAGTACTTAGTACAATCGACTGCGTCTGCGCGGAACCCACTCGTACACGACGATCCTTCTATTGAAGTTACCTTCATGGGAATTATTTCCATTAGAAAGGAATTTTAGGTCAGCTACTATCAACAACAAACATTATTTCTTATAGAATCTAAACGAATTGTACTGGTTCTTCAACTTTCAAGGGAATATTATAATAACGGACAATTTCTAATTTCTTACCTCAATATCAGTGTCTATTTCTGTATCAGCTAAAGGAGGACTTGTAGTTTGCACAGGCTGAAGTGCTGTCGTAGCTTCCATGCTCGGTGGAATTTCAACTGTGATAAAAGCTTTTACTTTTAAAGTACTGGATACGAAATATCTACGATAAATCAGTGGCGCTACAACTTTTTTAGGTCAGGGCCTCAGATGTATGTATATGATCATGATCATTTGTCAATCTAATACTCTAATAGCCTCCTGTGCCTGACACACGCCGTCGACTTTTTGGGTCCAAGGTCTCTAAGGGTTTCCTAACGATGTATTCCTTCACCGATCGAGCTATGTTAAATGCGCCCATAGAAAAAAAGTATATTGGTGCACAGCCGGAGATCGAACATACGACCTCAGTGATGAGAGTTGCACGCTGAAGCCACTAGGCCAACACTGATCTACAAAGCTATACATATACAAATATATAAAACAACAGCGCAGTAACTTTTCTACTGTCTTCGTGGCGTAAATTACATGTTAATTAGGATAAGGAACTCGAAGAAAATCTTCCCCGTTCTACAGATTTCTAGCTAGAAAATTCAAACATCTCTGATCTACCAAACATAATACGTGAGACAGTTCAGTGTAGTTCCTAAATAAAAAATCTACCAACCCCAAATAGTTAAAGTGCTATAGGTATCCAGGAACTATATAATAGAGTTTTACTCACTTTCTTCTAGTCCACATCTAGTTGGAGCATCATGCCCTCTTAAAACATGGTTGATGGTTGTAAGCAAAGGATATTTCCCACATCCGCAATATTTGCCCGTAAAATCATCTAAATCCAGGGCCCAAATCATGGCCCCTCCTAAGTCCATGGCGCGGACATATTCAGCTTTATGACGAATCATAAAATCGTCGTCAAAGGAGACCCATTGGTCGTGTAATGTGGCGTAAGGTCCCATACGACCTCCGGGGTCCCGGCGGACCCGCCAGCCTTGGACTCGAATGCGTTCACAAATCTGAAATAGTATGACTCTTTGCACTGTTCTCACCAAGAACCACCATAATTCTATCCGTGTGTTCTGTCTGTATACTCTTATATCCAAAAAGTATAATTTATGAACATCAAAAAAAGTTATAATGTTCTAAATTTACATTTACTGCAATTGTAAATTTAGAACATTTAGACAAGAAGAATCTTTTTCCTATCTATCATTGCCAATATTCATTTACAAGGAGCTTATAAGAAGACGCAATCATAACAAATAAATCACACGAATAAAAAACGATGGTTTAGCTTCTATCAGCAGAAGGCAATAGGCATGGCGAAAAGGAGCACGCCCTTACATATGAACATAAATCTTAAAATTACAATAGCATCAACCCACCATAACATTATTTTAAAGGAATTGTTATTTATTTTTTAAGGTTAATTAAATTCTGTGTAGATCAGAATATTTTATTATTTACCTCATAGAAAGACAGGAAACCTCTAGCCCTGGTTTCGTCTCCAGCTTCCCCGCCAGCGTACGACGGTGCGCCTAAACTATTTCCAGCATTCTCCATCAAAGCGAAACTCTGACCGTAGAATGGGAAACCCATTATCAATTTGCTTTTGGGAGCGCCTTTGTTTATCCAGTAGCTCACTGTGAAGTTCTAAAAAGAGGTGTTCGGTTTAAATAGCTGTTTTTTTTATGACAAAAATGGGGAAAAAGTAACGTTTTCTGCATTTTAATGATGTATTCAATGCAGTAAACTAAACAACCATCCTTTGACATTTTTTAAAATTAAATATCGATTCCAGAGCAGTTGAAATATAAATTGTTTGGATACCTTTTCTTTAAAAGTTTTGCTTTATAGGTTGTTTTTTTTTTAGATTTTTTATTATTAATATATTTCTTTGTTCCTAAAATGATTGTTATTATTGTATTTCAATTAATATAGGTGTCATAAAAATATATATAAATAAATTAACTTTGGTTTTAGGAGTGACTGTCTAAGCTACAGTCAGAAATAACTTATTTTAATATTATTGTCCAAATTGAACAAATCGCTATAATTGTGTAATAAAAAACCTTTAATTAATATTAGATTACATACCACATTAAAGGTTTTATCCGCGTCGTCATCGGATGCATACATAGGTGCGACGTGTCCAGTTTTCTTGTCCCATTGCCCGTGGTAATCGTATGTCATTAGCGATATCCAATCCAAGTTCTTCGCCAGTGTTGGGACGTCGTATGCTGAAAGAATAAATCTTTTGAAAATCCAAAACGTTTAATTTTCTTTAACTCTTGTATTATTTTTAATATACGCGCTTATTATCACAAATCTACACTATATTTTGTATGTTTATAATCAATGAACTAAAAAACTGGTCAATTGTAAAAAATATTTCCCTATACATAACATAACGCAAACTATTTATAATAGAACTCGATTCCATCCAAAAATTATTTATTTAAATTTTAACTTAAAAGAATCTAGCTTCAGTTGACATGTACACCTCGTATCCTAGCACCTATACAATTTACATGTAAATTTTACATCGTTTGTTTTATTATCTATTAGACGTCGATCAAAATATATTTAAGTACTATTACTTACCATAATCAATAACGCGTTTGCTAGCAGACACTGCAGCTGATAGCAAGAGACCCTTTCGAACGAAGGCAACGCGTAATTCCTTTACCAATTCAGCGAATCCTTGCTTATCCGAGCTAGGTCCCTTTTCACACTCTACCTGTTATTTAAAGAGTTTATGTTAACAAACAGTTATGGCTTAGAGGCCAATATAAAAGTATTCTTCTTAATAGACTTGGTGGAGGACCCATGTGGATGGTTTTTGGTTCTACGAAATTCTATTTTCTGAGAGTGAGTATACCAAAAACATTTCGGTAAGTATGATTACCTGCTTCCTCACTGTACCCAAATGAGCAGTGAAACAGATATATAAATGTGTCTGCTTTACGCTAAGACTTTCGACATGCTACGAGTTGTGACTAGAGTGTAGAAAGATTTTCTAAGTAATGATAATTGCTATAAAATACTTATACATAAATCATATGTTTTCGGTTTACGCAAAGTCCTTCCCATTATTTATGTTAAAGAAAGCTTTATTTTAATCTTTTTGTTTTTAGCGTTTAGATTATCTATAAATCTAAAAAGGTTCAAGATCAGCAGAATATTCCAAATTCAGTATGTAAAAACCAACCCAGGAGATCAGGAACCTCTCATTCTCCCACCAAAACAATCAAATTCTTTGCGATCATAAGAGAATAAACACTACTTATCCAGAGCTTGACATATTCGTTATAGGGCTGATCAATTTAAAAAAAAGCATTGCTTATCTGATACCCAATCCGCTATTTTGCATTTAGATGTTTGCTTAACAATGCAAGCAAAGGAAAAACTTACTAATGAAATCTAAAATTGGACCATAATTGTCATTTTAGAATAGATAGCTTGTAACATATACTGAAGATAAAACTAAAGGAATATGATGTTGTGAACTTTAATTAATAAATAAATCAAGGCACTGACTTACTTGCCAACACTTAGGATATTCCCAATCAAGGTCCAGACCGTCAAATTCGTATTGTTCGATGAAGTCAAGGGCGTGGACAACGAACTTCCTCCTTGCGCCAGGATTGTTCACGAGACGTGAGTACTTGTCTCCAGCAGAGTCGTTCCATCCTCCCAATCCTAGTAGTACACGGACGCCTTGTTTCTTCAAAGCTATTACCTTTTCATAGAACTCTGCAACAAAAGTTATTGAACGACATAGTTTGTATCATTATTTTCTGATCTGGTTTTATTTGCCGGAGCAGTTGTTATGTACAAAAAAGAAAAGAGTTATCTCTCTCAATTAAAGCACGATATATTTTTTGCGATACTGATTATTTTGTAAAATTTAATGCTCCTAAAACTTTTATAATCCAACATTCAATATTTAAGCACATAAGTATCTGCTCGTAAAATATTTGCTTATGTCTATCATCAGCCTCATTTCTGGACGTAGGCCTCGTCCATTTTCCTCCAGTACGCCCTGCACTGTCCTCTCTGTATCCACTGGGAGCCAACGATGACTTGATCCTTCACGATGTTGTCAGTCCGCCGAGTCGGTGGGCAACCGCTCGGATTTTTGTTCTGCCAAGGTCTCCATTCAAGGAGCCTGCGGGTCCATCAGTTCTTGTCCATATTTGGCCTGCCCACCGCCATTTAGATACTGCGACAGCCCGTACAACGTCGCTTACGCTGATCTTTTCACGAATGGTCTCATTTTATACTCGATCGCGAAGGAAAATGCCAAGCATTGCACGATCCATCGCCCGCTGCGTGACTCTCAGGCTTTCCGCCGTTCGTTGTGTGAGGTTTATGGTTTTGGCTCCATACTTCAAGACAGGCTGGATGCACTGATTGTAGACCTTTCTTTTGAGTGCTATAGAGAGGAGTCCCCGCTTATTTCTATACATTGTTAAAAAAAGATATTTCAGCAATTGAGTAATAATTTCCAACTTACTATTTTCAACATCCAACCAATTATCGTGAGGTTTGAGAACAAGTCTGGAGCTGTCAAGGACTGCGAAAGCGTAAATGATGTGGGTACACAGCGATGGGTCTATGTCACTTGGAACGAACTTTCCGGAGCCAGGTCTGCAATAAAATTCGATGATGCATTATATTTTATCATTGTAGTAGTAAAAGTGTGTGTCAGTCTATAATCTTCTTCGCGCGAAACTCGTGACTGTTGCGGTGTTTTAGAATTTTAATGGAACGTACATATTAATGGTTTTTAGTCTTCCCACATGATGTTTTTTTTATAATATATACTTAGAGATTTTATAGACATCAATATTGTTTCAATCTATTACCTGTACCAAGCCCAATTTGTGTAGTAGCACACAACTTTTTGTTGTTCCATTTCGTCCATAATTATTACTGGAGAGGTGCTTTGAGTAACTTGAGTTGGCCGACTGGTTGCAGGACTTGTCAGTTGACTAGTTGGTCGACTAGTTGGCCGACTTGTAGGTTTATTGTAACTAGGTATTACTTCGATGTCGTCAAGATCTTCATCGATATTATTTTCTGGTTCGGGTAAAGGTGGAGGAAGAAATGTGTCGGACTCAATTTTAGGGTTAAGGAACGTCTCCTTTATAGCATTCATAAGAGGATATTTGCCTTGGTTGCATCTAAAAACAAAAATAAATAATTAAGGTATAGTAAATTATTATTATGGCATAGGTAATTAATTAAATAATAATAATTATAAAATATCGGTAAAATGATAATGATATAAGATGTAAAACTCCATAAAAAATAGCTTCATCCAAAAGATTAGAATGATTTAAAAAACATTTCTCCGTAATAGTGTTTATGGCTTAGCTTGACAATTAGACGTCAGAAGGAGAATGGAAGTGGTGATGCAGTCCAACACAAGGTCTACAATTATTAGAAAAAAATAGAATAAGTACCTATTCTGGAAGTCATCAAGGTCCAGAGCCCACACCATACCACCGCCGAGACCCAACGATTTAATGAAGTTAACTTTCTTTTTACTATCTCTACATCGTCAAATGATACCCATTGATCACCACTGTAGGCGTAAGGACCCATTCGTTTGTAAGGATCCTTAACGACTACCCAGTTATGATTTTTGATTCTGTCGCAAATCTGTAAATTAAATATATTATTGAATCATCGACACTGTACATAGTGGCAAAATATATATTGTACCTAAGTTCTGATTGTTAAACAATATAATAGCTACTGTCTCAGAAGAATGCGCTGTAGATTGTTACTATGATTCAGCCTGGTCATAGTTCAATAAAGGTTTTTTTAAATATAAAAGAGCAGGTTTTATTTTCGGTTTCAGTACAGAATAATTTAATTTAATTCAGATTTCTGTATCTGTTTGTTGATATTTTTTTTCTTAATAGGTAATCAGCATTCTATGCATCACACATGAAGTCGATTTTTTAAGCCTAAAGCATTTTCGTTCACCGTACGAGCGAGTGTTACTTGCGCACTTAAAATACATAGCCGTTATCGAACGCACGACTTGAGGGTCATGAGACGCTTGCCTAACCAATAGGACTACTGCTGCTACTGGAATATGTAACAAACCTCATAATAAGCCAGGAAGCCGCTTGCTCTAGTGTATTCTCCCGCATCTCCTCCTGCAAGAGCTGGTGAGTTCAAACTACTCGCTCCTCTGTTATTCCAACGCGACATAGTCTTAAATGTTTGACCGTACAATGGCATTCCCATAACTAATTTGTTAGCAGGAGTGCCTTTCTCAATCCAGTAGTGCATTGTGTAGTTCTGAAAAAAGTATTTTACAAATGATACAATAGGTTCTAGACAAAGGAACATATAAAAAAATATTTCATTAAGTATATAAAATAACATGCGTGTTGTTCCTACGAGAATGTCTTTGTTTATTACAAATCTTTGTTTTTAATTTTTTATTAATAATTAACGTAATAATAAAAAATATTATATAAATATATTTTATATATTTATCGGTCGGTCGGTATATTACCGGTCTTTTAGGAATTGGTACGCTCTTTTCTTTAATAATTTAATACTTAAAAACGTATTTATTTGGACAATAATTAATATAAATATATCAAAACAATAACGATAAAAAAGCTTTAAATTATGTTTTGCCTGTTTCATAATAATAGTTATGGTTATTTTAGTCGAAATCGAGAGGTCGTGTTTGCTAATGGCGTGATATTTTACTTGACAACTTTGCTTCTAATAAAAGCAATCGTCTCGGACTACTGCTGTCCTGGTGCATTAATGGAGTAAATCAAAGAAAGCTAAATAAATTTCTATAAAACTTACTGCATTGAAATAAGTGTTATCATCATCAGGGTGGTAGTAAAGTGGAGCCACGTGACCAGTCTTCTTATCCCATTGTCCATGATAGTCGTACGTCATAACAGCAATCCAATCTAGATATTTCGCTAACACGGGAACGTCATAGCCCGCATCTATCACCATTTTGCTTGGGGATACCGCAGAAGATAGGAGTAGTCCCTTGGGTTTCAAAACGGCTGACAGTTCTCGAACTAATTCGCCGAAGGATTCCTTGTCGGAGTCTGGGCCTTTAGAACAGTCCACCTAAAAGAGGTTTTATGTGATTGTGTAATTGAAATAAAACAAAACGTGTGTGTACTTAATTAAAAGTCTTTTCAATAATTTTATTCTACGTTTGTAAACGACTAAAAACTAAGATAAAACTTAAGTGTTGACTATAGCTAACTTCAGGGTGTCGGATTTTGGTGACGGTGTGCGCGCGCGTCGTAAAAATTTACTCTCAACATTTTTCCCTAACGCGCTACAAGAAGTATACCTTCAAAAATCCTCGAACTATAAATCTAAATAATGCTGGGACCTTAAACATTGGTAAAGTTATGAAATATACCAGGTTCGTGACTGGACTATAACGGCTTCGTTAATTCAGTATTTAAAAAAATAAACGTAAGTTTGTATAAAAACTATTATATTAAAAAAACTAAGTTTATGTTACCTGCCAGCACTTAGGATATTCCCAGTCCAAATCAAGTCCATCAAATCCATACTTCTCAATGAAATCCAGGGTATTTTTCACAAAGCGTCTCCTCGCAGCAGGGTTATTTACTAACTTGGAGTATTTATCGCCGGCGGAGTCCTTCCATCCACCAATAGCTATTGATACTTTTGTACCATATTTTTTGAACTGCACAATACGTTCATAGAATTCTGTGAAATGTTTCAAATGAAAATCTTCTAAATTCAGGAATAAATATAGAATCTGACTTTCTGAATTCCTTCCTTCTAAAACTATCGCCAACAGGTAGGGCTGTTAGTACTACTCTCTTGTCAAATGTTCAAAGATTTATTTACATATATATATATATATAGAGATATATATATATATATATATATATATATATATATATATATATATATATATATATATATAAAAAAAAAAAAAAATAATTCTATAAAGTAATATTAGAATTTTATTTTAATATTAGAATTAGAATAATTAGTATTATATATAATAATATATAATAATAATAATTCTAATAAGTCTATATATATATATATATATATATAGTTATCTATATATATATAACCATAAGTATAAAACATTGTTAATTTGTCAGAAATGTGCGATTAGTTAAATTTTCTGTAAAAAATATTAATTTACACTCTCTCTTAAGAATATAGAATACAAAATAAACTTCGTATGAAGGATTACTATCAGTTGTAGCAGTATTTAGTGATCAAAATTTAATCACAAAATTTCCACTACTCTGACGTCAAACATCAAAAGCTCTAAGAATTTATCTCTTTTAACTGATTTCACAAATAGAGCATTTCAGTTCCTAGAGATGTGAGACGCTGCAATAAAGCGGAGAAGATTTCGATCTCCACTTATCGCTCCAATTTGAGAGCTCCACTTAACAGAATGGCTAGAATGTGCAATCGGCTGCAGGGTTCGAACAATCTTGATATTTTTTCGGATCGCTTATCTGATTATAGGGAATTCTGTTATCACTTTCTTAGGTTCTTTAGCTATGCTTTATAATTTAAGGTCTCTTGTAATATTCTACTTTGTAAACTTATTAATAATAAAGCCAAAGTTAGCGCGGCCACGAAGCAGGCGGAAAATAATAAACGGCTCAAATATAAGTATTTCCTCCAACTTTGTTCCCTTTGGAAAAGAGACTCTTGGGCCGTGGGGTTCAAGTGCAGATGCGCTTATAAAGTATCGGTGACCCCAGAGCTGGTGCCTTCCTCGCTCAACGAATAAGTATCGCAATACAGTGAGGAAATGCTGCCAGCATTTCAAATTTTTAAATTGGTTTTAATTTTCTATTTATTAATTTTTAATCATTATTATTTTTACTGTGTAGGTAAGAATATTGTAAATTATTAACTATAAGCATTATGTTTGTGCATGCCGTCTGCACCTATTATTATCGATCTATCGCTACACATTGGTCATAAGTACTTCCCTTTTTTGTTTTATGTGTCCTTCTTGGTGTGGCTATAAATAAATAAATAAGTAGTTAAACTCACTATTTTGATTGTCTGCCCACGGGTCGTGTGCAACCATGAGTCCATCATCACTTAGAACAGCAAAGCCATACACAATGTGAGTACAGAGCGACGGATCGATATCTTCCGGTGTAAATTTGCCCAAACCGGGACGGTACCACGACCAGTTCGTGTAGTAACAAACCAATTTAAAACGACCTGGATAAAAACAAGATAGGTTAGGTTAATTGACTAAGTCAAATTTGTGATAAACTTATGAACTTTTCAAAATATTCCTTTTTTAATATGACCTATTTCATGTAGAAATCCTTATAACTTAAATAATTTAAATTAATTTAGTTAAGAATGGGATGAAACTCTGAATGATGAAACTGATAAGAAAATAATAGTAATCGTGCTAAAATGTTTAATTATTTAGTTTATTTACATCTCAGATACATTTAACATTAATTTTTAAAAGATCTTACTGTTGCGAAGTGGTGGACGCGAAGCTTCGTCCACGATTTCTACAGATGGCAATTGTATGGGCTTGGATGGGACCACCTCGATATCTTCTTCAGAGAGAGCCGGCGCGCTTGTAGTCGTTGTTACTGTTTGGACCGTGCACTTGGCATTTTGAGGCCAGTCACATATTTGTTTATCCTAAAGAACGTAGAACGTTAGCAAAGGTTTAAAAAACTCACTTACAGACATTTCATGGAATCAAATCTATATAAGGTTATTTATGAATATTAAAATGAAACATATAAGTTATTTATTTACTTATAACTATACGATTACCCTAACACTTAACAGCTTATAGGCAATGTGATAGTTGTGTAACTTAATTACCGTAACATATACTTGAGAACATTATAACAGAATATTTTACGTCGTTTTGCGAATTGGCTCTGAGAACATAAAATCTCGTCAAAACATAACTTGTAAAAAAAAACAAGAACCGTAAAAAGTTGTGACATCCGTGTTATACCAAGTCGGTTAATTTATTCAGTTTACTTAAGGGACCTTCTGTCTTAAGTTATTACGTAATTAGCTAACCTGACAACATCTTATAGTGACCGTATCAATATTACAAATCTTGTATGTTTTAAATACATTGACTGACAGTGTAAATTGGCCTGAACTGCTTCGAGAAAATGATAGTACAGCCGTGGCGCTTCTTTTCTCTACTTGGCGGCCGTGCCCCCATACATCGATCATTTAGGAGATTGTATTAAGCACTCGCAACGCCAGGCAAAATAACCTTCGTTTCCGCCGTCTCAAATAGCCGTTTGGAAACAAACTGCATATAATTGCATAACACTAGGATTATTAATAATTCTCCGAAAAACTTAAACAACATAGCTTGTTGTCGGGTGTCTAGCTCGTATACAACCATCCCTAATCTAAAGAACGTTGTTTACATTAAAGGATAAATGGGATAAAAACCGTGTGAAAGAAATGTTGGTGTCCGAGAAACAACGTTTAGTAAATTAGAATAAAACGCATCTATTAAATATTCACCTGATTCCAGTGTAATCCTGGACTGCAAGCGAATTCTTCGTATTTGCCAAACAAACAATGCATGTAACGTGAACAGTCCGATGGGTTCACTGCGTATTGGCCATTTTCGCAGGAAGCTGAAATAGAATATTGCATTGCATGAACTAATATGTACCAATGGCGCTACAACCTTTTAGGTTTGGGCCTCAGGTTTCTGTATCTGTTCCGTGATCATTTCTAATATAGTGGTGATCAACTTCTGTGTCGACACACATCGTCGACTTTTGTGTCCAAGGCATGTCGGTTTCCTCACCGTACGATCGAATGTTAAATGCGCACAAAGACATAGGTGCACGGCCGGGGATCGAACCTACGACCCCAGGGATGAGAGTCCTATGCTGAAGTCACTAGGCCAGCACTGCTCTTTGCATTGCATGCATAAGAGTAATTAATATACGGCTCAATTTCAAAAGAAATTTAATTAATAGTTTTAAAAATTTCGTCGTCTGAAAAATTACGCTAGAAAAAGTAGTAAAATTTGAAGAAGTTTATTAAGTATTAATGCGTTTAACCAATTCAATAGGGCATTAAATTTACATACATATCAGAATGAGCCTGGTAGACTAAAATTGGGACGGCTGATGGCGACGTGTATCGCGTTCGTAAAATACATTCTTTTTGTAATGAGAAATAAAATTCTTTAAATATTAAACATTAAATGGCTATTTAACAAGCCAATATGGTCACGAACTTTAAAAAACACTATCGTTATATGCATCGCAGTTATTGCCGTCTTTTTTGAACTTCCATGAACTGTAAGTAAACTTGGTTATTCTTTAAACTCACCAGGTTGTTCATCCACCTGTAAACTAGCACTTGGCTTAGTATCTGATACACCTGGAAAGACCTGCCTTCTGTCAGTACACGACGATTGTGTGGGGAAGTCGCATTGGGAGCGCTCGTGTCTCCACACAAGGCCTGGGGCGCAGCTTTGAGCAACCAATACACCATTTACGCAAACGTAGAATTTCTCGCAGCGCGGGTGGGGGTGGTATGTGCCGGTACGGCAACGCTTAAAAAGTATTTTAATTTTATGAAATAGCGATAAAATAACTGCATTATTATGTTATTTTTTCGTGTACATCTATTCGGGTTTCATGTCTTCCAACCCGAAGCAATTGTTGATTTCGGAAAATCGAAGTAAATTACACACTTTTCAAATATAATGTTCAAATGATTTTTTTTGAGTTTAAGAACTGATTTTGTAAGTATCCTTAAACAGATTTTGACTTGAATTCACATCACCCAGCCCTGCTACTCACTGCGCTGGGTGAAGTAAGTTCGAACGTGAATTCGATTATCAAGATTCACAGAATGTGGAGCCTGTAATATTATTCGTGTAAAGACATGAAACAATTGAACACGTACAAACACGGAATTGGTTTCTTAGGACGATTATTCGTTCATGCTATAAGGAAAAATTAAAAGGGCGTTTAATTACCGGGGGTTTTTGATATTGTTCATTTTGCGTGAAGGATCGTCTTGTTGTTGTCGATGCACGTGTTGTTGTAGGGCGTCTGGTTGTTGTTGTTGGTCTTCTCGTTGGTTTTGTTGGTCTTCTGGTTGATGTTGTCGAGACGATCATTTGGTACGGCGGTTTCGATGTAACTCTGCTAGCTATAGAAAACAAATGTTTAAGTTTTGATTATATGCCATAAAAATAGTATATGACTATTTTACTTTCTAATTTCTACTACTTATACTGCAAATACTAGAAAATAATGTAACAAAAATTCAAGAGTCATTATCTAATATACTGTATGCATTTTTTAAGACTTTTTGACAGAGTGCTATGAATATGATGAAAATTATCAATAAAATACAAAAATTAAGTTAATGTTTGACGTATAACAAGCATATGTAGGTATAATTTATAAGTTAGGTATAAATTAAGAAGTTATTTTATTATGTAAGATTTCCTTAAACCAACCACACCTTTAGAAAAAAAAATGGTTGATGACTAAAAGCGATATTATAATGTTACATACAAGAGAATTTTTTCTGCTTAACAAAAATTTCTGGTATTTTTATTTTACCTTGTACATATTATAATTGTATTTTTTTTAACATGTAGGTTTGCCTAAATTGTTATACATTTTAGATAAAGGAGTTTGTAACATATACCATAGATATAGTATTATGTATGAAGTGGTAAGCTATAATAAAAAAATAAAGAGACAGTGATTTCTTATTAAGAATTAAAACTGTACCTTCGCACATAGCAAATTCAGCCCAATCACATCGTTTAGATCGGTTATCCCAGTGTAAGCCCGGTGGACATAACTGGCGACGCCATTTGCCTCCCACACACAACAAGTATGAATCACAAGTAGAGGCTGCTGTGTGCACGTCGTTTCCACCACAAGGGCCATCTTCTCTCGCTTTGTTAGCGCTTGGTGCTACGAACGCGAATAAGTTATTGAATAAAACGTTTATTTGTGTTAGTTTTAGTGTGAAATGAAAAAATCAATGCATAATTTTAAGTAATCATGTCCGATTTTTCTCTGCATTTAAATCAAAAGCCTTGGCTTAGTTTCCGCTTGATAACAAGAGAAGTCTGAAAATTTATTTGGTATCACTCTAATATTTACAGTCAAAATCTATACGTATTATAACGACATCGAAGGGACTACTCATATTTGGTCGTAAGAACTGATAGTCGTAACAGCCGATGACGTTGTTATGAAGAACCTAATACAATAGAATTCAGCCGGGACCTTTGATTTTGGTCAATATAACCGGTATGTTGTTCTAAACGATGTCATCGTAAATGGTTTTGACTAATAAGAGTATCATTATCAGGCAAAAGTTAAATTGTTTATTTTAGCAAGAAAAATATAATTACTTACTAGTTGGTCTGTTGGTTGGAGGTCGCGTTGGTTTAGGTGTAGTCGTAGTTTTTTGAGTTCCTGAGAAAAAGAGACAATAGAAAATCCAACGAAAGAAAATCGGTAAACCGAACAAGTTTTTTATTACGTTTTTGTACAGGAATTTTCAAAACTAAACACAGAATTATTCGATCGTAAAATATTTTGGTTGTCAATCTAAATATACTTACAATAAATCTCTTCAGATCTTACCAGATTTAATTTCACATTTGGCATATTTAGGCCAGTCACAATGTTTCTTATCAGCACTCCAGTGAAGCCCAGGTGCACATCGTTGCCGCCTCCAAACTGACCCGTCACAATGCAAGTACGAGTTGCAGTCATCTTCTGATCCCATATAATCTTGATTACCACATGGTTTCCCTTCGGACGTCTCAGGATATTCATCTATAGAAAAATCATAATAAAAACAATTACTTAATGTATATTTAAAAAAAATAGTTTAATTTCTGTAAATACAAGAAATTAAAACTAGAAAAATACTATAAACAAGGATGATGAGTTAGAATCGTGTCAGTAAACAGTTATGTGATTCCACTACTTGATCAGCTTTCCTGATCTGAAGATAGCACTGCGGGCGCGCACTAACTTGCACCAGTTACACGTGTACATTGCACACTTAATAATGTTGCGGAAAATACTGACTCTTCAGTTAAACACTGACTGAATCCATTGGAGTGCTACTGTCCATTCTTTGATATGAAAAGGTTTAGGTTATTTTTTTCTTTTCTATCGAAAGCTGTTAATGGTAAACAATAAGTTTAAAATTAATAAATGTATTTTTCCAATACGTTACCTGCTAATGTTGTCCTAGCCGTAGTCGTAGTTGTTGTGCTAGTGGTTTTTGTGGTTCTAGTTGTAGTGGTTCGCCTAGTAGTAGTTGTTGGAGGCGGTCGAGATGTTGTAGATGGAGCTAACGTTGTTGTTGTGGTTGGCTCGCTGGCTGGTTGCGCTAAACAACAGTTAAACGATATATTTTATTCCTTATGATTATTGTTATTATATGATTATTGAGTTTAAGTTAGTTCTAGTATACATAAAGTTATAGTTTGTATAAATAGTTAACTTTAAATCAGCTGGAGGAATTTCTTAGATCAGTCTGATAGGCTTTATGTTAAATTGCTAGCGAACTAATATACCTATAGACTTGGACAATACTTAAAAGCAAAACTTCGTCTAGATTAATTCATTTATATTAATTAAGTACCTAATACTAGTAATATTTCATACTAATATTTCCATTCGATAAATACATCAAATCTTTGTATTACCTATTGCCTAGAAAATATACTTACACGTGCACTTTGCGAAGGATGGCCAATCACATCTATTGGCTTTAGTAGACCAATGCAAGCCAGGAGCACAGCGGTTCTTTCGCCATTGGCCTCCTGCACACTGAAGATACGCTTCACAGTCACCCGGTGCAGCTTTGTATTCACCCGCTTCACATGCTGATCCTTCATCATCTATGATTAATGTTTTTTATTTATTTGAAAAATACTAATATATACATACGCACGGCGTCAATACTCAATATACTGATCACAATCAGATTTTTTCTTTATAGAAAATCCACGATGGGTTTTTACAAAGTTTTAAAAGATTTTTCTGAAGAATTGAACACTCTTTGACGTTTTACTAACCTGTATCTATATTTGATGGTTTCTGAGCGGTTGTAGTTGTAGTTGGAGAGGTTGTCGTTCGTCTAGTAGTTGTTGTAGTAGGTCTTTGGGTTGTAGAAGGTCGTTGTGTTGTAGTGGTTGTAGTTGTAATCTGAGTGGTAGTAGCTGGTGGCCACCATGTTTGTGTGGTACTTTGTGTAGTTGATGGTGACCAACTTGGCCAAGTGGTTGAGGTGTGGCTACCATGGTCATGGTTGTGGTCACCACCACTACCTCCACCGGATATGGCCCCTGATATAACAGCATTATTTAATAAACATAATATACATATGCATAAACAGTTTGAAGTATGAATGGAGTAATATTAATTGACATACCATCAGATTCCACTGGAGTGGTAATAGGCGGTGCCGGAGTAACAGGTTCAGGTGGACGCTCGCAAGGAGATGTCGGTGGCGAAGGAACGGTTCTGCCCAAAGCCCGCCCAGCAGCCCGCAGCAATGGCGATGGCTCATTGCAACATCGGTTGTTGAAGTCATCCAAGTCTATTGCCCAGGCTGTTACACCGCCCATACCTTGGCGTAGCGCCCATTCCACCTATAAAAATTATTTTTATATTAAAATCATTTTTACGGTTGTTTGGACCCCTTTATTAATTAACTCTCTCACACCCGTCTGAAAGAAGTGTATTATTATGATTTTCCTTCTATTTTTATACTTTATGTATTATGACCCATATACAATTATGTATGTGTCTGGACATAGTAAATAATACAAATAAGGCGCGAGGGAAATTCCCATGCAGTCTGCTTAAAGGTAAAAGCTCTGCAAATTACTTAAAGGTTAAATTATTATTTAAAACAATTTATAATATTTAAATCATATTAAGACAATTCATGTAACTATTGACTATGGTTACCTTTTCAGTGATTGATTTAGGGTCATCATATCCAACCCACTGATTGTCGGAGTAAGCGTAGGGCCCGGCCTTTTCTTGACGGCCTGTTTTCCATCTCAAGTTCTTCACTGTTAATGAAAGGCAACACTTGTTAAGTGATACTCAACTAGATTAACTTTTACCAATGTAATACATGTCCCCACCAGAAATGAAATCCATATCTCAAACACCACTAAACCAGTTTTGATAAAACTTGGACTGTTGTGATTTCAATCAAAGTATAAATCCCTTCCCTCCCTTAGGGTGGGAAGTTGGGGATGGTGTTGATGGGAATCACTGATGAAGTGAAGTCAGCATTGACTAGAAAAAGCCAATAAACCATCTATGTTATGTAGTGGTGCACTGTGCCAGTGCTACTTTTCCTGGTTGTTCTCGAGGGGATTATGGATCGCACATGAGGACAAGCACCACGGAATGGACTGGGGATTAACCATCATCTTAAAAGATTTGGATTATGCCGATGACCTATGTTTGCTGAGTCACACGCACCGCGGCATGCAATCCAACTTGGACGACCTGGAATGCAAGGCGGGATCTGCGAGATTAAAACGAAAGATGTGCGTGTTGGAGTTGAGAACGAGTGAAGAGGATATATATGTAGAAAGCGTTCATAAATTTAAACGGAAGCGTCGTGTCTGAAACTGGAGGTACAGCAGAAGACATTTCTTCACGCATTGCCAAGGCTTAAAATGTTGACGCGTCGAATCAAGCTTAAAATATTCGGATCCAACGTCAATTCTGTGCTGCTCTATGGGTATGAAACGTGGAAGGTCACTAAAAACATCTCGCACTGACTTCAAGCCTTCGTCAACCGCTGTCTTCGCCGTATTCTGGGTATCTACTGGCCCGAGAAGATCGCTAATGAGCAACTTGGGAGCGCTGCCGATCCAATGCCCAAGCAGACGTTTGATTGAAGGAAAGGCAAGGAAAGCGGAAGCGTGGCCGTCTCAAGTAAACCTGGCGTCGTACAGTGGCAGATGACTTGGAGCTTGGTGAAATACGAGGCTCAAGAGCGGACGAGATGGAGACTAACTGTGGTCGGACGACGAAAACGCCCTCTGCCCCATCTAGGGGTTATAGGATATTAAGTCATAAATCCCTTCAATATTACCGTAAGTTTCTCAGAAATTTGTCGGCCAACATACATTTCTACTAACGAAATTTAGCACACGTACTTAATTAAGTACTTAAGTAAGTGTTTAAACACAAACATACAGGTGAAACGGATAACCTCCTTTTTTGAAGTCAGTTAAAAAGAATACCATACCTCTGTAACATATTTCGTAATATGACAGCATCCCCGGTTGCTTAGTGAACTCCCCAGAATCTCCAGGTCCAGCCGCTGAAGTACCTGGACCTCTAGAACCGACCGTTTCTGATAAACGGTACGATTGACCATAGAAAGCTAAACCCAGAAGTAATTTCTTGGGGTCTGCTCCTTTACTTATCAGAGCTTTGACAGCGTATTCCTGTAAACACAAAATTGCTTTGAAACATTTTATATTTAATTTATTCATAAATGGTTTTACCTAAAATATTCATAAACACAAATAACTGAAGAGTCATGTGAATCTACAATAGTTTTATTTAAAGGCAAGTAATAATGGTATCTTTTATTAATTACATTACGTAATAATCGCCATTAAAATTATCTCCAAAAGGATTTTTTATCAACCAATCTTTAAATCTAAACCAATAGTGGGTTAGGAATGGAGTCGTTTAGTGAAACTGATGTTTGACTTGTACTTTTACTTTTTATGGAATAAGTACATAGTATTACTTTTTATATAATAAATTAGCTAGATAATTTTAAATTAATATTCTTTATATTCTGATATTATCTAGAAATAAATACTTAATAAAACAGAGGCGCTACAATCTTTAAGCCTCAAATTTCTATATCTGTTTCGTGATCGTCTAGCAAGCAAGTTGGTGATCAGCCTTCTGTTTCTGACACACTGGTCTAAGACATGCTGAATTCCTTTGCCGTACGAGAGAGTGTTAAGCTGTAGATTGAACCTACAACCTCAGGGATGAGAGTCGCATGCTGAAGAAGTACTTACCACAGAGTAATAAGCTAACGCATCCTTCTTCAAAGGCACCAAGGGTGTATGATGAGCAGTGGATTTCTCCCATCCTCCATGATAGTCATATGTCATTGTGCTCATAAAGTCTACCGCTTTTGATATTGTAGGCAGGTCGTACGCAGACTCTATGACTTCCTTGTAGCCAGAAACAGCTATACCCAGTTCCATTCTCGCGTCATGTAAGGCTTTGGATAGTTCCTGAAATTATACACAATACAATACTGTTATTATGTTTCGTTTAATTGCCTTTTTTGTGTATGTTTAAGAGTCTCGGGTTCAATTTTCGGGTGTAGAAAAACATCATTGCGTCGTTGTATAGAAAAAAATCTTTAATGATATTCCTAAGCAAGCGAGAATACGTAAAGAGATTCTGAGCACGCTCTAACGATATATCTTTGAAAATCTTTTTATGACCAACTTAAAACATTATAATTTTTTGATATTTCACCGGGAATCAAAATCATACAACTACGCTTTAACCACGGGAGGACTTTATTTTTAATCAGAAGCTTATAAAGGTAAGACTGAGACCCTATATAAATTTTATTAACTTTTAATTTTTTTAATAAAGTCAGAATTCATATAGAACCTTTATTCTTTTTATTTTTTAATCAAGTACTAATCTGTCTCTTTTAATCACATTGTTAACAAAATTTAAAAGAAAGAGACGAAATAATAATTTAGGTAAAACAGTGTAATAGACTAATTTAGTTCTTGTATCTCAAACGAAAATATTGAACATTAACTTAGACCTCCGTATGTTAATTTACCAATTAATTAAAAATATATCTTATTCTTCAACTAAATATACTTCGAATAAGTGCTATGCATCGCCAACATAGTTTCAGTTCATTTTAACCTAACTGAATATAATTGTATTATCTTGATATATTTTTTTAAACAGAGATAAGAGAGGTTCCCATATATCGCACAGGCTACGTTTTTTTATATTACAAATTTCTTAATATCCCCGACGCTGGTGGTGCGGGAGCTTATTTTATACACACATTTTGTTAAGATATTTCCGTTTCGTTTCGTTTATGAATACCACAAGTTAAAAGGCCTTTATATTTATCTATAAGTGTAATTTGTCTACTACTATTGCAGCGTATAAAGCCTCAACGATGATCCGTGTAAAGTTTAAACCTCAAAATACCAAAAATTTTATCACTTAAAGAACATTTTAAAATCGTAATCTAAAAAAAATGGATATACCTGAACAAACTTAGCAAAGTTCGGTTTATCAGATACGGCACCCTTTTTGCAGTTGCTTTGCCAACAAACTGGATAGTTCCAATCCAAATGTAGGCCCTTGAAGTTATGCATTCGCAGGAATGGAATGAGTTTTTCTATAAATCTTGCGCGATTAACTGGTGACGATACTAAACGTGAATATTTGTCGCCAGAGGAATCTGTCCATCCTCCGAGTCCAAGTAATACATTTACATCGCCCAATGATGTTACTCTTTCATATAGATCTAGAAAAAGGGCAATTTACATATTTTTGTCGTTCAAAGACAAGAAAACAATATAACGTTTCTCGTGAGCAATAATGCACAATTATTTCGAAACGATATTTATTTCATTTACGTCCCAAGAAAAATCGTAGAAGACGTTTAAATATACCCTCTGTCAATCAAACACGGGGCATTTAAGCCGGTTGCAGACCGAAAACTAAGCTATGCCAAGGCTAAACTAAGCTATGCCAAGCAAGCTAGGCTAAGCTAAGCTAGAAATAAATAGCGTGCACACCAACAGCTAACCCAAAGCTCAGTCAGTGTTGCATACAATGTGCAAAGGGTGTGCGGGGTAGCGGGAGGGGCTTAGCTTAGCTCGTGTAGCTGCGCATCGGCATACACAACTAACTTAGCTTCGCATATTTTAGTTAGCTCACATAGCTTAGTTCGCATAGTTTGCGGTCTGCGCAGACGTATGGAAAATTGGGTCAGCTATGCGAGCTAAGCTAAACTAACGTAGCTTAGCTCTTGGTCTGCAACGCGTATTGGGCTATGTAATTACGAGATAAGCTACAGAGCTAGGTACCTCAACAACGCCTAACTGAAAAATTCAAAAGACAATAAATCAGCGGTACTACAACTTTTTTACATCTGGGTCACAGATTTCTAAATCTGTATCATGATCATTTGTCAATCTAATAGGCAAGTAGGTGATCAGCCTCCTGGGCCCTAACACTTCGACTTTTTGGGTCGACGGCGAGCAAGCCGGTTTCCTCACGATGTTTCTTTTCACTGTTCGAGCGAATGTTAAGTGAAGACATATAAAAGTCCATTGGTGCACAGCCGAGGATCGAACCTACGACCTCAGGGATGAGAGTCGCACGCTGAAGCCATTAGGCCAACACTACACTGAAGTAAATAATTACTAAATGTAAATAAATATTTTCAGGACATAAATAATACTCACTATTTGTTACATCAGCCCACGGGTCGAATTGTTTAGCAATGAGCTCGTCGGGGCTCAAAGATGCGTACGCGTACACGACGTGCGTACAAAGCCGCGTATCAATGTGTTCGGGTAAGAATTTTCCATCTCCACGTCTGTAGAATGCCCAGCTGGTTATGTAGCATAGAACCTTCTTGTCATTTTCTTTGTCTAAAATTATTTTTTATTCTCAGTCAAAATAATATATACAAATTTAGACATCTAAAAATATAAATAACATTTTTTTTTTTATGGGCTCATTATATTATTATTTGATAAATAACTATTTAGTATTATGATAACAGTCTGTTAAAAGTATTTTAACAAAAAATTAAATCAGTATTTTTTAGATAATTTTATAACATTTGTTAGATAGTGAATGTGTTGAATACATATCAGATATTACTTACTCTTTTTAAAGTCTGCTAAAGCTGTATATGCGTTATGGATGGGTTTCGCTCTTTCTGGAGAGGTGTTCCACTGTAAGAAAGAGGAAAACAATATAAATAACTACTACATATTTACGAAAATAATCATTTATTTTGTAAGAGTAAGTACGAGTCAAGGCTTAGCTTATATTATATTACTTCTATAAATCCAATATATTTTAGAAATATGGGGTTCAAATTTGACGCAAACAGGTCGTCGTCGAAGAAAAAATGTATTCCTATTCAAATATTGCATTCAATAACAATGAGAATTGGCTTTATATAAAAAAAAATTGCATATAAAGCAATTAAAATACATGTTAATAGACTATATTACTTACTTCAAAGTCATTTTCGTAAGCGATAGGTAAGAATCTTGCTGCGTCTTCTACGCTTATTCTCAGACTCTGTCCTGGGATGCACTTGGCTACGTCTTGATGTCTGAAATTAGACTACCTTTCGTAGAGACGAAACAATTCGAGTATTACCCAAATAAATATATTTAATTAGTAAAATGTATGTTAAAATTATTTTTAGAAAACAAAATATGGTATAACGTTTTTTGACATGACATCGGTCGGTTTAAATAATTGTAGATGTACTAATGTTTGCTGATATTACTTAAAATAGACACAAATTCTTTTATTTCCCAAGATTGGTGTTGAGTAAATGTGAATGTGTGGCAAAGAAACAATGGAAGTAGAATAAATGCCGTGGAAATGAGAGCTTTAAGAAGTAACACTTCGTGATAGGATAAGTATTACTAGTTACGGGAGCAGTGTGGGTTAAAAGAGGAGGTTCAAGGATGCGTAAGGGAATACTTAGCTGGTTTGGCCATGTAGAACGAATGAATGAGAAGTGGTTTACAATTAGGATATACAAGACAATCACAGATAATGAGATCGGGTCCTGTAGGCCTTGTCGTACATACCCGGTGTGTGCACTTACACGTAATAAATATCTTTATATCAAGACATACGAACTTACCCACAGAAACCAGTTGATGGATCGTAAAGCCGGTCGTCCTCACAGATCATTCTATAACTGATGCCACCGGTACAGAAATGGAAGTGTGCGCACGATTCCTCATCTGATGCCAAGTAAGGGTTGATCGCTTCACAAGATCCTACTTTAAGCGATGATTGGTCCGTATGTGTTGATTCGCCTGTAAAGCATTATTTAAATAATTAATTAATTTCAACAATATAATACGCCTTATTCATTTGAACATTTTTTAGTTTTTTTACCAGTGGCGCTAAAACCATTTTAGGTCTGGGCCTTAAATATCTGTATCTGTTTCATGATGATTTGTTTTTCTCCTGTGCCACTAACTACACTACTCAGGGATATAAAGCATACTAATTGTGAAAGAAATCGATCCAGCAGTTTTTGAGTTTATTCGTTAGTTACTCGCAAATCTTTGTTCTTTATAAAATTGTGTTTTATGACCAATAATATAAAAACACTTTGTGAGACTTATATCTATATAATATATATGTGTTTTGTGTTAATGAAATATTACCATTAAGTGTTATAGAAATAGCGCTCAGCAATGGGAAAGGAGCGCCACAGAGTCCTCTAAAGTCATCCATGTCAACAGCCCACGCTGCTGCCCCCGCAAGACCAGCTTCCGTTATGAAATTCATCTAGAATGTTATCATAGTTATTGCTAGTTCATTCATGCTCTTTGGAAAAATATTCTATATAACTGTTCCCTAATTTCTAAGTGATGTAATATTCTAAGTTATTTTGTAGATGATGTAATGTATCAGAATTTAAAGTTTTTGTCAAATTAATTAGAAAATAATTATTTTATTAATATATCAAAATGTTGTATAGAATATCCGAAGTAATATTTTGTTCCTGGGTTGAGCTTTAAACTTCGTTAAAAAATTAAAAGTGAAACAATACGTAGAGTAAATGTAAAATACACATTTAAACGTAGTTTTATACAAACATTTTAAGTTTGCTAAATTAAAATGATTGTATGAAATATTTCTTTTTGCACACAACGTGAATTAAATGAAAGTTTAGTATTTCAGAAGATACCTTCTCCATAATAGTATTCGGTGTGTCAAAGCTGATCCATTGGTTGTCAAAGACGGCGAACGCGTTTCCATCTTCATCGACGCCACTGGAGCCTTTACCATCACGTTCAGTCATACATATCTACGACAACAAGATGTTATCTTTGTCACCCATATTTATATACAGTAGACAAGTTTTAATATCGATATTTGTATAGGAAAATAAAAATAAGTTATTAATGCATTCACGTCTTATTCTCGAAGCTACTTGCTATCTCCACTTGCTACGGTCCTGACATACCTCGCTGGCTTCGTCCACTTTCAATACATTCACCATACTCGTCGGTTATGGGGTACTTTTGGCTCCTCTAGTACCTCCTGGATTTGGTCCATATATATGTATATGACTAACCCGGCCCGACCTCATCATTCACGGGTGCTTTGTATATCCTACTCATAAGCCGAAAGAAAGAATCAATGCTTAGAAGGATCGGTTGAAGAAGTTAATGGTTTATTAATAATGACACTTTTAGAAAACTTGAAGGACCCTAAACCGGAGCGTACACCTATCTACTACTTAAACTATGTTCTACCTCAAAGTACGCAAGCGTTCCTTTTGTTTGTGTGTATATTCCCTCGTCTCCCCAGTCACTAACGGCTGCGCCAGGAGCTGGTAAGGTAGAAGCTGCCAACGTGTAACTGCGTCCGAAAAGTGGTACACCCAAGACCAGCTTCTCTGCTGCCATACCATGACGCAAAATGTATTTCACCATAAATTCCTGCAAGAATTAAAAATCTTATCTACTTTACCTTGTGTATACACATACAATTCACCCGCTTATTTATAGGTGTCATCTGTCTCTTTTTATCAAGGCACAAACACAATTTGACAGATAGAGAAGAAAGAGTACTTTACTTATCCAATTATAAGATTGATTTAGTTATGAATAAACGGGAAGTTTATTACGTTCAGAGGCAACGGCTATTTATAAAAAGCAGTGATGCAACAACCTTTTTAAGGTGTGGACTGTGGGCCCCAGATCTCTGTTTCTATTTCGTCATCTGACACACGCCGCCAGTTTCCTTAGGAACTTTTCTTCACCGTACGAGTGTTAAATACGCACATAGACAGTAAGTCCATTTGTGCAACCAGGGTTTGAACGTGAGATCTTAGGTCGTATCCTGATACGACCGATCGGGTCCCTGGATCTAGCCACGAGGCCGTAAAAATATTATGGCGTTAACATTTTTTGTAATTGGTTATTTTTTTCTTACCACGTTGTCATATCGTTGGTCCCTAGCAGTCGCTCCAGGGTCCCTGTGAAGGGCACTGTGCTGCACAGCCCTTGTTGGAGGTTCATCTTTTTTCCCATGAGTCATATCCCACGCCTGAAGAATCGTGTAATCCGTCGCACCACTCACTGCGCTAAGGTCATAGCCATCTTCTATTTGATACCTGTCAAAGAAGTTCCTTTGAGTTTCAGTTTGTAAATAACGCTTCTCCGTGGCTTAGGAGGTCCTAATTTCGATTACAGGTGAAACCTAAATTTATTTCTGATTGAAATGCGTGCATCTTAAAAATAGATGAACGAAAGAGATTCAGCAATATATAAGAGCTTTGTTATTCTGTAACTCTGTTTAATTATTTGTGGGTTTACAAAAAAGGAAATACAAGATACATAAAGGTACAATTATTATTGGTTACCTAAATGGTGGTAATACGGTTGAGAGCAACAATCCATAAGACGAAAACTTCTCACGCAACTCATATAACAAAGTTGTCAATAGATCTTTCTCTTTATCATCTTTATCACCTGAAATGTTAAAAAAAATGTAATCATAATGAACAGTATATCACTAAAAATATACTACTATTTTATACATATTAATATTCTGTACGTGTGTTTATAATTAAACTTCTCCTCAAACCCGATTTTGATGATTTTTTTGTGTTTAAGTGGATTCGATTCAAATTTAAAATGACATTTTTTGTTATTTAAGACAAAAAAAAAAAAAAAAAAAAAAAAAAAAAAAAAAAAAAAAAAAAAAAAAAAAAAAAAAAAAAAAAAAACCCCCAAGGGGAAAAAAAAGAAAAAAAAGGGGAAAAAAAAAAAATCTTTTTCCAAAAAAAACCCAAAAAAAAAAAAATCCTCCAAAAAAAAAAAAGGGAAAAATCCAAAAAAGGGGGGGCGCCAAAAAAATGCGCTCGGGGGGGGCTTTTAAAAAATTTTTGTGCAGAAAAAAATTGTAGCACAACACCTCGGCAACGATTTGTGGCGAAGAAAAATGATGTGGTGGGGGGGCGGCGGTGCGTACACGACAAAGTGTCGGGTCCGTTAGTAAAGACATATAGATTGAAAAGAAACTGAAGAAAAGTCTTTATATTACACTTAGCTAACACGAATGAACAAGTCGGATTCTATATAAATTAATTTCAGTCCCATTCGTGACCTCATGATCTGCTCAAGGTGCATTAAACCAATGGCAGTTATAATAGGATATCAAATTGTCAAAACGGACAAAGAAATCTTGACACTTTACCTGAATATACCCAATGTAAGTCAAGACCATCAAAATCGTGTTCTCGCAAAAAGTTGACTGCACTATCAATGAATGAGTTACGACGGTATGGCATTTGGACCATTTCGCTGAAGAGCCTTCCTGTTCCTTCTCCTCCTACACTGACGAGCACTCGGAGACCAGGGATACGCTTTTTCAATCCAGTAGCTATTCTATAACCTCCTAAAAGTATAGTTATAATTAAAAAGACAGCAAAATAAACATTTGTTTCTTTATACAGTATATTTAAATATATTATGGATTAATTCACCTTCCTAGAAGTTATGAATCATTGCCGTGTAATGCTTGCAAGGAGATGGTGATTAAATTTTTAAACGCAAGGTTCCTTTATTATAGCGTGTATTTAGACCATAAGTTAGACAACAGTTATACATAAAAACTTATTATTATGACATTATATTAATGTTCTTATTACATGACATTATGGAAAGTAATATGACATTTGCATGCCTATTTTTACATGGCTAATTGTGGGGATTTTTATAATTAATCAATCTATATGATATCTTTCTTGCAAATTAAAGATTTTATTTATTTATTATTTATTTAAATTGTAGGTTTCATTAGTATTGTAATTTGTAGAAGTCGCATACGAAATTCCAAAAATAGACCATGTTTTATTTATACGGCTATATATTGAATAATATTTCTTTAATCATTTGATTTATACTAAAAATAGAGAATATAATGAATCGTAAAAGCAGTTATAAATATCTATAGTTAGAAAAATCATACATTTATATAAAAGAATATATTAAAATAGCATAATATTTGTAAATTTCACCCATCGCTTTCACTTTGACCTGACACATTCTAGGTCATGATCAGTTAGTACCTTGCATTGTAATTACTTATTAGTTGATATAGTCACGACACTATTTTAAAGCAAAATTGATACACAGAGGAAAGTTTAATCATTTTCTACATATAAATTCATCGATATGTGTTAGAAGGTTCGATAAATAATTTAAAATAAGTTAATTATACAACTAAGAACAAAGCACAAAATAATATTTTTATTCATACATAGAAAAATGTCCGATTTGTACTGCAAAATTACGAAGAAGCTACGATAATTTAGACACTATCATTTATAAAAGTACAAAGTTCACATAAAAACCTAGTCAAATTAATTCTCTAAAGATTTTTCTGAATGTTAAAAGCTACTCTAATTGTAATTCAAATGCATTTATAAAAATCTAATTTATAATACAAATATAATATATATTTAATTAATAAAATAGATACAGTTTTTAATATAATTTATATATTATATAATATTTATTTATTTATTTATTTATTTATTTATTGTCACCAAAATCCAAAGTGTATACAAAATTTCAGATTAATCGTTGACAGGAAGAGGTGAAATTTGAATTACTAAATTTACCCAAGAATAAAACAAACGGGGTGAGCTAAAAAAAACCATTTAAAAATGTAATTTACTTATATCACTAATCCCATCATTGCGTCTAAAATTAAGACAATTTAATTTATCAAATAAGTTTGGCGCCAAAACTGAGCTTTAGGCTATGTTCAGATGGCAAAAACTTGACGCGCGTTTTCAAATCGCGCGACTAGACATTGTGGTATTTTCATACAACTGTTCACATGAGCGCAGCGTTAACGCGGTGACGCGCGTCAACGCGGCGCTCAGAGAAAAAGTCTCTAGACCAGGTGATCGCGCGTTGACGCGCGCTTTGATATTAATGTAATGTCTTTGCTGTTCAGATGAGCGGGGCGTTTTCATCGCGATCGCATGTAATTTTTTTCATTTTCTTTTAATAATAACCACAAAATAATAGCCTCTTCCACGTCAATTTTCTACGTTCTACCGACCCGAACTAGACTAACGAAGTCAAGGGAGGGAACGAGAATTCCCGCAACGCGCGTTCGCGCTCAAATCATCTGAACGCTCTTACTGCGCAGTGCGCGCACGCGTAAAAAAGCCCGACTGATATATTCTAGCAATAGCAATAATTGATGGACTCTTTTTGCATCGCGCGATTTATGAGTAGAATTGAACAAACTTACCCTTAATAATATCATAATCTTCATTTGCCGACATAACGTTGTATGTATGTGGGTGTAGAACAGCAAAAGCGTAGTGCAAATGTGTACATGACTTAGGTACAAGCCCGGCTGTGAATGCCAAGGGCGGCGCCCTATAAGCAGCCCAAGACTCCAAGTAGCACACGATCATACGCCGGTGATTTGAACCGCTCACAGTTTGTTGCATCTCTGAAATTATTTACTCAGCTACACATAACGGAGAAGTATACCTATTGTCAAGATTTGCCTCCATGACTTTGTGGTTAAAACCAATATATAACCACGGTTCGAGCCCGGCAAAACAATTATTGTATCCAGTAGTTAGGCTCTACCTGCGAGGCTATAAAAACCATAAAACTGACGCGACGATGTACCTAATGTTTTAAAAAAGCAGAAAAAAAATGGTTTGAATTATTTTCTGTAATATGTGGTACAGACAACAATCGATATTGTGAAGTCAAAATGTCTTTATCTCTATGTAAGGGATTTTTGAAAATAGCGGGAGTACGTCTCATCTTTTACTACTAATTACGAGATTCGTTCCCCTACCTTGAAGATTTGCGTTTCCCAAATGCAACCTTTCATCCGTACGAGAGACACTGTGACAAGAGAAAAATCATTTTAGTATTATTTTCGTATTTAAATAATATATAAATCTATTTTTATTCGCTCACTTGTTTAAATGACTTGCGGCTCCGTAATATTTTCTGAAGTCTTCGACGTCTTTTAAGGACATATGAGATTTCTGCAAAGGTTAAATCGTAGTTTTTAACTATAGTAAGCAATCTTAATTTATTTGTAAGTCACAATATTTATCGACTTACCCCTACTAATTTGATAAGGGATTCCTGGTCCAACACTGGAATTGGTAACTTCTCTACAGCATCTCGTAACGGTAGACGGCCATCACTATCATCCGGGAGGTTTCTAATTAAAACAAAAAAATAATTAAAAATTACCATAATAGATATGATTTCCATACTATCTCACTAGTAGCAGGTATTTTTTTCAAATCCTATCCAGTTTAAATATTAAACAAGTTCTATATATGAAATTAAGATTAATAGACATTAACACTTTTACGTGCGCATAAATTTTTTGGTTTACCACTATTAAAATAATTATAAAGATTACCTCAACGGGACACTCTCTACTGAAGCCCTAATAGGGGTCGCAATTGGTTCATGTTCGGGGACACCTTCCACAGCTTTTCTGTCGAATGCATTCTCGTCTCTATACTGTGGTGATGCTGCTGTACTTGCCCACAGCAGCATACACTAAAACATACATATAATGTAACAGATTTTAAAGCGTCTTTATCACGGATTATCAATATAACCCTCTCTTAAAAATATTGAAAGACTGAAATAATAATTTTCCCAAGTCGAAAGGAAATAATCTTAGTAGAGAATATGACGTGTTTCATTTTTTATATTTAAACTATTATAATGCGTTCTGTCTGATTTACAGCTTGCGTCATGAATATGTAAGACTACCAAATATCAAACCCTTATGATACGTAGTTAATTCTTTTCTTTTCATTTATGAAACACAATAAAGCAATAACAAACTTGCTGATGGAAGACCAATTATTTCTGTAATTAAGCTGTCTTATATTATTTATTGAATCGTACTATGTCCAAGCCTACAAAACCTGTATAATCATCGTTCGTATTTTAAATAGACCTGTACCTTATTTTTTGACAAACAAAGCTCAAGACTGTTGACCTTTAAAACAGAATTAATACATAACAATGTGTCAAATAATACCTATTACTCAGCCAATAATGCTAAGACCTTTATTCAGATCTTTAAAAGATCCGTTAGTCGATTAATGAGCAAAAAATCGTGAGTTATAAGTGTCGCGTGAAAAAAAACCAATTATACTGTATGGGCTATTGTTGACGCCAAAACATACTCCATCTAGAACTTAAAACGTGGGTGTTGCCAGTCATTGACCTTATAGATTTAGTATGCTTCTATAACTTTGCGTAATTTACATAACTTGACAGAAAAACCAAGATCAACACTTGAGACCTGTTCATCTTATTTTCAATGTCTCCAAGAAAAGGCATTGACCGAGAGATTTGTTGAAACAAACACGATATTGAGTAAACCTATGATAATAAATTACAATTTTCGTTTGTTATTCCATCGCCAAATTTATTGGACCTTTAACATCAAGTAAGTAGTTTTTAATACATATATAGTTTTTTGTTTTTATTCTAACATAAGTATCTTGTATTTTATCTGTATTAATGGGATATTTTAGTCTTATAAGTTATGTAAGGCTTACTAAAATTTGTGTAAAACTTATTAATGCACATAGTAATAGGACTTCAGAAAAGAACATGGACAGCTCACTAATTAGCAAAAATTAAGTAGAGTTCCTATTTTTACAGAATGAGAAATTAATTTACAGAATGACAAAACTTAGTTATATTAATAATAAGGATATAAACCATTGGAGGTTCTTTTTTAATATAATAATAATAATAAAAATGAAGCCTCATTTATTCCTTGAAAAATTTACAAAGTATTACACGCTTAATTTTTTTTTTCAAGTACCTCTTATTAAGTATAGGCCTCCTCCAATTCGCTCCATCTCATCGTTTTTAATATAAAATTATAGAAATCATAACAAAATTTGAACGAAGTAATTCATTTTCAAACGGTGATTCTCTATCAAATCAATTGAATCAATTCAATTCTATTATCTATAACTATATGAAAACAAGTTCGCTGACTAATAAATAAAACCTGTAGATAAAGCAACTTTTGTCTCAAGATTGATCTAATAAATTTCTGTTAAAAATCAGGTACATTGACTCGGAAAAATAACATAATTTGCATACAAGCAACCCGGGCAGGTAGGCCGGGGTCATCGTCACCACATCACGACCACACCAAGAAACCTATTTGACATTTTAGCCTGCGATTAGGACACGGGTTTTTATTATCGTGTTTGAATGTCAAGGGCCATAAATAACGATAAACTAAGGGACCCATTTAGGTAATTTCTACAACTCCGACATTTTTATTCAAACGCTACCTAAACATGTACAAAAGATACTCCAGCATCGATATTATTGTACTATAGGCAAAACATAATTAGCAGTCTTAATTTTCTATCTGTTTTCGCTTATTTTGTTTGTATATAGGTATTGATAAATTTAGCTAACATCAGAGATTATTATCAATATTCGTCCCGTTTGTTTCAGCGGTAGTGGTATGAAGAACGCAATTAGAAAAACAAGTCCTAGATTTTACTATAATTATACAATGACAAATTCAATAAATTAGCGAGTCCCATTCTTATGATTTGTTTTTTTTTAATTATTGCCGGTAAAGAACTAGATCGTGAGAATAATAATAGGAAATTGTTAATTTAACTAAACTAACGTATTTGTAGTCTTATGAGCATTCATTGTCGTCCTCATAAGATCGTGGGTGGAATACCGTCTTATTAATTGAATGATTTTAGAGGTTGCATATAAAAGAAGGCTGAATATTAGCCATGCATTTAATCAAATTATTTTCATACCACTAATAAGTATAATCAATATTTAATAATCATAATAAAGAGGATTTAATTCATGGCGCAAAGATTTCAGCCTGAAATATAATTAGTATAAAGTATGGAAATACTTGCAATGGAAATAAACAGTGTTATTTCCACGCAAATGAAGACGTGAACGATATAAGAAGACAAAGGAATGCGGCTCACATATGAATTTTAATTGTATGACCGATTTATTTAAAAAATGCTTGCGATTTCCTGATCGGAAAATTAATGAACATAGATATATATAATATGCCGGCTCTTTCTCTTTACAAAAATTTACTAAGACGCGCCTAACTAATAAAATTCTGAGTTTTCATTTTTCTATAAGAAATATGTCGTGAAATAATGAATATTTATATACTTTATTTCACATTAAAACTGCTTTTGATCTACTCTGGCTTTTCTTTTACTACAAATAAAACCGCATCTTCGTATAAATTATCATATTATATAATAAATAAAAAATCTATTTTTATTTAAAACAAACAATTATTTTTTTGTGTTATGTATTAAACTAGTTTATTATTAGGCGCATCTGTGTTTGTTTGTAACTCATAACTCACTCTTATACCTACACTAAAGCTTTTAACGGATATCAAGTAAAATTTGTGCAAGGATAGATGGCACAAAAAATTGCCTTTTATTGTACATATATATATAATATATATATAGAAAATTATCTCGTAGAAAATAAAACATCCTGGTTCGTATTATAAAAAATCACAAATAACAAAAAAGGTGCTAAACGAGTCTAAATGTCGCACATTTCATGAAAATCATTCACCCCAGTATGGTAATAAATATGTAAAAATTACTCACCAATTTAAATAAATTAAACCCCATTTCGGGGGTCTGCACCCCTCGCGAGATAAACCTGAAAATAATTGTGTTTAAAATTCGAATTTGATCTTAAAAAGTTCACCATAAATTTAATTAATATACCTTACCTAAAAAGTTTTTAAAAGATAAGGGTTGATTTCTCCAAAAGTCTGGCTTTATCTGCGCCTGCGCCGGCGTCGCGTGAGTTTTGCGACTGAGCTGACAACGCGCGAGTAGCCCAATGTTAATACCTCGGTGTCATCGAGCTTCTCATCTCGCTCCTATATAATATATATGTGTATTAAAATTTGGAACTTGCTAATACGCTAATTTTACTCTTATCTTTTAAAGATGTATCATCATTTTAAATAATTCTAAAGGCATCATACAGTCCTTCAACGAAGTATTGAGAATAAATAATTATTATTTATCATCCTTTATTTATGATTATATTCATCAAATCGAAATAGGTCAAAGTTAAGAGAAAACACATAATTTATTAAACTTTTAATTGTTTTGACATTTACAGTTTTATGGAGTTCTAAATCATGGCCTAATTCGACGTATTAATTTTAAACAAAGGTTACATAATAATAACGTTTTTATGATCTTCGATGCAATAAATAATTATTTATTGGGCTGATTCGCTTACAGTTTTACTGCAGTCTCTTAATGCATTTTATACTGTATATAAACAATTTGTTAAACAAGAAATATCCATTCAAATCAATTAGCAATATAAACTTACACATTTTAACATTTATTAAAATTAGAAATCGCGAAATTTTTTAAGGACACTTTAAAACCACTAAGAACACTGCACTGAATTATTAAATTTGATTATTTAAAATATAATTATTAATGTGTATTTATCAAGTAGCATTATAACACTGAAGCACAGTTTCGAATAGCCGCTACCACTAGCCCGCTACTGTAGGATGGTACGTGGTGACGTTGTTCGTCGCTTAATTACTATTCATGTAACGTTTCTTCCTTTCTTCCCGCCAATGTCACACATTGTTTCTCGGTACATAGCTGCCGCATCGAATAACAGTAAACTAAGTGGACCCTGAAATTGTCAATGCCCTTGTTTTGCTCATATTTAAACCAAAACCGACGCAGTCTACGTAAGGAAGTTTTCTGTGCATGTATTTAAGATTTAAATTAAGAATATTGATGCATCTACAAGGTCTTTTGAAGGATACGACTTAAGTCGCAGGCATTTGAGGACCAGTTCTGGTTTTAAGTGCAAAACTTTCGGCCCGTCCTTTCGCATGTATTTGAATTAAAACAGCAAACATTATTAATTATAATTAGAATGTAGTACGGATGGACTCCAATGTATTAGTAGAAACAGGTTCATCGAACTAAAAAAAACAGTGTCTCTCCTTTTGTTTATATTTTAAAATGAACCGGTCGGTGTTTACTTAAAACTAGGTGAGGTGAGTACGGCGCATATTTGCAATGTCCGCCAAGGGTGTTGGGTCCATCCCGTACAAGTTCAAGGCAAAACTTTGCCATTTATTCGACGATTCGTCAACTTTGGTATAAAAGACTCCTGGTCTATTACTATTTATAAAATAAAATATTTCAATAGAGCTGGGTATGCACTTGGTATGAAGTTAATATCAAAACTTTTTTGCCCTTTGAAATATTTGTTACTATGTCAGCGTAATAACAAGCTATAATTAGTTCAATGAAGTAAGCGATTCTCTTATCATTTGTTCCTAGCAGTTGAACTGTGAGGTTCAGTGCGCGTGCAGTGATGGCAGCTATAAAACAATTGTTTTTGAGTCAATTTGTCGTAACAGAGGACAAAATTATCAATGGCGGAGTATTAGTTGCAGACGGACGTATTGAAAAGATATTGAGTCGAGATGAAGCCGTAAAATTGAGTATAGAATACGGGGACAAACTCAAAGTAAGATTTTGTTATAGTACTTAAACTAATTACGGACATTTTAAAGGTGTAATTTTTAGTGCGCAATTAACACTTGCTCGAAGACTGAAGGAAAACAGTGTGAGAAAATCGGCATGTCTGACATTCAAAAATGAACTATTTGTTTAAAGAAAAATAATCAATGGAACAATTTGTGATTATAAAGTTCAAAGCCAATCGATAAATGTCTCCATTCAATATTTACAATGTACATACTCTATGTGCACTTTCTACTTCACATTATATTTTTTTTATGATAAATTTGTTAGGTAATATACTAAAATCATACTGACAATAAAGTTGAATTTAATAATGAGCTTGATAAGCATAGATTTATTATGAAAAATCGCTTATCTAAAACAAATGTTTATCACTTGGCAAAATATAAATATGATAACATTGTATCTTATTGACTCTCGACGTTCGATAGTATGTTCTCATTATTTGTTTAAAAATAATTATTCTATTAAGCATAATAATTTTCAGCGTTGTCAGAATGTCTAAAGGCCAAAATACTCTGACTGCAAGTCAAGCCAAATTCGATTATGCCTAGTTGTTATATTTGACGAAGAAAAACCCATGCATTATATTTGGTTTATTAACTAACATATTTAACGATAAGATAAAGTTAGATACATATCTGGTTACCATTCTCCCATGAAAACGACACATATATATGATAGTTTATAGAAATCGGCATTAATTAAAGATCAATTATGCCGCCCAACAGCTTAATAATAAACTTGGCTCCCATTTCACATTAATTTCTTTATAAGATCCGTATTTATTTGGATGCATCTTGTGTATATAAATCAACCCAGTAGATTTATATACACAAGGTGCTTAAGGCTTTTATAAAAACTTGTACCTTTTAAATCTTGCCTTGTTTTTCGAAAACCTGTTGGCTAATATGATATGAATACTTAGTTGGCTGCAACATTAATCATAATAATGACATTATTATGTTACTACATAGTTAAGTTATCTTAAAAATCATATGAAATCAACAATTATGTTTGCTATTATTTGAACGCCATATTTATGTTTTTACTAACTTCTTTAGCACCTTTCTAATATCAAAAAGGTGCTATCCTTGATCTTAAGAAGTTTTTTAGCCATAAAGTTTTTATGTGTGTTCTTAAAACATGTCGACTGCACATTTTTCAAAGTCAAATGTTAATAGATGCGTTTATGGATTCATATTAATCCTACATAAGCGATAAACAATTTGGATATTAAATTGTTAAACGAGGCATTTCCTCATTTTAATTGCAACGATGGATTAATATTTTTAATCTATAAGAGTAGGTATACCCTTGATATATCATGGATATATAAGTTGCTGTTTCTTTATAATTTAAAGAATTTTCCAGAGTGGAGTCTTTATGGCAGTTTTAATGATATTTTTAAAATCAAGTATATACTTGGTTGTGTGATGAGCTGCGTCGACCAAATCCAAGAAATTAGGCCGGGACTCCACCAAAGCGGAGACGAGACGAGCAGAGAGTAGATGTTTTACAAACAACCAAGAAGAATTGTGTTATTGACACATTTCCACTCCGCTCAGCTTAAATGAAGATCGCTGTGCGGCACGATGGAACCGCTTCCATCGTGCCATACAAATTAAACATCGGTGGAGTACACCGCACAAATCTCCGCTTTGGTGGAGTCCCAGCCTTACTGTTTCGCTGGCGATTGGCCCTTACCCTGAATGGCCGGCAACGCACCCACTAATATGGTTGCCATGGGACGACGACTGCGCTTTTTGGGCGTCCCGTAGGCTCGCTTTCCCCGCTATGCTATAAAAAAATCTATCTAAGACCTAGTCTAAGTTGTGGCATATGGAAAGCGTTAAACAATAAGCGTAAGCGAGGCGTACAAAGGTTTAACAATAACTAATAAAATTATAGCCGAGAATAAAAATAAATTAATAAATGTGATTATTTTTGTAAGACTGCGCAATGTATTGCATATTTATAAATTGTCTAAGTTTAATGTCCTTTTTTTAAGGGAAACGATACAACAACACAAAATGGAATTGTGGTTTTTGTGTTAAATCTGCTCATTGGTTTTTTTAGGTGATAGATGGAGGAGATCTGGCGATGATCCCAGGTGTGGTGGATTCTCACGTTCACGTAAACGAGCCTGGACGGACCGCGTGGGAGGGGTTTCGGACAGCAACCAACGCGGCGGCAGCGGGTGGCATCACGACTATAGTTGACATGCCCTTGTTTGTTTTTTATTATTTAAATGTCAAATCTGACACATTATAATCTATTTAATGATTTATATATTTATAACATATAAGTATTAATTATATTAACATAGTCACATTACTATACGATACATATGGTATGATTCAGGTCCTGGTTTCGACTCCCTGGGAAACGATAATTGCCTTGAGTTCTCCTGGTTATCATTTTGCCAATGGACAGCCATTATAGCATTGTAGTAGTATTACAACTTATTAAGTACTAACATAAAAAAAACAATTACAAAACCATATTTATTGCGTCTCGTAATTAATAAGACTTATCGTGATATACACAACATAGTTTTAAAAGTGCCTTTGTATTTTTGTTTGTATTTGCGTACTTTTGGGACTTTACACAGTTTTCTGTCGCAAAGCCCTTATTTAATTTAGTAATCCTGACATTTATTTAAATAACACTATAATAAATCTTTTTGTGCTTAACGCTGAATAACATTTGGCAAGGAAATTTTCTAATGGGCCAAGTTATCAAAGTATGCATCGCACAAAATACTTTATGCTGGCGAGAGGCCATTCAAATAACAGTTAATATTCTTGGCTCTATAAACGATGCCATTTACATTATAAATCATGCAGCTATTTTTACTTTTTATACTTAAAAAAATTAATTGTTCTTGGAAACATTATCTGTAATTTACAACATGAGTTTCAACTTTGTGCCTTGCACCGCCACAGCTGCCCATCGAAGTATTTCTGAACCAACGACTTAGGGCCCTTTTAAAGAGCGTAATAATTTTTAAAAGGCCGGTAACGCATTCGTGTGTCGAAGCGAAAATCCATGGAGAGATATCCTTAAGTAATAACCTAGCATCGAGTGAGCCGTTTGCCACCTGTTTTATAAAAAGCAATAAGAACATTCTTAACCTGTATGTTTAAATTTTTGAATCCATAGAGTAACACAAAATTACGTTTCTTACAGAAATTCAATCCCACCAACGACAACTTTGGAAAATCTCAAAGTTAAAGCATCATCAGCTAAGGGGAATGTATTCGTCGACGTAGGTTTTTGGGGTGGTGTAATTGTAGGAAATCAGGTGAGAATTCAGCTTAAAACAAATTTAAAAAGTTTGTATAATTTTCACAATGGCATGTGAAAAAGTATTTTATGTTATTTTTCTTTTTCGAGTCTTAATAAAAAATTCAATCCGTTGGCTTAAACCCGTTTGTCTATCAAAAGTTACGCAATAGTCACAAATATTTTGTTGTTTTGTAAAACAAATAAATAATGTCACTTTATTGCGTCGTGATGCATCGTACAAAAATAAATATGGCCTTGGTAGATTTTTTTCTCTCTTCTGCCTGTTTTCCAGTCGGCAAAACAAAACCAATAATAATCATTGCAGGGTTCTCTTCAAGACCTCGTGAAAGCAGGCGTAGTAGGGTTCAAATGTTTTCTATGCCCAAGTGGCGTAGATGAGTTTCCGAATGTCGGGGTTGAAGATCTCAAATTGGCGTTCCAGGCACTAGAAGGTACAGGATCAGTTTTGGCGGTATGTTCACTTCTTTATAGCATATTTTACAAGGTGATTGAGGAACGGATAAATCAGTTAATACACGATTCTTCTGTTAAGTTTATTGAAGTTAAAAATAAAAATTGTGGTTATTCAAGAAATAACAGTAAAGTAACTATAATTTTGGTAAATTTGTATAGTTTTGCTTATGATACGAGACAAATATTTCTAAGCTAGTTAGTCGCCTAATTAAAAAATACAAAACTTGGAGGCATTCCTGCTTTGAATAGTATGTTGTGTTAAAACTATAGTTTTCATATAAATATGTGATGTAAACGTACCAGCGCGAAACTACCGTTGTGTGTGCTTGCATAATATATACAAACATACAACGGTACCTATTCATTGTTGTTAACTATATCCTTAGTGTGCCTTTAAGCCACTTGTTATTTGAGTAAACAAGTTAAATAACATTTATAAAATACCACTGGCGCTACAACCTTTTAGACCAGGGCTTCAGGTTTCTGTACCTAGTTCGTGATCATTTGTTTTTTTCTAATAGACAAGTATTTAGCCGTCTGTCCCTGACACACGCCTACTTTTTGAGTCTATGGCAAGCCGGTTTCCTCAGAATATTTTCCTTCACCAGCGAGAATTAAATGCACACATAGACTAAAGTCCCTGGTGCACAGCCGGGGTTCGAACCTAAGTGATGAGGGTTGCATGCTGAAGCCACAACGCTGACACTGCTCTTGCAAATTATATATACATTTAAAGCATACAAAACTTTCAGTTCCACGCTGAGCTAGAGGATGACGATACTCCGTGTGAAGCAAAAAAGCCAGCTCAAGGTATACAATCATACCATCTGTTCCTTCAAAATATTGACACTAATTACTTTTAATTCATAGAAAATCGGGCACTTATAGTACACTTTATAAACCTAACTAATTTGTTGCGGATTTCAAAATCGTTTGAAATATCACTTATAGTTATGGTACGAATATGACAAACTAAGATTTATGAAATAATAAAATTATATTAAAAATCAAAGTACAAATACAAATTCAATTCTCAGATTTTTTACCCAGAACTGAACCCAACGGTCATAGTGACTAAACGCTATTTTGACATCCCTTTGTATTGTGTAGTAGGTACGTGACTTTTGAAAACTAAAATTAAATTACTAAAAATTTTCATTTATGGTAAATTCTGGTCACGGCACTACAGGCATAATATGTAATCACTATTTATTATAAATAAAATTAAGTAATTGTGATCGCGTTTACGTCCTATAATCGTTTTTTTTTATCCGATAGTCTTGTAAGATACAGTTATATAACAACCTACATATTATTATAATATGTTTATTTATGGTTATTATGACTATTTGATTGTAATATTTCAGATCCAGAAGACTATAATACATATTTAGAGTCGCGACCACCTAAAATGGAGCTGAACGCAATAACATTGATCAAAAAATTTGTTATGACCTCCGAGTGAGTTAATTTTTTTTGTATTAGATGTGAAATTATTCTAAGTATCTTTGCTAAATACCTGATAATGACTTTGACAAAATAAAGTGCTTACATCACCAAGCAAACGCTTCTGAAATTACTATCTAGTTCTATCAAGTTGAATTTGATAATTATTTTTCACATATGATGAACGACCAAATTCTTTTATTGAAACTATACTGCTTATATTTCTTCAGAGAAATCTACCAGACCTACCTACGATTATACCTTATGTACCGCGTTTATGTGTTACCACTGACCAGTACCTTTAACAATGATAGAACCAGAACTTTCTGTATCTGTTTCATGATCATTTGTCAATCTAATAGGCAAGTGATCCACCTTTTACGTCTTAGGCAATCCGGTTCCCTCACGATGATTTCCTTCACCGTTCGAGCGAATACTAAATGCGCACATAGAAAGTTCATTTGTGCACAGCCGGGGATCGAACTTACGACCTCAGGGATGAGAATCACACGCTGAAGCGACTAGGCCAACTCAGCTCACAGAAACTTTGTATAATATTCACATTATTATTTAGCGTTCGCGTTCACATAGTGCATGTATCATCGGCGTCTGTGATACCATTACTGGTAGAAGCAAGACAAGCCAGACTGTCCAAAGGCAACGAAGCTTGGCGTGGTGGAGTTACCGCTGAGACATGCCACCATTATCTCTCTTTGAGCGCTGAAGAAATCCCCAAAGGGCATAGTGAATATAAATGCGCCCCACCTATTCGGGAAAAGGATAATAAGGTAGTGTATTGATAATATTAACATTAAATAATAAATCGGGAGGTATCAAAGGCAAAAACCTATTTTAACTACAGTGGCGTAATAATAGGGTGGCAGGGCTGGCAAAATGCTACGGGCCCCCAACCCAAGAGGGCCCCTGCCCAATATTATGTTCTATGGATGAATGTGAAGTCTCCAATACGCATTGGCCTAGCGTGGGGACTACAGACCATTTCCTCTCGTCTAAGAGGCCTATAGCCATTAGTGGGACGTATACAACATATATATATACAACGTGTAATTGAGTTCGCTGAAAACCTCAAAGTTTATTGAAATTAAACTGAGTACAACGTGACCATTTTTTCTGATTGGGACCCATCAAAAAAAAATTGGCACGGGCCTCAGATGGTATAGTTACGCCACTGTTTAACTATATTATATCCTACAGTTACCAATTCCCCATTAGGTATAGTTACCAAATTTCACTTTGGTAACTCACACTCAGTCATAAGAGCAGTGTTGGCCTAGTGGCTTCAGGGTGCGACTCTCATACCTGAGGTCGTAGGTTCGATCCCCGACTGTGCACCAATGGACTTTCTTTCTATGTGCGCATTTAACATTTGCTCGAACGGTGAAGGAAAACATCGTGAGGAAACCGAGATGTCTTAGACCCAAAAAGTCGACGGCGTGTGTCAGGCACTGGAGGCTGATCACCTATTAGATTTAAAAATGATCATGAAACAGATTCAGAAATCTGAGGCCAAGACCTACAGAGGTTGTAGCGCCACTAATTTTTTTTTCTCAGTCATAAGATTATTCCGTTTTATGAATATAATTTGTAAATAATACATTGAATGTTTTCTATATGTTTGAAACAGGAAATGCTGTGGCGCCATTTATTGAAGGATGAATTAGACATGGTTGTATCTGATCATTCACCTTGTACGCCGGAACTTAAATGTAAAAACAATTTAGAGGCCTGGGGTGGAATATCCTCCGTACAATTTGGTACGTATTAAACGATCACGCCTTTTGCTTTATTCAGTGCAATAACATTTTCCGACATAAGATTGATATCAGCTATGAATTCTTTTCTACGTGGTCTCAACTTTGCCTACGTAGAAGCTTATGCTTTCAAAGTCAAAAGTCAAAACTCATTTATTCATATAGGTAACACAATGTACACGTATGAACGTCATAAAAGAAATATACATTAAATTCTTCTAATTTTACATTTACTGCCAGTTCTCAAATCAAGGGCGTAGAACGGAAGAGAAGAACTGGCAATAAACTCTTCGCCACCATACCAGCATACTATACCATTTTTGGATGGAGTCGCCAATCTCTCTGTTTTTATAGAAAACGATGAACCAAGTGACTGAAATGTTTTACCTATTTGACCATTTCGTAAAAAAATGCGCTATTATGTAGCCCAACTGAGTTACATGGCTTTACACCTGGACCTAGATCGCAATACTATAATAAAAGATATTGGTCAAAGCACTAGTGTTTCACATTATCTTATACGGCGCTGAGACTAAAGGAGGAGGATAGATGCCCTTGAAATGTGGTATTGAAGGCTGCATTCAGGATCCCTGGACAGCGTAAAAGAACTATTTATTTATCCATTCTCAGACGATTATAAGCGACTACCCGTATTTCTTCAGTTACCAATCCCGAGCTTCTTTGTATGTATAGGACACAAAGGTCCCGATAACTTTTGTGGTGATGATCTGATAACATGATCCCCTACTTGCTGGACCGACCAAGTTAAGGTCCTTACACGCCTTGGGCGCAGGCTTGCTGAAGACACGCCGGAATGGAATATGCAACACCAACACGACACTAAAGAAGAACTGGGCACTGCATTTTCGTTTACTAGTTTAGGACTGAAACCGACCAAAAAGATATCAAAATGAATTTGTTGTACTTAGTACGAATAATTTCTATCCTTACGCTTTTCTACTCTTTATTATTATCCTTTAGACTAAAAGAAATTCTGTAAATACTCTCTTAAAACATTATAATATTGGCTTTGTACTGTAGGTTTATCATTATTCTGGACGCAAGCACATGCCCGGGGATTGGACTTGAGAGCTATATCCAAGTACTTATGTAGCGGACCAGCCCATCTCTGCGGGCTGGAAAAACGAAAAGGCGCTTTGAAACCTGGATTTGACGCTGACATTGTGTTCTTCGACCCTAACGAAGTTTTTGTTGTTACTTCCGACATTATAAGGCACAAAAATAAGGTATAATTGTAAAACCTTTTAAGGTTTTTTCAGGGATTATTTATATACAGATTTGTTTCTGTACGACTTTGCTAGAAGTATAGGTAGGCCAAATTTGTAATTGAACTCGAACCAATTTGGACTAGAACCCATCCAGCTTTGCGATTAGCAAAGACGCGTAGACAGTAGCGCAGCGATCCATGAATCTTGGCTGGAAGAAGTGAATTACCATATACAGAGCAGTGACCTCTTACAGGAAATCAAATTTGTCGTCCCTTACTCATTCCCTAGGTTTAAAATCAACAATATCTTCCAAATTCCTTCTGCCAAAACCAACCTAGGAGTTCAGGCACCTCTCGTTCGAATTCTTCGCGATTTCAACAAATTGAACACAGCTTATCCAGAGCTGGATATATTCGGTAGTGGGCTGATCGGTTTTAGAGAAAGCATTGTGGGGTGCCTTTCTCAAACCTAATTTCGCTGTTTTGATGATGATTTTTCTTTTTTTTATGCTCTAAGTGCCAACAAATTTCTGTAATTTTATTTTATTTTATTGTGTGCTTTTACTATCGTATATGTTTTAATTGTAATTTTTAATTTCTATTTAATTTTTTTTTGTGAAACTTATGCTTACATTAATTGTCACACATTATAGATGTGAGATTTTTTGTAAAATAATTAGTAATTTTAGTACTGTGTGTGATGTCATAAACTAAATAAAAAAAAATCGAAATTGTGGAATTTCGAACATAGGTTACACAGGTGGGTTCTCGATTTTTACACAAAAGGTATAAGACACACGCCGTAAGCTAACTACGTTTAAATAACTATTTTCTTTCAACAATAATTTTATTATTAATAATAACCTAAAGCTCACGGAACATATAAATAAGGAACTATAATTTAAGCACCGCGAGCGCGCGCGTTAATAATATATTTAATATTTGAGAATCGTTTCATATAAAAAGACTAATATGAATATTAGATGAAAAGGTAATATGACAAATTATGTTTCTAAAATCTTGTTATGATATCTAGATAGAAATTAAATTATTCGTTTTTACCGAAGATACGAAACCGGAATACCCAAATCTCAAACATTATACTGTAAAGGAACAAAATAAGATACATAATTTAATCTACTCTAATTTGATGCCTTATTTAAAAGGCGTCTGCAGCTCAGTGGGGCAGATATTAGCATATCTTTGATTTACGCGAGTTTCACAAAATTTTCTAGAAAGTTTTTAAGCTAATTTTATAAAGGTAATAAGTAGATAGTGTCACAATATCACCTTAATGTTATTTTATTTCCTTGTGTCATATTGATAACAATTGAAACAAGTTCCATCGCACACTTTTTACTACTTTCCGAAGATTATAATTGTATATTGTCGATTTTTGTACATTCTTAGTAATCTTATAATATTTAGAATGAGATCTTAGTTGAGGAATGCACAATAGAAAAGTGTATCGGAATACAATAATGAGTTTATAAATGTTAAAATACTTAGTCGAAGATAATGAAACCGTACATTTTTTCAGCTTACACCCTACATTGGAAAGAAATTAAGGGGAGCCGTGAAGAAAACCTTCCTGCGAGGTGAACTTATATTTACCGATGGTGACACTACTGGGGAGCCAAAAGGAAAATTGTTATTACGGGACTTATAAATAAATGTTTTAAAATTGTTAATCGAGGTTTTATTATTGTCGTAGGTAAACTCCCTTGAAGGAGACTCTGGCTTTGGCTTGGTAGAGATCTTATCGGATTTTGAATTTTTGTCTACAGAAGAGCATTTAAACTCCATTAAATTAAACACCAACAAATGTTGATCGCTCAACCGAGTTCGCTCAACCGAGTTAAGATAATTTACGAAATATATGTATTTGATACGGCTAATGACTTAGTAATTCTTAATTACCTAACATAATATAGCCGAAATCAATGTTTATTTTCTTACACACTTACTAAAACATTAATCAATGCAATATATTAGGTATACGAGTATGCAAAAAATCCTTTGTAAACGCTGTAACTAAAGTTCTATTAGCAAGAAGTACTAGTTACATTAAATACATGATATTAATTAAATAAATCGCATTTTGTCATACGATTAAATGATCCCTAATTATTGATATTTAAAGATATGCATGTACTGCATTTAGTTACGAAATTTAATTCCTAATTTGTTTTCAATTTATTTAGGGAAGTATGATATAATGAAATACTTTTTTAGCTTCTGGTTGCTGCTTTGCGCCGGTTATTTCCAAAGATAGCGAGTCAGTGTTTGTGCCGCGCTGTCCCAATTTTGCGATATCAGCAGTACTAGGTTGTTGAAAGAACTACATCTAAATTGGGTAAAAAAATACATATTACTACCATTTCCGTCTCTATTGCAAGTATGTCTTCTTGTGGCGCCTCTCATCACTAATTTGGCTGTCACTCTCATGAAGCGTGTCAGGCTGCTAATCTTCCGCAGTCGTAATACCCGTCCATCTCCTAACGGTCTTTGAACAAATTGTATAAGTAAAGTTTTCCTACAAGCTTGAGCCGAGGAGTTCGATAAATTTTCTTTGATTTAAAATTAATAAAAAATGTAAACTGTCTAACCAAACTGCATCACCATTTTAAATTTCTAATGTTATGTATGTCTAACAACTACTTTAATTAAAATGTATTGAACTCTTAAAACAGATATATCGCACGAGAAAAATAATGTATATAATTTATACGAAGCCAGTCAAACTTACGTCAACGATTATATGATTTTGGTTCAAATGCAAATTTTCCAAGCATAAATTCTAAGCAATTATTTGATATGATAATCTTTTATTGTGGCACAGGTTATAAAGATACTCGACTTAATTCCTAAACAAATAAATGCATTAATACGTGTTTATAACACTGCAAATTTTCTGTAACCTCCCTTTGCGTGCCGCTTCAGTATTTTTTTTTTAATTTACTACCCTATTCTTTTTAAATTACGAGTTAAGAAATGACCAGCACGTCTCTTATAGGCTACAATTCCTAAGTCATTTAAAATACGCGACATGGTTCTAGGTGCTATTTTCATCTCACGCGATAAAATCTTTAGCTTTCGAACATTATTTCTTGAATTGTTTCCCTTAGTGCTTTGACCACCTTTTTCGTACAAACACTACGTGGACGGCCAGATCTTTATCTGTCAAACAGAGGAGATCTCATTGTACAAATTCAAATTCAAAAATCATTTATTCACGTAGGTAACACAATGTACACTTGTGATTCGTCATTAAAGAAATACATATTAATGCTTCTAATTTTACATTTACTGCCAGTTCTCAAATCAAGGGCGTAGAACGGAAGAGAAGAACTGGCAATAAACTCTCCGCCACTCTTTTTAATCGCCATGTTTTTTTTACACAACGATTGTAAGGAGCTGCAACCATTACACCATGTTCCACATGACATCTTAAGTAATTAATAATAATAACATAAATTAAAAACAAAGACTTGTCCTCTATCAGCAGGAGGCATGGTGAAATAGGAGCACGCACTTACATTCTCGTGGGAACAACACGCAAACACATAGTCGAAATAATTAACATCACCGCATACACGAATTCAAGTACGACCAGTCACCACAAGTAGCACCCGTTCACGAGTATGACGCATGGCCAGCCATCGGCCCCCTCGCCATATTTTAGGGAGAGAGACAACCCGACGCATGGACGCCGCCACAAGCAACGACATTTAAGCGAGCATGACGATCCTTGAAATGTGGACTTGACTACAAAATAATAATAATACTTCCTATTAATAGCCCGGTTAACAAACATTTTACTAATACCAAGCGTATGAAGAATTTTAAAAATTGCATTTGGCTTCATACCTACTTTGTGTAATGCAATCATAGCGATTCGGTTCTCTTTATCACCCCACTCCATTTTAATATCGCAAAATATTGTACAATGTATTGGCGCCAAAATAAGAAAACTCAATGAACAATCATATAAAAATGACAGATTCCAAATTCAAATGTAATATTTTGTTAATTTTCAATTGTAACAGTATTTATGGCCATTCTAAGTATCTAAGCAGAAAAACAATTATATTATAAAATTAAGTTGTATACCTCTAAAAAAGCGATAAATAAAAAGTCTACTAGTCTAGTATTAATTTATTATGGTTTTACGTAATACATATATGTAAAACCATGCTACAATGCCGCGCCTGCGAATGTGCGTGACTGAAAACTAGTTAAATTATAATTCTATGACTTAGTAATTTAATTCTGATTTAGAAACGCTCTTGTTTTTAGAATTGATAATTTTTTCCCTCATCCGTTGCTTGAAAAGAATACTACGACATTCGTTCCGAAACGCCAAGTGCTTCTTTTTTTATAACTGGGGGCAGATCTAAAATTCTCTTTTCCTTTCTTCTTTCTTCTTTTACATTCAAATATCAATTGATAACATTTCAATCAAATAACTTTTGTTTACAAAACGTGTTATTTATGAGATAAATCTTATATAACAATTGATCTCATATTACATAATATTATTAGTGTTCACGTTGTTTCCAATTTTATTTATTTTAATAGATTTATTATTAGAATTTTAATAGATAGTTGTATATGAGATACAAGCTAATATTAAGTTTTTGAAAGATTAATAATTTCTCTACATATAGGGTTAAAGCTGTAGTTAATCATAAAAGAAAAAAGAGCCTAACTTTATTAGATTAACAAATTCAAAAACTTCCATGTAAATATTGAAAAAGATTAAAACACAAATTTCCATTTATATTGAGATAATTTTCAGGATTATCGCCTCTTAATATGAAAAGCCGTCAGTTGAGTAGAGCACGCAGATCTAAAGAAACGTTTTTATTAAATATGCTCTTTAAGTATAATATATTTATTTTATTATTAGGTACATATTCAAATTTAAACTATTTTATTTTCAAAATATTGAAGTAATACGTGTTTATTTGTTTTTTTAAGGATTAATTGCGGGTGTTGCGTGTCGAGGTTTAAAGCCACATCAAATATGCAGGCAGCTGTTCCTTAGTCGACGAGTTGTGACTGAATCGGCAGAGTTCGATGGTGGTGTACTGGTTGATGAAAATGGAGTTATTGAAAGTATTTTAACTCGAGACTCTGTTGATGCTTTGCTTCAAAGTGGAGATAGAACGATAAAGGTAGTAACTTATAATATAAAGGTAATAACTTTATTATAAAAGCCAAAAAGTCAAAATCATTTATTCATATAGGTAACACAATGTTCACTTATGAACGTCAATAAAAAAATATATATATGCTTCTAATTTTACATTTACTGCCAGTTCTCAAATCAAGGGCGTAGAACGGAAGAGAAGAACTCTCCGCCACTCTTTTTAATCGCATTAAGTTTTTTGTTTCACACAACGTTTGCTGTGGTTGTAGCTCCTTAGCTGCAACCATTACACCATGTTCTACATCTTAAGTAATAAATAATAATAAAATAAAATTAAAACAAAGGTTTGTCCTCTAACAGCAGGTGGCGTGGTGAAATAGGAGCACGCACTTATATTCTCGTGGGAATAACACGCAAATACATACTCGAAATAACTAACATCACCGCATACACGAATTCAGTACGACCAGTCACCACTAGTAGCTCGCCATATTTTAGGGAGAGAGGAACCCCCGACGCATGGACGCCGCCACAAGCAATGACATTTAAGCGAGCCTATAATCTATAACTATGACAATAAAGAAATAATACAAGATTGTATTTGCAGGTGTTCGATGGAGGGCATTTAGCTTTGATGGCTGGCGCTGTGGATTCTCATGTTCACGTGAATGAACCAGGTCGGACGTCTTGGGAAGGTTTCGTTACTGCAACACAGGCAGCTGCTGTAGGCGGTTTTACCACTCTTCTGGATATGCCTTTGTATGTTATCAAATATTAATCATAAAAATAGGGACTCTGGAACTTTCTTCTTCTTGACTTCTTTCGTACTTCAGACCTAGTGTATTGCCTAGGATTAATATGTCTACAGACATAATTGTGTAGATAAAATTGCGTTTTTGAAAACAATTAATTTGCGTTTGGCTGGCAGTTAAACATAGCAGCTAAACTGTTATAAATATGAACATGTTAATCTCACAATAACTTTCTAGTAATATTGTTTTATTTGTTTCTATACTCAAGAGATGAGGGTAAGGTCTCGTTGGAACGATAAAGTTGGTAAATAAGGACGTTCATTGTGTCCAGTGGATCCAACCACATAACCAGCTATGACATTGCTAAAGAGATAACCTAATCTAATTCTGTATTTAGGAACTCAATACCTCCTACAACAACGCTAGAAAACCTCAGAATCAAAGCAAAAGCTGCAAGGGAAGAAGTATTTGTGGATGTTGGCTTTTGGGGTGGTGCTATTCCAAACAACGAAGTATGTATATTAATTATATACCTAACACTTGTATTTTTCTTTTATGTTACAGGAGGCTGACCTGATGTTAAGTGATACCGCCGCCCATGGACTCTCGCACTGCCAGAAGGCTCGCAAGCGCGCTGCCGGCCTTTTAAAAATTGTTACTTTTCTTGAAGGACCCTAAGTAGAATTGGTTCGGAAATAATTCAGTGGGCAGTTGGCCCTTGCCTTAAGAATTGCCTTAAGAAACGCTCAGTTGTGGAACGACGGACGTCAAGGTGGTACGGATGGCATTTTGTATTCTGCCTTGACGTCCGATGATGAAACTCAGCTTTATTTACGAAATATTATAGACAATATTTTCTGTTCTAGGATGAGTACCCAAGCATGATAGAAGCCGGGGTCGTAGGGTTTAAAGGATTTCTTATAGATAGTGGAGTTCCTGAATTTCCTAACCTCAAGGTTGACGATTTAGAAAAAGTATTTGCTGCGTTTAATGGGACCCAGACTGTTTTGGCCGTGAGTTTTAAAAACAAATGAATTACCTTGCTATTTGAAAACATTTTATGTATTTAAATTTACAAAACGTTTCTGCATTCTTCATAAATTCATTTGTTTCAGTTCCATTCAGAGTTAAACGACTCAAATATAAGAAATGATTGTGATGGCAGCGCCTTTTGTACAGGTATTATTACTTTATTAATATTAATTATTCTGAATGGCTGGGTAGTTAGTCATACTTCATTAGTGGCTGACAAAATAATTTCTAGCCTAATGTCATAATAATTACATTGGTATTTTCTTTTAATACATAATGTTTCTGATTTTTTCAATATCTTGGGATATAATACAAGGGAATTTTATTTATTTGAGGGATTTTTAACCGACTTCACTTTGTCATAAATTACAAAATAAGTATATTACTCATTGTTTATCAAAGTGTTCAGTTTTATCACTATTGAGATGAAAATAAAAATTACACGTGCCGTCGGTAATATATATTTTGTGATCACAATGTAGATTTAGATAAACAACGACCATTTTTTTAAATAAAGATCTTACCGCACGGTGGAACATTTCTGTGTCCGTTTTTTATTTAGAACGGGTAAGCAGCTCACCTGTTGTTAAGTGATACCACCCATGGGCACTTAATGCCAGAGGGCTCGCAATTGCTTTGCTAACCTTTATGACTTGGTACGCTCTTTTCATGAAGGACCCTAAGTCGAATTGGTTCGGAAATACTTCAGTGGGCAGCTGGTTCCACATAACGGTCGTGCGCGGCAAAAACTGCTATAAATAATGCTCAGCGTACGTAGCACTGTGGCACAGAACTAACTAGCTTAGTTAGTAAGTAGAAGTAGAAAGGGTTATGCTTGTGTTCTATACACAGGACCTCCGAGCTGTGTGTTTCAAACTAAAACTTACCTCGACCAAGTGTTACTGCGTCAAGTTAAATTGTTGTAAAAATTATTCCCAGTTCCGAAAGCAAAGGGCGTAGAGCGGGTAAGAAGAACTGGCAAGAAACTTTCCCCCCACTCTTTTTAATCGCCAAGTATTGTCATACAAATTGTTTGAACTGGAGCAATTCAATCCCAAGGAGAAGGGGGATTATTAAAGAAGTCCTCAAATTTAGGGATAATTTAAGTAGCCCCCAAATTTATAAAAAGCTTTGTTGATTAATTTTCGTTTAAGAGGGCTTTGAATTTATTTAGGTGATAATTCTCTAATTTGCTGGGAGCTTGTTGTGTAAAAACGAATACAATTTCCATATAAGGAGTGGTTTATTTTTGGAGCCTGTTGGTCGTGCACTCAAATTAGTTCTATTTCGCGTATTATACTGGTGAAAGTCACCATTTGTTTTAAAATCGTTTATATTTTTTTGGACATACAACAAGGCTTCAAGAATATATAACAACAAACTATATATATACAAACTAAGCTTACCTCGACCAAGTGCTGCGGTATTGAAAACATTTCCCATCAAATCTATGTTACGGTTTCCGGGTTAAAACCGTAAGATTTTTTTTATAAATTATTTCCAGAACCCTATCTTTACGACACATACCTCGCAACACGACCAGCCCAAATGGAGCTTGATGCCGTTTCCTTAATCGCTAAATATATTGGAGAGTATGAGTAAGAATCATGTTTATCATCATTTAAAGGAAATAACTACAAATAACTTGCTGATCTTTAATACAATTTGGCTATGTGAATGAAAAAGTGTAAATTGTAATAGACAGAACATATACCTAATATGACAGCCCGGCACGCACAATATATAAATTATAACAGCTAATTGGATTAAAAATTTTGGTTAAATTAAAATAAGAACAAAACAAATATTAATACAGTCAAAATCTGTTATAACGACATCGAACTTCGAAGGGTCTACTCATATTTGGTCTTAAAACCGATAGTCGTAACAGCCGATGACGTTGTTATTAAGAACCTAATTCAATAGAATTCAGCCAGGACGTTTGATTTTGGTCAATATAACCGGTATGTTGTTCTAAACAATGACGTCGTAAACGGTTTTGACTGTACTTCTTTTATCCTCAATCCTCGCAATGTTTCGAAATTATTTTTCAGTGTTCACGTTCACGTAGTCCACGTATCAGCGGAAGGTGTCGTTCCAATACTGGAGGAGGCCCGTAAACAAAGAATTGCAAGTGGTAACAAACGTTGGCGAGGAGGTGTTACGGCGGAAACCTGCCACCATTACCTTACCCTTGCTTCAGAACAGATTCCACCAGGTCATACTGAGTACAAATGTTCCCCACCCATCCGGAATCAAGCCAACAAGGTTTTTTGCATCATTTAAATAGACACTTAATTGGAAAAAGCGTTAATTGTTATAGCCTACTTTCCTGATAACGAAATGTGAGAAAAATATTTCAAATTGATTGATAGAACAATTGCAACTTTTTTGACGAAAAATCGACAAACTTGATTTATTATTCAACGCAAATTATAAAAAACGTCTACTGAGTACATTTTAAATCAAAAATGGGGAAATAAAAATTATATTTAGTACGGTTATTTAATAATATAAATTATTATATAAGTATACTAGCTGCCCCCGCGAACTGCGTTTCTCCTTAATGTGATTTTACTTAGCCTACCTTTTTAGTACATACCAACATGGAACATTTTTCTATGCTATCCCAGAGACTGTTCGGTTTTCTGGAATGAAAACATTTTAAGTTTTTCTGTGATTTTTCTCTATATAAACCTCAGAGTTGAAGTTATAAGTTCTTAACTAACTAATAAAAAATAGGGGTTGATCGTAGAGGGGTGAAAATTAGGGGTTGTATGTATTTTTGTATTTTGTATCATAAAAAAATAACAACAAAAAGAAACTAAAAAATAACAATAAAATTTTTGGAGTGGACACCCGTTCACACTTAGGGGCTTGAAAGATAGATAAATAGTAGCCGATTTTCAGACTTACTGAATATGCATAAAAAAATTCATAAGAATCGGTCGGGCCGTTTCGGAGGAGTATGGGAACGAACATTGTGACACGAGAATTGTATATATTAGATAATAACTATATTATGCAGTGTGTGTAGAATTAAAATTAATTTGATTCACCAATAATTTCATAGCTATATATTCTAAGCCTAAGAATTCCTTCTAGTTTACTGATATAACTTTAAAAAATTATGTTTAATGATGGAAAACTGGAACCGGTCTCATTGAAAGTTTTTAGGCAAGTAGGTGATCTTACAGGTATTCGTAAACCAAATAATAATACAATACTAATTTTACTCTAGAAGCTAGGAACCAGCTTTAAAAGCTTATCGTATTACAAATATACTTTGTAATTTTTCAGGAAAAACTATGGCAATACATCAAAGATCACAGATTAGATCTGGTTGCATCTGATCATTCACCATCTGTGCGTGAATTAAAAGGCACCAACTTTTTAACCGCGTGGGGAGGAGTATCATCAGTACAATTTGGTCGGTAAATTACCAACAACCGTATTTTATTTATTTGTAAAATTTTGACTAACTAAAAATTGCCGTCATTTTGGCTGCTATAGGATATATTATATAGCTATTATCAATTGTTTTACAATAGATGCAACATGTGGCCAAGAAGCATATAGTTTTGGCGCAACTGGGGGCTTAGTCAAGATGCCTTAACAGTAGTGTATGTAGAAAGTAGAAAACTAAATTTTAATGAAAATGACAGTTCGTGTCGGCAAATTTTCATACAAATTTAGTTTTCTCTACTACTACTATACTCGTATATATTATATATATATATCCCTCAGGGATTGTTATTATATATTTTGCAGTTTTTATAGCTTTTTTAAACAGGATTCAAGGTAAACGTCTAATTAATTCAGCTGATAATCATTTTCCTAATAATTAACACGACAGTTAGTATGCCATGTGTCACAATAACAATTATTATGAAAAATATTGCTTATCATGTAGACCGAACGAACGTTCTCAATATATAATAATGTTGGTAGTAACGAGACAGCTGGTACTAATACATAGAAATATCAATTTAAAATTCAGAGTTGAGAGCGCGCGAATTTTGATTTTGAGTTCTAATTCTATAAATAATATAGATACAGATACCGGCAAACTTCTTGAGCATTAAACAAGGGAATGGGGGAAAGTTTTCGGGACGCGACACAAACGTCAACTGATTTACCAATCACGCGATCGACATGTCACTCTCCTACCGCCGCGCACCACCGTCCGCCGATTCCAGTGATATCAAAAAATCACTTCTGCGCAGGCAAGGCAAACATTTGTTCAAAATGTTTGCCGGTATCTCAACCAGACTCATACTGAGCGCTTAGTCTCCACACTACAGTGAGCCTTTATACATGACAAAAGGAGTTCTTAACAAAAGCTTCAATAATATGAACCAGGCCATTTAGTCAAACCTCACACTCTAATGAAAACAATATTTCAGGTGTTTCTTTATTCTGGACGGAGGCGAAGGCACGCGGCTATCCTCTTAGTACTGTGAGTCGGTATTTGTCATCAGGCCCTGCATTGATGACAGGTCTGCAGAATAAAGGCATGCTAAAACCGGGCTACGATGCCGATATGATTTACTTCGATCCAGAAGCCTCTTTCGTAGTTACACCAGAAATTATTATGTATAAAAATAAAGTAAGTGTCACGACGATTTAAAATTGGTAAAGTCTTAAAGAATTTCTTTTAGATTGCCTGAACTGATAACTAAAATTTGAATTATTAAATGAATTGTCGTTTTGGATTTATTAAACTGTTTTGCTATCCCCATAGATAACTGAGACTGTTCAAAAGTTTAGTTTCTCTATGGTGATAGAAATAAATGTCATAAATGTCCTAATTTCAATACATAAAGTAATCTACTCTGCTTAAGCGCTTACATATTATGTACAAATATTTTGTTACACAGATATTGTTTTTTTTTAGATCAGTCCCTATATGTATAGAGTACTCCAAGGGAAAGTGATCCATACGTTCTTGAGAGGCCGACTCATTGCTACTGAGGGCGAATTGTTCAATGGTCCCCAAGGAGAGTTGTTAATAAACGAAGATATTGTTTTAAATAATTAGCTAATAGTACAATTTTGATTTTAGACTTATTTGAATGTTTTAATAGAACAAATTTTGTTTTATCTGGGTTTTGTATTTATTTCCCTATTAAAGTTCATTAAGTCGTCGTGATTCGTCGATCCTACAAGGAGCGATTATAAAATGAAGCCAATTTTGGGCCTTCATTTTAAATTGAAGCCAAATTTTGGGCCTTCGTTATTTAATTGACAGCGGTTTCACTCGCGCGTCAAACGAAGAAAATATTTTTTTTTCAATGACGCTGAAAACTGTAGTATTTATATTAGTATAATATATATGTCATTTTCTTGCAAATCTCTAGTAATTTTTTATTAATATATTAAAAACGAACTAATTCATAATTAGAAAATATACCGTAAAATGCGGTATGATAATTATTATTGTTTGCCTAGATAATTAATGTCAAATAGTATTATTTGATTAAAGTTTTAATGCTGTAATTTCACGCGATTTTTGAGTTGTTATTTGAACATCGCATTCAATAGATGTCATATATAATAGATGTTAATTATATCAGTGTATTAGTCCCGCGAAAAATGTAGGTATATAGCGCTGTATGTTACTAAACTTTATTATAATAATTCTTTTATTATACAAACTCAGCACTCACACGTATTTATATATCTGTTTTTTTAATAAAAAAAACTGAAATAAGTAAATAAAAATTTGAAAGGAAATAATGAGAGTTATTATTAATTTTAAAAAACTGTTTGGATGTCTCTATAGCTTTAGATTAATTTTGTAAATCGTAATTGCCGCATCCCATAAATCCCATACCATTTTAACATATGCGATGTAGCCGCGCTTAGTCAAGATGCCTCAACAGTAGTGTATGTAGAAAGTCGAAAACTAAATTTGTATGAAAATGACAGTCCGTGTCGATTGCCTTTGCTATTCAATGATTGGAAACCTCGGCCAGCCGTCAGTCCGGACGGATTTTAAGCGGAATCTCGCGGCGGTTTTCTTAACATTTTGATGTATTGGGTTATCAATTTTTATTTTGTTACAGCTTGTGAGTCCTACGTCGAGTCAAGAGAGTTAGGTACGGCTTTTCCATATCAATGGTTTGTCTATTTATTTTAGTTGTATTTGGTAGAGTCTGGCTAATGAAAGAAGATAATTGAATTATTTGAAAACTTTCGGATGGCAACACAGAATGTAATTAAATTTCTTAGGTTAGTATGATTTATTGTCTTGATACTTCATGCAATTACTCATTTTAATTTCTATTATATATTTTTACCGAATAGTTAACGGGTATAATAGCCTAAACTTTGTTTTATTTGATAGAATATTTCGTTTCTTTCGCAGGCGGCAGGATGTGATTATTTATGTGTGTTTATTTCTGCCTATATCTATGTGGAGTTTTCCATGCAATGCTAGTCATTTTAAGTATCAATAGTAAAAGACTAAATACGTATAGTATTTAATTTCATAGAAATACAGTTACTATCAATGTAAAAAATAATAAAATAAAATCAAGTATTAAGTAAGTCTAATCCACAAAATATTTCTTTTTTTTTTTTTTTTTTAATTTATTTATTAGCCGGATACAAAGTCCATTGGCACTTTAAAAAAAAGTATAACAAAATATCTTACACAAATAACTATTTACTATACTAACTTAACATAAAATACAATTAATATAAAACAATGGTGAGTTTTAAATTTTCTCAACCGTGTTTTTTATATAATAGTGAATAGCTTTGAATAGAACTGGACATTTCAGTAAATCTTGGACACGGCGGGGAATTTCTATTTGTGATGGTTGACATTGATGACTACCATTTGCAGTGACTGCTGATGAGTCTAAAGCTGATCTTGTCGGGTTATTTGCTAAAGAATTTCCAAGTTTAGTCCGATTATTCTCATCAAAATCCATCAACTTCATAATATCCGTTACTAGTATTAATCGTTGAAATTTAAAGGTCGGGCAACTTAAGATGAGGTGGGATAAGTCGGCCTCCTTTCCTCCACAGTATGTACATCTGTTATTATTTATAATTTTAAAACGAAATAAATGGCTTGGAGTCTGACAGTGGCCAAACCTCAAACGATTAATAATGGTTATAAATTTACGTTCATTGGCTCCTTTGTATTTATCATACCAAGGTTTACATGGGAGTTCCTTTTGGATCTCTGCATACCAACTACCTTTATGCTGTGAGGATAATTTCCAATAGCTTTCCCATAACTTGCGACTTCTTTGTTTTAAGTCGAAAATAAAATCCGTAAAAGGAACTCTGCATGTAATACTATGATCCTCATCATAATTAGAATTGACGATACCATCTACAATATCATTTCCCTTGATACCCCTATGAGAGGGCACCCATTTAAATGTTACTGGAGTATCCAAAGATATCAATGCTTCTCTAATTTTATACAATAAATAATTATTTCTATAATGAGTATGACATTTGTCTAAAGCCATTAACACACTTTTTGAATCTGAAATTATTAGGAACTCCATGTAGTTATCGTTATTTTGTAAACTGTGTAAGTACAATACAACTTGATAGATAGCATAAGCTTCAGCTGTAAATATGCTGCAAGTATTACTTAACATAAAACATTTTGAGGTTTTAGCCTGAGGATCATAGTAACCCGATTTCACTGCAGATGAAGATTTAGAGCCATCAGTGTAGACTTTGTAACTGTTAGGCTTGGTACAGCAATAATCCAGAAAGTCTATATTATCTACTACACTGGACATATCTATATTTAATTTACACATAAGAGCTTTATATTTACAGAGATATACAGGCCATAGTTCAGATTTGTACATATTATCAGATAAATCAGTCATAAAGCTCATAATTCCCAATAATTCAGGGATCTGGTTATTGAGAACATTAGTCGCTGTTATACTTGAAGGCAAATCTGGTGTATTAGTGATAGTTATAGAATAAGAAAGTTTTGGAAGAAGAACATCATTCTGAGAAGTTATTACTTTCAGGCAAAATTTTTCAGCAATTAATACTCGCCGAATACATAGTGGTTCTACACATGACTCAACCTTCATAGAATTGATAGGAGTGGTACGCATTGCACCAGTAACAATTCTAAGAGCAATATTTTGGATAACATCAAGCTTTTTTAATAATACAGGACTAATATTCATATATGCCAGACAGCTATAATCAAAATGACTACGTACTAAGCTTTTATATAATAAACAAAGAATTTTTGGATCAGAACCCCAAAAAGTTCCTGCTAAGGACCGCAAAATATTGATACCTTTCAAAGCTCTACTACAAATATAGTCAATGTGTTTGGTAAACTTTAATTTAGTGTCAAAAATTACACCAAGAAACTTTTTTTCGCTATTTTGAGGGATTAAATTATTGTTATACTTAACATTTACATTAGTATCAATACCATAAGCTAAAACTGAACTTTTACTACTATTTATATTTAATTTAAGTATCTCAGTATAATAGTAGTTAAGTTGACATAAAGCTGAATTAACTTTTGCTTGAGTAACCTGTAAATTACTGCCTACACTATATATTAAGATGTCATCAGCAAATTGTAATATTTTTACAGATTCAGTCACATATGTATATATTTGTGAAGTATAAAGGTTATACAGGATTGGAGATAAAGAAGACCCTTGCATCAACCCCTTGAATGCTAATTTTGGACCATGAAAAACATTATTGTATTTAATGTATAAAGAACGACCATAATACATATGGAAAATCCATTTTAAAAGCTTTCCTGGGATGCCCAAGGAATATAGCACCCTAATTAATTGGTGAAGATCTACATTATCATATGCCCCCTGAACATCAAGGAAAACACAAATTGCAGTAGAACCTGATAACAAACACTTCTTCATATCATTCAGGTAAGCTATAAAACTTTCTGCTGCACTTTTGCCTTTTCTGAATCCAAACTGACAAGAAGGAATAAGTTTCTGGTTTTCAACAAAATAGTCCAGTCTAATCTTAATCATTTGCTCAAACAATTTCCCTACACAAGATGTAAGAGAAATGGGTCTGTACGAATTAAAATGATCATTGGGTTTATCAGGTTTTAACACTGGTATGACACATTGCAACCTCCAGGATTCTGGAATCAATTGATGAGACCAAAGCGAATTTAAAATATTAAGTAGAATATGTTTTACAGAAACATGTAGATTTTTAAGCATAATATAAGGAATATCGTCAAGACCAGGGGTTGTATTCTTTCTTGAAGACAAAGCCATGTCAAGTTCTTCAAAACAAAAAGAGTTAAGTAGAAACTTGCTCCACTGACTTCCATCATTAAATTCGAATAAACCAGAATTATTATCATTGTTATTACTAGGTTGCCCTAACTTCTCTAAAAAGCTTGCTATCCACTCATCATTTTTGGACACATTTCTATTAGAGTTAATTCTCTTAAATCTTCTAATAAAATTCCACACTCGGGATACTGGAGTGAATCTATTAAAAGACGAACAAAGACTTTTCCAACTGTCTTTCTTAGCCATTTTTATAATAATTTTTTTCCTCGAATCTATTTTCTTATATTCTATATAATTGTCCATTGTCATATTACGTCTATAATTAGCTAACGCTTCTCTTGATTTGGTTACAGCCTCGGCACAAGTATCATTCCACCAAGGAGCTGGAGGAGCAGACTTTTTACTAGAAGATTTATGCTTTAACAATGGAACACAGTTTTCTTTTAAACTAAATAGTAATTTAGAAAATTCATCATATTGAACTAAAGGATCAATTGTTGAAGGAGAAAATTTATCAAATATATCTTTGGATTTATCATTGTACATATTCCAGTTTGTTTTATTATATAAATACTTATGTATAGACTCTTGAACTGTATATTTTTGAGTTGAGGTAATGATGTTAACAAAAGTAGGTAAATGATAGCTCCCTAAAGAGTCATCACCGACATACCACTCACAAAGTGGTGCAATATCAGGGCTAACACAAGTAACATCAATGGCTGATGCATTATTACCAGGTCTAGAAATAGTAGTAGGGTCACCAGAATTTAAAATACATAAATCAGCATCATCAAATATATCAAATAATTCACGACCTCTTGAATTGGTAGTATCACAACCAAAAGCTATATTGTGAGCATTAAAATCACCAGATACAAGACAAGGTTTGGGTAATTGCAAAATAATCTTTCTCAAATTAATCAAACTAATTGAGCTATTATTTGGTGGACAGTAGACACAGAGCACTGAGACAGGACCACATCCTGTTATTATAGAAATAGCTATAAATTGAATATTTTGATAGAAAGTAGTTTTTAAGACCTTAAATTTAATATCATTTTTTATTAATATACCTACACCTCCATGCTCATTTTTAGCATTTTTTCCAACAAATATATAACCAGGTATATAAAAAGGCAGACCAGAATCTTTTAACCAAGTTTCATTCAGCAAGCACACATCTATTTTATTATCATATAATAAAGATTTAAGAAGTGGTTTTTATTATTGATACTCTGTATGTTATGTTGCATTAATCGTAAATAATCCATTATTTTGTTAAGTTTTGTATTAATATATCCTTAATGTGTGCAGTTGTGTTTACTGTATTAGAATTGCCTAACATAACTAAAGTTTTGATAATTTTACTCAAGAACTGATCATCTTTAATGAGCTGATCATAGGAACCACTATTAGGAGGAGCAGACTGGATTGAAATTGAACTATCTGATGAATTTTGTGATAACTTTTTTTTCTTAGGTTGGACAGTAGGTGGAGCTAATTTATTGTGAGCCAACTTTACAACTGATTTATCATTAGGTAACTGAGGAAAATCACTTGACAATAATACAGTTGAATACATTTTAGATGAATAATTATTTTCATGTTTTTTAATCTGAGCTGCTTTTTGAGGACAAAACCTGGATACTGCCAAGTGGTCTCCTCCACAGTTAACACACTTTAAAAATTCAGCTGAGCATTCCTTATAGGAATGACCACCTGAACACTTTGAACAAACCTGATTGTTTCTACATACTTTGGCACTGTGTCTAAATTTCATGCATTTAAAACATTGCATGAGAGGAGGAATATAAGTGAAAACTTTGTAACGCCAGTTGTCTAAATAAACATACTGAGGGAGAACAGTTCCTACAAAGGTAACGCTTATAGTAGTAAGAGGTTCCAGACCATCACAAGTTCTTTTCATAAAACGTCTAACACCAACAATTTCAGAGTCAGCCATTAGTTTGTGGTATAAATCCGCGTTACTGCATTCTTTAGGGATAAAACGAATTTTACCCACTCGCTCCACCGAAGAGGCTGGTACAAAAGCTTTCATATTATTGTCACGTAAGCTAACGTGACTCAGAAAATCATTAGCAGCTGCAGCTTGTTTGAAAACCAGCATAATTTTGGCCGCATTAACTCGACGACATTCCTTAATGCCCTTCACGTTTTTGAATATTTTTGATAAATGCAAAGGATTTTTATTACCTATCTTATCTTCCATTTTAATTCCCTGTACGTAAACGGGAAACTCTTCTATGTTATTATTATCCGGGTAGGATCGCTTATACTCGGGTTTAGAGTAAGGTTTATACTTATCGACATCGTTCGATTTTACAGAGTTATCAAATCGCCTCTTTTTCGAGTCTACGGGTAACTTTGTAGACCCGTCTTCATCACCATCACTCTCTGAAGACATTATTCTCCTCCAAAAGCACTCTGTCTTGAAAAAGACAATTTAATTTAAAATAAAACAAAATTTTATTTGAAAAAACGCGGCTCTCCTTTTCCCGCCAAAAAGGAAGTCCCCACAAAATATTTCAAACTTTTAGGGTTACCATACCAATTATTTTTTAATTTGCCGCGTTTTTTCGTTATCTTCTGTCATTAGCCAGACTCTATGGTAGTTTATACAAAATGTATTAAATTTGTAACTACAAATGTAAAAAGTAGTCATTCTCAAATAATAATTAAAGATGCGGAAATAGACTTTATTGATAATGCGGTGTTCTTGGAAATTATTTTAGATAGTAGACTCCAGTGGGGCCGACACATAGAAGGTCTTTCGAATAGGCTAAGTTCTGCAGCGTTCACAGTAAAAATGATACGCGATCTGACGGATGAGAATACAGCAAAGTTCGTTTATTTCAGCTATTTTCATAGTATTATGTCACATGGTGTTATTTTGTGGGTTAATGTAGCTGACATTAAATCGATGCAAAAGCGGGCTATAAGAGCGATCTGTGGATTGTTCCCACGGGAGTCGGTCCGAAGGAAGTTTAAGGAGTTATATATTTTGACTCTGGCAAGTCAATACATTTATGAGAATATTTTGTATGTGCGGAAAAATATAGATATCTTTAAAAAGAATAGAAGCTTCCATAATTATAGTACTCGTAATAAAGACAAAATTAGCGCACCAACCAGAAGGCTGAACCATAAAACGAGTAATTCTTTCCAAGGAAATTATATACGTTTTATCAACAAAATCCCTAGGGAGATACAAGTGTTGTCAATAAATTAATTTAAATCGTACATTAAAAACTGCTTACTAAGGCCTATTATAATATAAATGAATATCTAAACGATCCTAGTGCTTGGATATAAATTGCTCAAGTATAAAAATAGGTAACGCGACTGAATCTCTCGGCTGTGCGTTGCGTGTTGTTCGCACGAGAATGTCAGTGCGTGCTCCTATTTCACCATGCCTCCTGCTGATAGAGGACAAGTCTTTGTTTTTAATTTATGTTATTATTATTAATTACTTAAGACGTAATGTGGAACACGGAGTCATGGTTGCAGCTCCTTACAAACGTTTTGTAAAAAAAACATCAAAAAAAGGCGATTAAAAAGAGTGGAGGAGAGTTTATTGCCAGTTCTTCGCTTCCGTTCTACGCCCTTGATTTGAGAACTAAATGTAAAGTTAGAAGCATTTCATATACAATTCTTTTTTTTGACGTTCATAAGTGTACATTGTGTGCGTTTTCCAATTACAGAGCATTATGCGACTCAGTGCCGCACAATGCCGCATAATGCTGAAGCTTATTTGGAACGTGAGTTAGTTTTCAAATACATCAGCAGAGTGCGCTAAGTCAGTGTTGACAAAAAAAAATGGTCTGAATAGAGTTAGAAACTTCATTAATGTATAAATAATGTAGTAAACAATAATAATTGGTTGAAAACTTTTTACGCTTATTTTAATAATCAAATTATTTCATTAACATTTTTTTACTGAAATAAGAGAAAACCTTTAAAGAATATAAGGTTTTAACAAGCTAAATAAACAGTAAAATATTTAGTTTCATGTAAGAAGTTTACATCATTTACGTTTTGAGTAAATTTTTTTAATGATTTCTTAAATAATTATATACTTTTTCAAAACCATTGCTATGTTTACAAAAGTATAATCCTGTAAAATAAATTTGTTTAGGATCCGAATTTTAAAATAAAATTGTATTCATATTTTAAATGTGGAATATAAAAATGGTAACTATTTATACCTTCATCCATACTTATATTTATTTTTTTTAACAGTTTGAAATAACTTTAATTATTTTTAAAATCTACGACGAAACGAAAGCCTTACAAATTTTTCAAGAATAAATAATATTTACTAACGAAAATTTCGATAAATGCCAACTTAAAGAAAAACACTGGTCAATTTTCTGTCACTGTGTTGGTATTGATTGCGAGAAGCACGCGAGAGCATTCGTTTTGAGAGTGCTCAATTGTGCGAAGCGTTGCTGTAGTTGGAACATTCAACGTTGAGCATTATGCCGCATAATGCGCTCTAGTGCTGTAATTGGAAAACGCACTGTGTTGCCTATATGATTAAATGATTTTTGACTTTTGACTTTTAGCATCAACTAAATTTGTCTTTTATCAAAATGCAATTGTACTGTAGAAAAGAGACAAATTTATATTTGACGCTATGAACCAAAAATGTCTAAAATAGAGTTCATATTCTGTATAAGCTTCCATCCTCTATGCCAATTGGAAACAAACTGACAATTGACATACATATTTTTTAAACTATCTGTGGAGTCGCAGGAGCCGTTAAATATTTTATAAATTAAATTTATATTTACTTCGTAGTCCGTGCCTTTGATGTCTTTTTCTTTTACTGTGCAAAGTCTTCTAATTCACCAATAGATGGGAATTATAAACTTTTTATTATTTAATTATAAGTGGTTAGTAATATAAAGTTTGCAATAGCTTTTTGGAAACATTTAAAAAGGTTGGTGCAAACTGAAAAGCCATAAATTGTAAAACTTTTGTCAAATAATTTGACAGATTGTGAATTGGTAAAATAACCTAATTTTTGTTTGAATTTGTGTTTACCTTGTGATGTTATGTTGTAAAATTCTTACCCTTAGATGCCGAGTATAATTAGTAATAGCGAAGTAATTAGAAAACCTGAAAACTGTAAAATGCAGCTGGAGTCTTTAGAACTGGCGGGGTGTACACTCGATCGGTACATTACTTGTGATAATTCCCGCCCTTCTTTTCTTGAGGTATGTTTTTACTTATTACTTCGTATAAGAAATATTCAATAATAACTCTGTTTGTTAAATTATTAATAAATTAATCTCGTTTAAATTTTTAGATAACTGGTATAGCAGTACAAGGTACTCCAACATGTAGTGGCCTAAACGCTGGTGACTACAGAAATCTAGCAGCTTTATTAAATCATTCCACTTTATCCCAATTAAAGATTTTGAACAAAGTTCCACTGCCACCAGAAATAATGGAACACTTTGCTCGTATCCTTTAAATAATAAAAGACAACACTTAATTAATAATATTTTATAATGGCTTTATTATTTTTATTTTAAGCCATATAAAAACATTATATTTCAATAACTTAAAAACTATAGAAATTTAAAACAAAAAGATAACTTATTTTCTTCTAGGCAATTTCACTTTAACTTCCTTAACATAAAAACAGACATGCAGTGCCATTGCTTGATGGGTGTATTTCCAGAAATAAGCAGAGTGTGGTTAGCTATAGACAGTAATATTTATGTTTGGGCTTTTGAACATGGCAGTGATGTAGCATATTTCGATGGTTTGGGGGAAACAATAGTAAGTGTGGGCCTAGTCAAACCAAAGCCAGGTGTATTTCAAAGTTTTGTAAAATACCTCTTGGTTTTAACTACAACAGTGGAAATAGTAGTTCTAGGTGAGTGTTTGAAAAAATATGACAAAAACAATAATATCTTAATATATATAGTTCTTGTGTGCGTGTGTATGTGACTGAACTTCTCTCAAACGACTGGACCGATTTTGATGAAATTTTTTGTGTGTGTTCAAGGGGATCTGGGAATGGTTTAGATTCACAAATCAGCCCGGCAGATGGCACTGCAGTCGGTACTTTCATACTTTGCTTAATATCCTAATCGCTTTAAATATCATGCAGGACAATGTCTGTGGGCTCCACTAGTAAATTTATATTATTTTCCTTGGTCTATTAGTGTAATTCAACAAACAGAAATTAGTTTTACCCATCCCATACTAAACATTATAAAAAATCACATATTGTTATAAAATGTGCACATCCCTTCTGTTTTATGAATTGTGGTTTTAAATGAAAAGCTTAGCTAGCACGTATTTACTCTTTGTAATTAAATAAATGTTTTACAGGTGTAACATTTTCAAGTAATAAACAAGATGGATCTTCTGAGTTCGAAGAAATACATTTAGTTCCTGAACCGGTGTTTGTGTTGCCAACTGATGGAATTTCAATGTTATGTGTTAAATCAACCTGTAGAGGAAGAATTTTTATGGGCGGAAAGGATGGATGTCTTTATGAAATAACTTACCAGGTATGATTGTAGAACAATTGTACATGGAGCAGACACTTCTGCCCACGTACATGTTTCATAGATTATTTTATTTACTTCAATTGATCAAAAGTTTACTGAATTAATTAAATGCCAATGCTAAAAGGATTTAATGGGACAAAAGACCATTCATGAAATCAAAAAAATAGCAGTCTTATTAACATGGCAATATCTCATTTATTTTACCATAGCACAATTCTTTTTTACAGGCACAATTAGGTTGGTTTGGAAAACATTGTAAAAAAATTAACCATTCAACAAGTGCCCTTTCATTCCTAGTGCCTTCATTTCTTAATGCTGCATTGTATGATGAAGACCCTATAGTTAAAATTGAAGTTGATAATTCTCGGCATATTTTATATACACTTAGTGAGAAGGGTTGTATAGAAGTTTTTGATCTTGGTGAAGATGGTGAAGATATTAGCAAGATTACAAGATTAACACAAAATCGAATTGTTGCATCAGCTTTGGATATAGTAAAGTGAGTGCTAATAATCTAAATTATTGACTTTCATTTATATTATTAAATGTTATAATAAATAAATATTGCTGCATATTATTTTTTATCTCAAGAGTTTTCATAGAAACCTGTTTGCATAGTAAAAGGAAATTATTGTCCTTGCATTATCAAAAAATTGTTTTTTTACTTCACCCAGGGGCTCTGCAAATAGAGACTATATATGTATATTCTACTACTTGCAGCTATGGAGGCTAATAGCTATGCCATGGTTCAAATCCTACAAAAAAAACTTATGCTTTCCAAATTCATAATTGGAGAACCTATGATGACTGATGTTATATAAGTAGTGTCTTATTAGAAATAATTTGTAATTTTAATACATTACTTTTTTCAGAACAGTAGAAACTAATAACTTCAAGCCAGTTATCGCAATATCTGCTGTTGAGGAATGTGAATCAGAACATTTAAATCTAGTTGCCATCACACAATCTGGAGCTAGATTATATTTTAGCACAGGTTGTAGAGAGTAAGTTATAAATATATGTAAAAAGTTTAAGTGAATCAGTGTTGGCCTAGTGGTTTCAGCATGCGGCTCTCATCCCATTACTATGTGCTACTAAAACTCTACGTTATATAGGGACAAAAAGAACCTTAACCCATAATTTTAAGTTTGGGAAAGACTTTGTTTTACATTTGAGTTGCTGTATAATAAAATCAAATCACAATCAAATGGTGTGTTTTGTTTTAAATACTCAGCTCTCCCCAACCAGCCTGTTCAAATGTCTTCAGTACGAAATATCTTCAAATACATTTTTAATATTTTAGTGTTAACGAAGGAGGTCCAGCTAGGCCCCAGGACCTCATTTTATTACATGTGAGGTTTCCACCAGGCTTCACACCAAATGCATCAGTTCTGAAACCGAAACAAGTCCACAATGCTGTATATGATAATGGTATGTTATTATAAATATATTTTTGGACTTATTTGCAGTGAGAAAATTACCATGTTTTGTTTTTTAATTTTTTAAATAAATTTATGTTTTTGGTCCATTGCTCATTTTTACAGACACATTGGTGATCAACATTTTGTTCCTTCCTAAAGCACTTATGTACTGATACCTGGACTTGAATAGCAATATGGACATGTATATTACTTTGGTTATGGCTTGAATTATATATAAAACCCATGTTGTTCTTACCACCACCAACTGTTTGTTACCAATTTCAAAGCTACATTTAATTATTTATTATTTTTGTGAATTATTAAATATGTTTTCTTTGGCTTGTAAAATCTTTTCGCTTAAGATATTTGCAATGTCTCCCATGTTCAGGCATGTTATGGTCTAAGATCCCGCTATACAACGACCTTCACCGAGATGCTTATTTAATGAAACTTATTTTATATTTAATTTAATATGTCAATAAATATAATCCATATGGGTTGCCTAGCAAATTTCAGTCCAGAGTATGTTTATTATTTAAATAAATTTTGAAAAATTTATTATTTCATTAAACATTTCATCTCGGTGTATATTATTAGATAAGTGGATTCTAACAGAATTTAGAAAAAAGTCGCATCCAAAAAATCGTATTAAGAATAAAGCGCCTCAGTAGTAATATTTGCACCACGGAACTTGGTGTAGGTGGCCCGATGTTTAGCTGCCTTAATCAATCTAATTATCTTAGAAATGTGTATATTATTTGTTTATGTTTATGACACTAAAGTATATATATAAAATCTTTAGTATAAGTAAGAAGACTACCGTTATATTGATACATATATAATATACAACTTGTATTAAAAATGATTCCCGATCTAATGAAAAAGAAGTAAAAAAATTTACTACCCAGTAACTTGACCAATTGTATACCTACTTGTAAAAACATTTGAAAATTTTTTCAATTAAGATATTAATGTAAACAATTATTACAATAGTTCGTTTTACTGCTGACGCCGATGGGTAAATAGAAATTGCTAGACAACCCATATGGATTAGGGTATTTATTGACATATTAAAATTAAATATAAAATAAGTTTCATTAAATGAAGACTCTGTGAAGGTTGTTGTATGGGGAACCGGGTATATTATACTATTAGTTGATATAGAAGCTGGATTCTTAGATTTTGACGATGTAAGTCGTTGTCATCTTTAAAATAAATTCCTTTTATTTATAAAAGAATAATACTTCCCCCCAAAAAAAAAAAAAAAGGGTAAAGAAAACAAAACAAAAAAAAACGGGGAGGAAAAAAACCGGGAAAAAACAACAGTTTTCCGAAAAAACACGGGGGAAAAAAACCAGGGGGGCCCCCATATTAACGGATTGGCGAAGATGACTTGTGACTCCTGCAGGTACTCTGGTAAAAATGATTTGCTCCACTGGTGGTGGTGAAGTCGATACAGCTAGACTTGTTTATTTTAGTTATGACTAAGACTCTGGCGTATGTCCTGCTGCTGATGTCGAACTATTTTCTCCGAGAAGGGGGCTTGCATTTTATTTTAAAAAGGAATCCTTCAGCAATAAAGCTAATTCTTACCTTCTCCCCCAAATGGATGGACCAAAAATGTGTAAGTTTACTGAATAGACCATTACTGCACAATGTTAATAACGGACAAACGCAGGCTGAATGCCCATGGTACCTAGACTATCTAAAGTGGGCGCATCTCTCACCTGCCCTACTTGCTAAGAAAGGTAAAAATAACTTGTTAGGCTTTTTTATAAAGTCACGATTATCTGATTCAATAAGAACAGAATTCTAATCAATTTGCGATATTTGTTTTAAATAAACAGAGATTAACGCAGGTATCTTCTTATTTATAAAATAGCTTTTACAAGGTTTATCAGTACAAAATATTTTAAGATTTTTACAGGCTGAATTAATATGTGATGTTTGTTAGATATTTTTTCTTATGTTTGGGTTCCATATTCAAGGTGGAAACATTTTTATTAAATTTAAATAAAAAATATCTTACAAAGGTTCCTACAACATTTTTGTACCAAGTGTTCATACTTTAATTATTAAACATTTTATTTTCCACATTTCACAAATAACATTTTCAAATATGTATCAATATACCTCGTATAACAGACCCATGGTCGGGCTCCCGTTGGGCGGTGGTGAGTGCGTGGGGCGCCGCCCTCATAAGCGCCGGTGCTCCGCCAGATCTTCTCCGGGCCTTGCTAAGGGACTATCGTGGACCCGATGCACAGCCTGTTAAAGATTTGTTTCAGGTATATTTTTTGACGTTTTTGTTTTTGTAATGGATGGACATGAATTAAAATATTGGCATATTTTTTTGGTAAAAAATGTCTTAATAGAGATAAATTTCATCTTCAGCTACAAGGCTACGATCAGGCTTGCGCGTGCGCATTGTATCTCGCGTGCGAAGAAGCTACAAGTGGCGACCTCACCATAAGCGAGTGGGCGTCGCGAGCGTTCTTCATTTACGGAACCCAAGCTGCGCCTGCGCCGCTTCAGTCGCATCAGATCTCACAGGGACCTAGCATAGGTAGCTTTTAGCACTATTATTATTTAAAGTTTTTTGAATTGTAAAATGTTAATGTCTTTGGACGGTCATGGTATCTAAAATATCATGAATATTGATTAAATCCTCAATATAATTTAAAAACAACATTTTTTTAAATAAAAATTCTTATACAAGTATTAGAAAATTTATATTTCTAATTTATTTTGCCTTAAATTCATAATCTCTTTCCAGGATCACCAAAATTCTCACCTCGCCAAATGTCAACACCAATGTCTAGACCGCAAGAAATGAGGCCGCAGGTTCAATCCTTCCAACAAATGAATCAATCGCTGGGCAATCAATCCATGATGTCTCCATACCAGAATGTCAGTCAGACGGCCTTCAACCAATCGTCATTTGTGGGGAACATGAGTCAGCCAAGAGATTTCCAAATAGAATACAGCGCTAAGCACAACGGCCTATACATTTATGTGGGAAGAATTTTGTGTCCTATATGGAATTTGAAGTGTGTCACCAAGTCACTCACGCCCGATAAGAAGGAATTTGTAAGTTGTTGATTCTATTGTCTATGAATGATTTTAAATTAAAGGTTTGATTTTTGATACATAATTTTTGTTGGTAGGAAAGCTTTAGTTAGTTTAACCTTGCCTTAATGTGAAAATACAAATGAAGTTATATTTAAAGTATTACAGCATCCTATCCAGAAATATTTTGACATATACAATATATTATTATATAATTATATAATTTACAAAATTAATACACACCTTTAAATTGTTGTTTGAAATGTTTTTAACTAACCTGATAATTAGTCAATTTTACGAAATGTGTCAAATATTTTTTTATTTACTATCACAAGATAATATTTTGAAATCGTCATTCAACAAAGGCAATTACTACTAACTATACCAAAGAATTAATTATAGTCAATTAGTGCTACAACCCTAAATAGGTCTCGGCAGATTGCATCCGTTTCTTTGATCATTTTTATTTCATAGACAAGTAGGATCAGCCTTCTGTCTGACACATGTCAATATCTGAATTTGAGATACGGTTTCCTCACTATGTTTTCTTCACCGTACGAGCGAGTGTTGGAAATTAAAAAATTGTGTTGTCTTTAACCTGTTAAAACTAGTAGGAGTCGCTTATTAAAGATTTAAATCATAAGATATAATTTAAATTCGCCATAGATCGTAGAGTAAAAGCGGTATTATGTACGAACTGAAGGAGTTTTTTAAATATGTAATTAAATATTTGTATCGTCCTAAGCTAAATATTTGGTGATAATTTTTATTATAGATGTCAAGTAAAGTGACGGGTGAGGATTGTGCGTTCATAGTGAAGAAGTTACAGCGAGTGTCATCTTTCATGCAAAGGGTGGTGGCGCCACCGCATTCTGACGAACATGCTTCTATTCACGCGCTCAAGATATTTATAAGTAAGTATATAAGTCTCTAAAATGGGGTTTACACATTTATAACATTTTTGGTTTACACACAAATTTAAATAACACATATAAAGGCAAATTTATTAAGGTCAGGAAACATGCAGTTATGTAAATGTTGACTATGATTTAGACCTAAATAATCTCTTCTATTTGCTATAATTTTCTTCAAAAGGAAGCAACCGTTCTTTGAAGTCTCGTAACCGTACGGCGGACATTTCTGTGTCTGTTTCAATTTTTTTTAAAACATTTTCTGTCAAATTCCCAAGCTAATATTAATATTGTTTTGTCTTGTCTACGTTCTTCTTTATACACGATGGATTGACTTATTATATTTTATTTAAAAATTACACCAATAGTGAATATAACAAAATTACACTTCCTCTATATTGTATGGATTTTTGAGATCAATTTATCTTTACAGCGATGGCCATAGAAATGTTGAGTTTATGGAAGGTACTGTGTGAACATCAGTTCCACGTGGTAGCAGCCAGCTTGCCACCCGAGCAGCAGCAAGCGTTGCAGGCTGCCTGTTTTCGGTAAGACTCATACATTAACAATATTTTTGTATGTATTTTATAGATATTCGTTATGATTTTTTTAATACTTTGCATTTCAATAAGATTTAGATTTGTAATCATAGTATAAAAATAATTTATACAAAAGTAATTGTAATATTTAGAATAAATCATTCCTTTTTATTAAACGTTTAAATTTTGAAATAATGTGTCTAATTCTGTGGCAACTTTAGAGCGGCTTGAACAGAGGTCCTAAACATGATCATAGTCTTAGTGCTAAATCTGAAATAAAAATGTATTGCATTTTGACATACAAGAGTCATAGTTCGCCCATAATATCTCGTTTCTGAATTTCATTCAAGTCACAGAAAACGAAAGTTGAAGTGAGAATCTATTCATTTGCACTCAAGTAAATATTAGAAACACGTTGAAGTCCCTGTATGCAACAAGCATCCATTATCAGAGACTTGAGAGAGACAGGGAGAGAAGACCATGTATTAAAAAAAAAAAGAATCGATGTGGAAAATAATAAGTTTAATATAATATTTTAAAGAGAGATAATAGATTCATTTGCAATAATTTTTCAGGGAGTTGTTAGTTGGTGGTCAGGAAGTAGCGTGCCTACTTCTGGGTTCACTCGTCGCGGGCTACCTTCGAGACAACGCCTCGGTGGATGGCATTTCTCAGAAATTACGACAACTCTGCCCCAGTTTGTATAGACAAGAGGACGCCACTTGCTCGAAGGTGAGAATCAGAGTAAATTTTGTTTTTAATACAGTTGCTCAAAAAGTGGCGTATTGCAGGGACGTATAGCGTTCGGGATGTGGGCTATTACACACTCGTGCTTTTTTTTTACCTTTTCCAAACTAGTGCGTTTTCTTTCCCAACTGTCAAAATAATGTCTATTAAAAAGAAAAAACCAACCACGAAGTTTTTACTAAAAAAAATCATAGAAATTTTTATGATTCATGCAAATATTTCTAAAAAGAAGCTACTGCTTTGTTTCAATATCAGATTTGATGATTTGATTCAATGAGTAGTAGATTTCATTGTCTCCTTAAATTTAATTTCATATCAATAAAAAATTGTACTGAAGACTTGGCTGTATGGGCATAGTTCTCTTTGCCTACCCAGAATGGGTGAAGAAAAAAAAATATCTGCTTATATTCTTTTACGGTTGGCGCCATTTTCCATAAATGTTCTTTGCGCGTTTAGTTGTTTGTTATATTATATATTAAATATACATGAAAAATCATACGAAATAAATAATAGTTTGTCTCAAACAGTAAATAAATATGCAACCTAAAACTTCTCCAGTTAGTATAAAAAACTGTACCAATGTATATGTGAACAATAATTTGTATAAGAAATAAATGATTAGTGATTTGAGTTTATTGTTTTTTTATTATTTTATTAAATTGCATAATTTTTTCGCAACTGTATTAAAAATAGTTGTTCAGTACACGTGCGGAACCGTCATTGCAACTTGTTCCGACTATCTACTATTGAACTATCGAAACTCGACTATATACTGTCGAAACTCTTTGCAATGACAGGCTTTCCGCACTTGTTATGATATATACTATTCTACCCGCTTTGTCGCAAAAACACAAAAGTATCTTGGGTTGCGTTGTAAAATGCTTACATCAATTTTAACAAATAAATACAATTGGAATTGCGCATTTCTCTTAATAAATAAAAAATATTAGTGAAGGTTAGAAGGATATTTTGAAAATGTATTTGTTATATTGTTTCAGGCAAATGAATTATTGATATTTGCAAAACAACAGAAGAATTCGGCAGAACGCGAAGAAATGCTCCAACAGGCTCTTAAACTCTGTAAAGTATGTTATTTGAATTGTCTTTTACGATTTAACTTGTACTGTACTAAACGCTTCAATCATAAACGTATACTAACGAACTTGAACTTCGAGACTTCGAGGCATAGTCAAATCCAATACGGTTTTGTCATACGGGAGTTGTACTTAGCGTTAAGTCTCGCCTCTTAAAGTATCCTAAGAGCGACATATATAGCAAAGTTGCCATATTTTTAATTATATTAATAGATAATACATAAATAACACGAATACCAAAGACATGCAATACAACTTATCTCACCTCGACGTCCGTTTTTAAGTATTGCCGAGTCGATTCGACTTAGAAAGAATAAAAGAGCGTACCAATTCTTAAAAGGCCGGCAACGTACTCGCGAGCACTTAGCTCTAAATGTCCATGGTCCAATTAAAAATAATAATAATTTTTTTAAAGTTATTTCGTTGTTTTAGGATGTGGCTCCCAACGTAAATCTGCCCCTGGTTTGTTCAAAACTGCTATCGGCTGGGTTTTATGCTGGAATCGTTGAATTGTGCGTGACATGCGCTTCGAAAATCGATCCCCAGGACAGAGCAATATATTACTACAAAAGCGACCAGCCCTCACAAGACCGGGAAGGGCATTTGTTGTACTACAAACGGTAAGTATAAGATAGCATATAGAAAATTACACTCTGATTTTTAATTCCGTAGAATTCTGACAGCTATCATTTTTTGACATGTCAGAGATTACAAACCTTTTTGGCCGGGCCCGTTTTTCAATTTCAATAGGAGTCTGAACATCTGAGTCTATACATACATTTTATTTGTTAGTGAATGTATCAATTTTATTAAGTGCGGTGCTCTACATTAAAAGTGGTTTTACGGCGAGTGTTAATTACGCCCCTTTCCATCACGGTAAAAAACGCACAAGTAAAGATAAAAAATTTTTTTTAAAAGGTTTACCAAACCTGGAGTTAGTGATGCCAGCTAAAGAATACAATAAAGTATTTAAAGTTAATTCGATATATTTTGTTCCTGATATTGAAATATTGGTTATTTTTGGATTAGGTCACTTGAGTAAGTAAATATTAAGATTTACCGTTTTGTAGGTAAAACATAAAAAATACGTAGCATTTTATTTTATTGCCCTCAAATGGGTCAAATTTGTCCCTTTTTCGGTGGAGAAGTTGTTTGTAGCAACACTTATGAAATGTCAGAATTCTACGGAATGAAAAATCAAACTATAAGTTCAAAATGTTTTAGATTTTTGTGTTTGAATGGGTTCTCAAGAATTTTTCGAATTAAAAAAAATCGTGTTGGATTGTATCTTAGAAGGCTACCGATTGGAGCCGTGCATCGATAATAAATATTGCAAAAGTAAAGAATGCACTGATAATTAAAAATTAACAGTAATGGCGCCATTTTCATAGAAATTTTTATCTTAAGGAGCATATAAATCTCGGGTTATGTAAACGATTTATTAAATCGTATTCGTTTCGAAAGTTTTATTGGATGGCTAATTAATTGGTTTTAATAACTTCATTATGATCACACAACGATTATAAGCGGGCATCGCTTATAGAAAATTTGAATCAAACGAAGTTTTTTTTAAATACAAATTTTCATAATTTTTGCTTAAATTCCACCTATCATATTATTAGATCATTACGATTTTAATGTGAGGAACATCCTTTAAAGATATATTTTTAACAGTATGGAGATATACCGTGAAGTTTGCACTGCCCTCGAGCGACTGTACGAACGCAGCGCTGAGGGCAACTCGGAATCCTCTCCTCAACGCGCGCATGCGCAGACTACTGACGCATTACTTACTATGTCGCCCGCTGATGCCAATTATCAGGTAAATAATATAGGTTTTACCTACTCATAGTAGTTCATTAAGCTTAGATTCTTACATAACCCCTTAGATAATTTTAAAGATTATATAAATCCATATTGAAAGTACCTGATAGAGTTCAAGTATTTGTTAACAGTAAAAATATCACGAAAATCGCTGAGCTGATTTTGATGAATGTTGGACTGTTACCAAAAGTGGAATTTAGTTTAACGTAAAAGGCTCAAATATGCAATTCCAACTATATATACAAGTGAAACTAACACCCTCCTTTTTTGAAGTAGTGTAGTCGTTTTAGGTGTATTTAGTAAAGGATCGTATACATGTTTAATTTGGTAAAATATATTTTGTTTACTATTTTTAGTTCTATTTAGCTTTATTTAGTTAACGATGTGTTTTAGGGAAGGAAATTAGTATCGGAGTGCTTGTCAAGAGATGACGAACTTCTACACGTGGCTATCTATGAATGGTTGATATCTAAGAATTTAGGGGCAGGTATGTATTCATATAAAACAAGAATTTCTTATAAATAATGCTTTTCAAAGTGTAATTTTTCTCATATTATGCAGTTGTTTGTCTGCTCTAAAAGAAACAAATTCCTGTTTTTGACTTCTTAGCATTTCGAAGTTAGGCATACTTTTTTTATTTTTTGAGTAACAGCTGTTTAGTTGAGTTGTCTGTTTCAAGTATTGTCTAAACAATAAAACAGAAACGCTAAATTCTATTAGTTTTTACTTATAAAAATGGCCGTATATGTCGGTGTATTATCATTATTATTATTATAGGTAAAATACTAATAACTAGCCATCTTCATTCCTTATCAATTATATATACAATCTGTGTGTGTGTTTGTAATTAAACCGCTGGACCGATATTAAATTTTGTGTGTTTAAGTGGATACAAGAATGGTTTAGATTAATAATTAGATGATTTTCTGTTGTTTTTGTAAGTTTGTATTTAAGACGTCTGTACAGGACAACGTATGTCGGATACGCTATTTTCGTAAAAAATATATCTTCTGTATATGTCGGCCTATTTTTATTGAAACTATGCAGGAGATATGTTTATTTAATTTTTGGTTCCACCCGGGATTTAAGCCGAGATGTAGTGTCGAAAGACAAGATTATGAAGCTATTTTTATTTATTTTTTTCAGAATTGGTAACTCTAAGCGGTGTTGCGCCGGCGTCTCTCCGTACCTACTTAACGGCCGCTGCGCGACAGGCTACAGGGCGGACGGCACTTCTACTTCTCGACTTGTTGTGGAAGGTCCTAGAAAAGGCCGGGGACCATCTAGCGGCTGCTGAGGTCCTTGAGGGACTCGCTACCAGACCAGGGTAAGGGAATTCTTAAAAAGAATTCTGAGTTTGAATAAAAGGAAGATCGCTGTTGAGTGTAGGCTTTTGTTTCATTCACAATACCATTAAAGTAACTTAAAATTAATGTAGGCATGGCTGATTAATGGCCATATTTGGCAAAGAGAAAGAACCTAAAGGAGACGTCTGCACATCGTATAACACGTCGCCGTCACGCGTTTGGCCTATCTTTTTTTTTTTTAAATTTTCTTCATTTTAAAGTTTTATTTGTATTATTAACTTACTTGCCTATTAGATTGACAAAGAGATACAGAAATCTGAGACCCAGACCTAATAAGATTGTAGTGCCCCTGACTTACTTATTTTATTTTTAATATTTGCAACATATAGGTTGACACTAACGCGTTAAGACTTGCAATTTTTTAAAAACGCTTTCATTGTAGACCTGTCTAATTTTATAAAAGCAAAAAGTAATACTGCATTCTAAACTAATTGACAAATTTAAACAGAACGGGTGCAAATCTATCCCAACGCATGTCGTGGTTGTCCGCTGGCGTGGTCTGCGTCCGTGGTGCCGGAGGTGCAGGAGGGGAGTTGGTTCGTCGCCTGGAAGAGGCCAGCGAGGTGGGCCGGGTGCAGGTGGCCGTTAGGGCTGCAGCCAAGTCTCCTCCGGTGCCACCTGCGCTGCTCCATCGCCTGGATGACGAGCTGCTGGATATTACACAGGTATTCTATAATGTTTTGTCATATTTAATTCTAAGTTTTTCATGTAGACGGCTGTGACGGTTTGCTATTAGGGTTGAAATTATAATTCTTTGTAAGTATGTAACAGCCCCACTATTCTATAAAATCTATATCAAAGATTAGTTCTAGTCGTTGTGATAATAATTGGCACTTCGCCACAAAAAACCCTGTTGACGTCATCTAAGCTAAGTTCGATTCCGTTTTAATTTACTGGGTACGAAATCTTAATATTGCAATTGGAATCGCTATTGGAATACGACAGGCTTATAGGTAGAAAACACTTTTTGACGCATGGCGCAAAAGCATGACTCCTTGTCCCGTTACGCTCATTGTACGCTTGCGCCGCATCTATCTCGCTTCCACGATTGGCTTATGCGTCCGAGGATTCACTCCTTTGTATCTATATAAAATATTAATAATTCAATTTTATTAATAAAAGTATGCAGTAATTTCATCAATGTTTTCTTATGATGTTGTCACGTTAAACTATCGTCCGTAAACCGACTTTACAGACAACCATTTTTTACACTCTCTAATGGCGTTAATTAACGCAACCAACCGTTTAGATTCCCTTATTTAAAAGAAGCAACAGCCTCTTTGCATGTTCTAAAGAAATCATGTTAAAATACAGTGTAAACTCTTTATTACGTCATTCGTTATAACGAAGAAATATTTTCATATTTAGAAATCAACAACATACTATAGTGTAATTGTTTTTATAATCAGCTTACGAAACTAACCTATTGAGGTGCTGAAATTTTAGAAAGACACTTGAGGTCATAAACAGCCGTCTCGCATTTGTTAATGTTAATTACATTAACACGTGTGCCTTTATTCTGAGATTACATTGCCTGTAGGAAATTTTGGTCTCAGTTATTAAACGCACCACGTCACCTATCGTGTATTATCAGTCGTCAACAAACTTTGAAACTATCAAAATGGCCAGTAAATGCGTTATGTATCATATGTGTTTAGAATAAGTTACCTATTGATAGTAATAAAACTAGAAATTATTGTAATTTGTTAAATTTGGTTGTTTTTCTCTGCCCTCCCCTATAATTCTTTATAACGAATAAAAATGTTCGGTCCCTTGAAATTCATTATAAAGTACACTGGCAAACAAGCAGTCTCCCTTCTGGCAAAAAGTAAATATTTAGCTGAAAATCGAGAACTACGATTTTTACTAAACCTCGTAAGAACAAACTACTACTAGGAAATTTCTTAATCTTACTGTTTAACAGCTATACGAAGAATACGCGGACCGATACAACCTTTGGGAGTGTAAACTGGCCATAGTTCAATGTTCTGGTCATAACGATGCGCTGTTGGTTGAGAATATATGGAGCAATATTCTTGCTGAAGCAGAGAACGCCGCCAGGGGCTTACTCTCGCCTGATGAGAAACTATCCTCTGTACTCAGCAAGTTAACCACATTGGGACGGGAGTACGTCAATTCGGGACATTGCTTTCCCTTATGTAAGCAAATAGTACTTAAAATTATTTAAAAAAAAAATTGTGTTGTTTGTAAACTGTTTCTGTATTTACCTTTTTTAATTCCTGTTCTATATTTTAAATTAATTTTCTATGTATATATGTGTTGTACCTCTGTAACAATAACGATAGTAAAGTTTAATAAAAATATAAAACGCTCCAGTATCAGCCAATACCAAACTAAGATTTTAGACCATGATAACTTTTTGATGTGAAACATCTATAGTCGCACGTAAAACTGATTTCTGGCGCGGCGACGCATGCCATGGCGACGCGTCGCTTCGCTAAATGATGATATATATATATATATTAAAGAACAGATTGTGATAGGAACTAAATATGTCATAATGATAAAATAAAATATTACGATTTTTTTCCCAGATAACGATGACTATTTATTGAATAAACATTTATTTTCATTATATCTATTTCAAATCGTAACTACTTAATTCGTTTAATCAGTGACTTCGAAATACACACACCGTACACACTACTGCATATAGACTGTATATATATATATACCATCATATGGCGACGCGTCGCCACAGTATGCGTCGCCACGCCAGAAATCGGTTTTACGTGCGGCTATAGAGGTTTCACATCAAAAGTTTGGTCCCTGTAATATATTAAGTACTTATGAATATGTCAGTTAAAATTTGTTTACAAAAAAATTATAAATAAAAAATTAAACTACTTCGTACTAGAGTATATTTTTGCCAGGACTAAAGTTATTATTTTTCAGATTTCATCGTCCGACAGTTGGAAATACTAAGTTGTAAAATACAAGCTGAAAAAAGTATGGTTTTTAAAACTATTTTCAACATTGGGGTTTCTTTAGAGCAAGTTTTGGATATTTATGTCAAGTAAGTATAACCCAATATTTAATTTACAAATATTAGTTGTTAAAAATTATTTTAGAAAAAAATAATCCCCTTCAAGTACACTGGTACTTGGACATATAATATGGTTCAATAATGGTACAGAAATATTTATCACAAAAAATACTGAACAGACTTTGTTGAAGTGTATACTGTTACCTAAGTCGGAATATATACGATTTCAATCAAAAGGATCATCTTGAATGAGTTTTATTTTTTGTGTGGTTAAACATACATTACATATTTAGCACACCTGCTTAAAGTGATAAATGATCATACTCAAATATAAAATTCCAACAATATCACATACATACAGAGAGATCTTTATTTAGAACTTACTAGTTAATTGAGATATTGGTATTACTAATAAATTTAAAAGATTCTCTTCTTCCAGATTATACGTTAATTTTTTTTAATCATTTTACAGCAGTGATTATATAAATAAGGTAATAAACTTTCCAAATATAGAATATTTTTTTTTATAAAAGACATGTTTTTACAGATTGGTGAGCGTAAACGAACGGGTGTGGCTGGGCTGCGGTGACGAATCGCATGTGTGCGGCGTTGCCGTACTTCTCCTGCAACAGGCGAGGAGCGAGGTTGCCAATCTGCCTGCCGCGCCTCGGCGAAGAGCCCTCGCTCGTTGCAAGGACCTACACGAAGCCGCTTTATCCGCCTTACAGGTGAGTACCTATAAAGGTCTAAGTGTGCTATTCAGCGACAAACCAAGTTTTCTATGTGTAAAACAAATTTATTATAAAATCTCTAAACTATGGGGCCGTTCAAGTATAACGTTAGCAGATATACTGCAATCCCCCCCTCTCTCTCTCTCCTCCTCTTGTCAGCAAAAGTAAGCAGAGCTCTTAAAAATAATAATACATAATCGTATTATTTTTTCGTATGAATCATCGAAAATTTCTCTTTCTTTCCTCGGTTTTCAAGCATAGACAATCTGTGGGAAATATGTGTAAGAAAGTAAATAATTACTGTTGACGTAATTATTTACTTTCTTCACCAAATAAGAAAATCAATATAATATTTAATAATATTTTTAGTATTTTTTAATATTTTTAATAGTTTATGCTAGTCACATTTTTACCTATACATTAAGAAACGGAAGATATATCAATAAATAAATTAAATTAAAAGTGTATTTACCCTTCTAAGAAGTATACCAGGCTCCAAATGGTTCTCACAACTCAATGGTTAAACCCTTGCTACTTAATTTGACTATTTAGGTTAATGATTTATGGTTATAGTATTAAAATTATACATTTTAGATTTATAAAAAATAGCAAATAAAATATCTTGAAAAAAATATTGGTTTTGTTATCTATAGCTAATGATCGAATCTAACCTTAGTTAAAATGTTTCTATAAAGTCAATAAGTCATATATAACCCCCAATGGGGAATGGGATAGCCTCAGTTTATATCATTGATCATAATATTTACTAATGTGAGAAATCGAACTAAGCACCTCCGATTTGTACGCCATGTGTGTTAACCACTAAGCCATAGCTATAACAGACATAAAAAACTTTGTTATAGAAGATACTAACTTATCTCATAATTTATTTTATCGACCAATAAATGATAAATTAATAAAAATAAATTATTTTCAGAGTCGACCCAACACCCAAGTCTTAATCGATAAAATTACTGTGGCGCAGGCGCATTTGGACAGAATGGATTAAACAGAAAAACATTGTAGACAATTTATTTATAATTTAATTCACCCATGTTCTTAAAAATACAATTTCTATAAAATTATGTATTAGTTTTAATTTTTTATCGGCAGTGTTTTATACTATCACTGGTTACACATTTTGATACGTTTAATTGAACAATTATTAAATAAGAATTAAAGTGTAGTACAACTTCTATTTTTGTAAATAAAATTATTAAAAATACTACTTGTTTTTGGTTTTAAAACTACGTATAAAGTGAAATATAATAAAATACAGTTTGAAACTTTGTAATTTTATTTTACAATTATACAACCGTACTTAGAGTCATTAATTAAGATTGAGTCGCTCTATGTGTCAAAAACGTATTGGATTCGACATACAAGAATAATTTAGTGTTAACGCTTAGTTAAACTATTTTACTTTTATTTATTATTAAAAAAAGTGTGCCGTAAAATATTAACAAAACAGTAATTTAAATTTTATAGCAAAAAAAAGGAGGCTGTACCTCTAGGAAACATTAAAATCTGAAGCCAAGAGTCTCAGATACAAATCTGTTCCGCGATCATTTTTTTAATTAGGACCTGCAACCTTTTAGGTCTGGGCCTAAGATTAGAATTCCTGTATTGTGATTTAGTGCAGTGTGAGTCGAACTCAAGACCCCAGGATTGAAAGTCGCACGCTCAAGCCACTAGGTTAGCACCAAAATAATAATTAAAGCCTTTATTCTCTGGCCGTTAGTTACAAACAATATAACAAATAATTGGTAAGAAAAACATTTTTTTTAAATGTTATGGGCAGGATGTCTGACGTAGGTCTTCCCTATTCTGCTAGCCCAGGGCTGGGCTGCTGACACTACTACTCGGAATGTCATAGTTGCTCGCTAATTTAATTGACGACTCTAAGTACAGCACTCACATTTATAAATCCATATACAGTCAAAATCTGTTGTAACGACCTTTGATTTTGGTCAATATAACCGGTATGTTGTTCTAAAAGATGTCGTCGTAAACGGTTTTGACTGTATTTCATTTAAAGATACCCTCATTAAAAAGTTTAAGTGCGCTAAAAGCGAGTGCCTTAAAATAATAAACATCTATATATAAATATAATTACATCCATACAATATTCCCGTCTGAGCGCATTGAAAAATAAAACATTATTGTCACTTAGGAAGACAGAGTATATATGGTATTAAGGTATTATTAAAGTATTAAACCTGTCAAAAACTCATTTGCACCCTTACAGATACATTATGAAGGGTAGCTTTTTCGTATTTACATAAATTAATTTCAAGAATTTTAGCTAGAATTTACTGATCATCGGTAGCTTTTTTATTTGAAAAAAAAAAGATTCTATAATTATACAAAAAGCTATCGAATTAAGATTCATCATCAAAAGGATTCTTTTTTACCTGTTCATCATCTGGGTATGTGTATAGGCTGGGCTGGCCACTTATACTCGGCAAACCCACAGTGTTCATAGGAGACATAGCACCATATTTATTTAAATTCTTCCCTGAATTTTGCCGAATAATAGTAGTGTATGTGGGAATTGATTTTATGGGTATGTCTTTAATCCTACTTGCAGCTCGATAAGTGCCGAATTCATCTGGTGGTGGAGGAAGGGAGAAACCATCTGACGCTTGGGTAATCTCGGACGCCTCATCGCTTACTTCTTTTTGCGATCTATGCCTTGTTTTTCGTGGCATAGTGTAAAACGTATTCATCTAAAATTTAAAAATATGTACTTTACTTTTCTGTAAGTTATTTTCTCGGTAGGAATCAGTCTTTAAAGCTCATGGGAGATAACTAGGATTGCTAGGAATTAATATTATTATTATCTATCATTACCATTATCATCGAAAAACGCATAGCAAGTCAACAATAACATTCCTTATTTTCAAAGGAATCCCTTATTTATTTCCATTTAACGCAACGTGTTTTGACACATTAATGGGAAGAGCGGCGCGCGCTCTCAAAAAAGGGGGGTGGTATTGAGGGGGGCGCGGCGAAGGGAAGAAAAACAAACTAAACGGAAAAAGAAATAGAATATGCGTGAAGTTCGTATGCCAAGAATTTTGAATGACCATAATGACATTTGTCATGTACCTTCTTAGACACATTAAGGAGTTTTGATTAATTTTTCAAAGAAATTTATTAATTTTATATTGTGCAATACTGCCAAAGCTACAACATACTTCTAAGTGTTTGGTAGAGATGTTCTAAATATATAATTATATATACTTTTAACTAAATAGAATTTATGTTACACTTAATGTAAGAGAATAATAATAAATAATTATTTATTTAATTTTTCAAATGTAAACTGAACTTAATTGACTATAATTACTCTTTTCCAGTCTTTGATTATTTAATTGTAATTAATTATTTGCATGCAATCAAAAACTATTTTTAATAATGCCAAAAGAAGTATAACTTCTTAGGGGGGGGGAAAAAAAAAAAACCCCCCTTTAATTACAAAAAAAAAAAGGGGGGTTGAAATTTAATTGGATTTATTAAAAACATGTTCTTACTTACCGGCTTAGGCACATTATAGCTTGGTTCAGGTGGTAGATGCATTACAAGATGGTCACACAGAGTATCCATTTCTCTCTTCCTACTTATATTCTGTAGGGAATGGACCCTGCAATTCGTACGTCTTGTCTGTATACATTTCGGTTCTGGCTCGGACATATCTCTCATATATCTGGCAGAGTGGAAAGAGCTGGTCCTTCGCATATCATAGTTTTTTGGAGGATACTTTGCGATTGCCCTTCGGAATGATTCCGTTCGACGTATGTTACATTCGCTGCCCTCGTCGCTATCATTGCATGTCTCGCAATTTGATTCTGTATAATATTCATGAGTAAAATGGTAATTTGAGTAAGAAATATGTAAGAGATGATTTATACTCTGTAGTTGTAGATATTTAAAAAAATGTGCGTGCGTACAAAGTAGGTACACATGTCAGACGGGAAACTTCTTTGGCAAACTAGTTTTTAAGTCTTGTTCATATTTATACAAATCTAAAACTTTAGATTTCCGAGACTTAGAGGGAGGGAAAAAGGAAGATATGTTAGGAATTAAATGAATTTAATTGTCATTAAAATATTAAAAGTGTCGAAAATTAATACAAATTATAAATTCCATTTCTTTATATTTATTTCTTCGATAATATAAACACGTGCTTTTATTACTATTCGTTATTTGAGATTTCAATAAATTATTTAGCATAAAAATGTAAAATATGCGTTTGGCCTTTAAATTTTAATGAAAATATTTACTAGAAAACGTGAAAACTTACCGTCAGTAGTATAAGCACATAGGGGTGGATGTGAATCTCTTGGCAGGTCGTGTCTTTGTTGTCTGTCGTGAGCGCAAAGCACCAGGCCACACGCGATCAAAGCTAAGAGAGCCACGCCCCCGCATAACGACAAAGCTAGCGTCGTTATATTCGTTACTGCGCTAATTGTGAGTGCCGGGTCTACAAGTTAAGGTACTCTTAATAATAGATATTTTAAATACCTACGGAGATTTTCTATCAAGAATATGTTTACTACAACCTTTTTAGGTCTGGGCCTAAGATTAATGTATCTGTTTCATTATCATTTGTTAATCTAATAGGCAAAATATACTTGGAGCTTACCAATCCCCTCATCAATTATGCTATCCTTATCCAATTCTATTATTTTACTTTCACCTTTATCATTAAAAGCTATAATATTGAATTTATATGTTGTTTCTTTAGGCTCTTCAATCATAAACTTTGGTTCTTGATTTATTATTGAAACGAGCTGTTCTTCAGAATCCGCTGCGGTGACGATAAATTTGAATTTCTGGAAGTTACCATTATTACTTTAAGATTTTTCTAGAAGGGATCTATTGTGAATAAATCTCTACTGTGTATCAAATAGTCACTTTTCGTCTGTACGTTGGAATATTTTTACTACGGATTTTAATTTAATGTATAGCGCTTCAAGAGACAAGTTTATATGTACAACAATATCTATATATTATATAAACATAAAGCTTTCCGTACGTAAAGTTTTCCTGCTAACTTCTAACTTTATTAGTACCTACGACAATTGACTACCTTCCAAGGGCTTTGAGTGCGATTCATTGGTATCGTAGTAACCGGAATAAAGCAATGAATCACACCAGAAAAGCATAACTTTTAATATATGAGACTAAAACTCAGGGCCTTTTTCTGCGTTCTTCCTTGATAACGAAAATATAGTTTCATTATAACTTTGAACAGTTGCATTGACCTCTTTGTTATTGTGTTTTACATCCACTTTCTTGGCAAATAAACGATTTACTTATTTATAATCAAATATTAAACATCTTTTATAATTGACAGTAAAATACAAGATAATTTAATTTCATTCCGATAGAAACGTACCTGTGGCAATCCTCCGTCATGACCCGCCCTACAAGTAACTGTGATATCTCCTTGCATATCCTTAATCGCTTCACAATTAGATGGAGGTTGTGGAACAGTCTCATCCGTCACCAGAAATGTGCATTTAGTTTGTAGAAGATCACTACTCTTCACTGAATTCAAGCCCCAGCAGTATACGAGCGCTACAAATAAATGTATATATATTTGAGCGCTGGTTTTACAGGATTAAATTACGTATAAGATCTAAAATATATGAGATGTACAAAAAAGCAAAAAAATCAGTGGCGCTACAAGCTTTTACGGCTGGGCCTGATTTCTGTTTTCTTCTGTACCTGACACACGCCGACGACTTTGTGTGTCTAAGCCTCTCTAAGGCATGTCAGTTTAATTCTTCGATCTGTTTTCCTTTACCGTATACGCGAGTGTTTAATAATCGAAAGAAGAACCCATTGGCAGGGATTCGAAGGCACGACCTTAAGCTAACACTGCTCTTAGATGTACATATAGTAAACGAATAATTTTCTTAACCTAAATAGTAATCATAAAAATATTTAAAAAGAAAATTAAAACAATTTTTTTTAAGTTTGGTCCCTGTGGCAGTGTTCCTTTAACGCTGGCAGCATTTCCTCGCTGTATTGAGATACTTATTCGTTGAGCCAGGAAAGCACCAGCTCTGGGGTCAACGGTAGGTACTATCTACCAGGCGCCAACTTAAATCTTTAATTAGCGCCTGTGCACTTGATCGCTTCTCTAAAAAGATCGTAAAATAAAAACAATTCTAACTTGTGGTGCAATTAGGCCTCTGATACATAAGGGTATCGTCATCAGTCTCCAATGTTTGTGACTGGTTTGTATGCAGCTTGGTATTTTCCACCTCGCTTACCAATAACCATCGGTAAGCTGTAGGAGGCGGGTTCGCTTTAACTTTACACGTTATATTAATACACTCTTCAGAAGCCACTCCATATTCTACCACACTTTCATCTTCACAGTATGGCGGATCTGCAAATTAAAAAAAACTGAATATTCTTATTTTTTCTTGGTATAAGGAAGCGACATAGTTCAAATACAATTTTGTAACGTACTTATATTTCTTAAAGTATATGTAAAATAAACAGATACATCACAATGGAAAAAATATATTAAAATGTTTACCACTTCGTCCATATCGCTTAGTGTTTATCTGTATTTTACAATCTTATATATAAAATTCTCGTGTCACAATGTTAGTTACCATACTCCTCCGAAACGGCTCGACCGATTTTTATCAAATTTAATTTGCATATTCAGTGGGTCTGAGAATCGGCTACTATCTATTTTTCATATCCCTAAGTGATAAGGGTTGTCCACCCCTAATATTTTATTTTTTGGACGAAATTTTGATTTTTAATTTTTTTATAATGTGCCATTAAAAATACATACAACCCTAAATTGTCACCCCTCTACGATTAACCCCTATTTTTTTTATAAGTAGATAGTTATTTTTATTGAACTAAAAAATGTTTCCTAGAAATAATATAGGTACATGACAAAACAACGTTTGCCGGGTCAGCTAGTGTACCTATATAAATTTAAAGTAGTTAAGAGACTAGACACGTTTTACAAGATTTTGGTAAGGAAAAGTTTTCGTGTATACTTACAATATTAACGTATTATACAAATGGTGATAGAAACTTACATACGACATCTATAACGACCGGTTTGCTATAAGTAAATCCTTCGTCGTTAGTAACGGAGCAGGCATATTCGCCACTCTCATCTTCGCTAACAGAAAGTAAATCCAATTTTTGTGTTGGAGAAACTTCCTCGTCCGTGCTTTCACTTAGTATGTCATCCTGAAACATTTAAAATTTTATTTATTTATTTATTTATACTTCATTGCCATAATAGGTACACATAATTATACTTTAAAAAAAAAGTAAGTAGTTAATAGGCAACAGGCGGCCTTATCGCTAACAAGCGATTTCTTTCAGGCAACCCTCAGGCAATCCAAAAAAAATTGTGGATTAGGAGAAAAAACTGACAAGACCATTTTTATCCACGAAAATTCTACCTATGTGATAAATGTGCCTGGATCTTAGTAGCAAACGAATTTTAACTATTTACAACAGACAATATTATTCAACTGAATATAATTTAAGAATTAAATGTTTGCTAAAAGGGTGCCGGGAAGAAAATGTATCAGTTATAATACTTGAAACAAATTTTTTTGTTTGTCCAAGAATCGAATCTTCTGATTTTCACTATACCACTTAACATGATAAGCAACATAATTTAGTTTATACCATGATCATTATTAGCAAGTTTTCATTTTTTTTAAATAATACATAAATATACTTGAAATTTCGTAATTTGTAATAAAAAAATGCGACAAACGAATTTCAGAGAATCACTCCAACTTTGACCGTCATGGCAATTCTTTATATCTAATCTATTATATACAAATAATTTTATATTTAATATTGTATTTATTAGTTTAACGTAGTACTAATGACACAAAAACAGATTTTTTGCAGATTATACAATCATAATGTTACGACTTACCTTATGGAACCAAATCATCCGAAAAACTGCCGGATTGGCTTCAAAACTGCAATTTATAGACACATTCGAGCCTTTAACAATAGATAATGTGTCGTTTTCAACTGTCTCACCAATAACTTCTATATTGACAACGGGTCGATCTAAAAAAAAAATTAATATTAATATAAGTACGATTAGTTTCAATTATGAGCCTGGCTTAACGTTCGGATCCGAGAGAATTCATTAAAAAAAAGAACAATTGTAGCATACACGTGTGGTTGCCACATTATTGAACACGGGTTCGATAAGCACTCATGCGGTTGCAAATCTTTCTATCTAAAGTTTAGCCAGAGTCTTATTACCAAGCCGAAACTTTTGACGACCGCTTATAATAATCTTATAAGACGGCATAACATACTATCTCATTGTGTCTATTGTAGGTGGTAAAAACACTATAACATTCCTTTATTTATTCTTACATTGCACAGATAAATGTTGCGCCAGCGCACATATATAGTCTTCAGAGTCCCTGCGATAGGCAGGCACACAGCATGTTATACGGGACTCGTCAAATTCTGGAGTTACATTGAGTCGGATTTCATTTACTAATCTCTGTTGGGTTGGTTCTACCTAGAAAAAATATGGCACATTACATACATGTTAAAAAAAAGGAACTTTGGAACAATTTATTAATTACCACCGCGTTGGTCCGAAAAGTTAAAGTGACCAAGAAGAAAAGGCAAGATTGAGCTTTTTTAAAGCCATTACAGAGTGTAAGTTTTTACACACTTTATACTAGCTTCACCTGTATGTATGTATGTAACCGACTCCTTCGGACTCGATTTTGACCCACTTTAAACGGACAGATTTTATTCAAATTTTGCGTACCTGTCAAAGATCGATGACAATGCAATAATCCGAAAAAAAAATAAAAAAAAATTAAGTAAAAAATAAATAATAGTTTAAAAAAACACGCTTTTAAAGCACATCAAACTAAAAAGTGAAAAATAATTCCTTTAGGCTGGAAAATGGTAATGAACAAAAATACTTTGTGAAAGAGTGGGGGCTCTGAGTTTTCGTATATAGAGCACCCCACCCTTTTAAATATTTATTTAACATATTTAAAAACAACAAAATTTCATGCGACGGTGGACGTTGGAACAAAATTGATTAAAATCTTTCTTTCATATTGCAATGGAATAATAATATTAATAATTTTAAATATATATTAACAATAAATAAAATTTTACTAGAGTTTTGATATGAAAGTTAGGAACGTTTTACATAGCAACTTATTATTGACGCACGTGCCAAGTGTCGAAGTATCTAATGGTGTGTCTTTAAATATTTGTTTAAAAAAACATAAAATCCTTTTATAGATTGGCATACTACGTGAAACCTACTTAATCGAATAATGCAACAAATTTATTTCTCTCCTGATGTTTCGAAAGTTAACAAGATAATTATAATTATCTACACTTAACAATTAGATTTTCGCCGATTACACGAGTAGCGGCCCTCTTAGAATTTGACTAAATAATCGAATAAATTAATTTTATTTACTTACTATGGTATTCTGTTCAGGAGTGGTAAGTTTCGATTCATTTATTCGCCACGTGACAGTTGGCAACGGTCTGGCGAAGAAGACACGGCACTCCATTGTCAGGACTTCGCCTGCGCGTGCGCGCCCACCAAACACTGAATCTTTGTCACCCACGTGTATTGACACCAGCTCTGGAGGTACTGGTACATAGCATAATTGTTAAGGCACCATTTGGGGACAGACACAGGGGGGTAAGTCTGATATGTGCAAAATATTCAAGCTATCGAACGGAAGGTAAGTATGTACGGTATTTATTTTACGTAGTATTAAAATCCCATCGGACAGGGACTCCAGATTACATCTCCAAATGAGGATTTTGTAGACATTTTAATGTATATAAAATTTGAAGGTCAAATACATAACCAACTGAACTCAGGTATAAAGCAACATCTTCAACGATTCTATAATTATGCGTGGTGTAAAATAAAGATATAAAATACATATAAATAAGAATTTATTCATACATTTTACGTTAATACTATAATTTTAGAAATTCTTAAAATAAATTTACATTAATTTAATAACAGAACTATAAATAATAAAAATAAAATCTAAGAACAATGCGCATATAATAAAGCATAACAAGTATAATTATCAAGAAATAGTTACAAAACTAATCTAAAATAATATTAATTAGCGCAGTAGCGTATCTGCATGGTACTCGTAGTGGATTTAATATTTGATTTAGTCTTCGATTTATACGAGTACCTATCACAAAATGATTTTAGCCGTAGCTAAATCCGTCAAAATATAGCATACGGTCTTATCATAAAGACTTAGATGAAAAAGCATATACGGTAACCAATACAGTACCACTATCTATAGTGCACGTATTATACATAATAAGGCCGCTATGCTTTTGAATTTACTGTTTAACGCACGCATGATTAATTGTTTTTATTCATTAGAAATGTTAAATTCGTGCGGTTCATAGCTACGATCATAAGCTTAGATTTAATACCAAAATCTCAAAGAATGGCATGTTATTAAAACAATATTCATTTATCAAAAATCCCATGCAGATACGGCTCTTGCTACCATATACAAAGCACATAAGCTAAGCAATGCTCGCATTTTTTACATGCATATTAAGAATATACATTAAAGATTATATTAATTATACCTTTATTTATGTCTATGGTAAGCAATTACACTTACAGTACATATCAATAGAAATATCGATGGATAAAGGTGGTGTCTCATCGTTATTCTGAGCGAAGCATGTGAAGATTCTGCCATGGTGTTCACGACTCAACGGCCCGAAGTGTAAATCGCTACGCACTCGTAGTTCAGAGAGTACCGTTGATGTATTTTTCAGCAATTGCTGTTCCGACCACCACGACAGACTTGGTTGGGGTTTACCTATGATAGTTATTTACTTTATATAATACAATTTTTTTATAGAACAGGGAGCAAACGGGCAGGAGGCTAACCTGATGTTAAGAATTACTGTCGCCCATAGACTCCAATCAATGCCAGGGGGCTCGCGAGTGCGCTACCGGCCTTTTAAGAAATGGTACGCTCTTTTCTTGAAGGACCCTAAGTCGAATTTTTCGGAAATACTTCAGCTGGTTCCACATAGTGGTGGTGCGCAACAAAAACTGCCTTGAAAAAAGCTCAGTTGTGGAACTGCGGACGTCGAGGTGATACGGGAAAAATTTACCAAGATAAAAAGATATTTTATAAGTAATATTATTTTTGGGAAGCGATGTAAAAAAGCTGCAAGAGGTGGTTTAATGTAACGCGTTTTTATAGGTTGTCTATTAAAGTCTATATTTTTGACAAATTAATTTTTAAATGTCATCTAATGAAAATTTTACTTTACCTCCAAATGCAACACAAATCAAATCTATGGTATCTCCGATGTAGTATGGACCAATATTTCTACTTGTGTTAGAGCCTGCGTTGGCGGTGGCCACTCGAGTCCCATTCTCGTGAATTATCCACAACTTTTGTGGTGGTTCTGGAAACATATATGTACATTACTAGTTCTGTCATGCGATGTGTTGCGGGGTATCTTAGGACATATTTGATCCAGCAATGTAGATTATAGTCCACTAGAGGTGAGGTTAAATAACTCTGTAAACTATGATATTTCTAGACGTTTGTAAATTTCATTCAACCCTGACCAACTTTTATAGTCAAACAAACACAACACAAGAATCGTAATATGAAATTATAGTTGTTGGTTTTTGCTGATTTAGTTTTGAAAGATTTTAGTAATTTAAAGCAAATTAAGGCGGTAGAAGAGCGTGTGGCATCAAAGCTTTAAAAATGTTTAAAGTTATAAGTAAAAAAACACAATTTGTAATAAGCGCAATGCCAAACAATCTTCGGCTTCAGTGATCGACTTTTTCGGTCATAATACATAGATAAAATAGGTCCGTAGCACATCTTATGGCTCAAATTTTTCCAGGGCAAGTGTCCTTATAATTAACCTATGTTTCACGGCAGTTTAGGTCAAACCACTACAGCTACGAACCGTATAGGAACCTTATCACGTTTAAATAGGGTATAATTTTCAATGATACGATGTTGCCCTTTACCGACATAAGTTTAAGCATTCTTATGCCGGTAGTTGACACATAATTACAATATACCTTTATATAACTCGCTATTTACGTGGCATAATTATTGTTAGTATAAATAAAGTGAACGGTTCCGGCGCTGTCAGCTTCCTCATTAAACTTACCCAGCAATTAATCGAAAGCGTGGCCATTTCGTTAATATTTAACTTTTTTATTCCATGACCTATTTTATGAACAAATCACTGCAGTGATAACCAATTTTTTTAACTCGTTATATTTAATATTTCTGTGACTACGCGTAAGATATAGGTATAATTTCTAATTTACGGCATTAGGCCTTATACCCAAGCCAACGTTAAACACAAATCAATACGATGTTTGTACTTATGAGTTTTTAGAAAACTTTCCGAAGTTTGCTAGTTCACGTGAAAGTATTTAATCAAAAATCGTAAGTATAGGTTTCTACAAATTACTTTAGTAGGTGGTGCTAAGTGCTAACTTCTTCTTGATTGAACTGATTTGATTTTTTACTGCTTCATTTAACAATAAGTTAAAACTCTTAATGTCTTAAGCCTTGTATCTTCCTTGTTTTTTTTTATAGCTGCTAGTTTAGTGTTAATTTTTGTACTGTCATGTTTTACTTTGTATTGTATTCTTTATCAGTGAAACTTTTTTTGTGGATATGTCCAATGTGTCTATTTATTTTATGTTTTACATTTATTCTATTTTTACTGTATAGAGATGTATCTGTTTAGTTTCCTTAATAAATAAATAAATAAATCTTAGATTTCTCCATGTTTCATCTATAACTTTTTTAGGCAGTGACACTGCACTAATGAAATAATGTTTTAGGGGTTGCATAATCGTCATAATTAGACAGGATCAGTCTTTCGGATATCTAAATAGTCTAAGCATTTCAACGAGATCTCTATTCTTTTGTTAAATATATTAAAGGATTTTATATAACACATTGTATATATCATATCTCAATCATTTTTAGTTAAGAGATTTGCTAAACATATTTATTAAAAATACATACCTATTACAACCAATAACACATGGCTCTTACGAGTCGGACTCTTTGAGAAATCAGCATGACAGTGATATATTCCTGCATCCGATGGTATAATAGTCAATATCTCCAGAGTGTCTAATCCTTCCTCTTCGGAGGTCAGCAATCGGTAACGAGGACTTGGAGACATTACATTACCAGAACCTCCACGAAGGTCGCGACTGCTGATGCAAAATTTTATGATTTTACTGGTGGAGTTGTTTTATATATTTTGAGTTCTAGGAGGTAAAGTACCTAGTTAACTGAACATGTTGAGTAAAAATCATCAATACTTCAAAGCCAAGTTGGCTTATGTTTTTTTAGAAAGGATATGGTAATGTACAATTTGTACTAAATCTTATTGATTATAGGTAGGTTCAAATATATATTATATATATATGACATTTCTACCTTTTGATTTTAGGTTTAATTTTTCTCAAAAAGCATAATTTTGAGTTATATTTTCTAAAAGTATCGACTCTAGAGGACAGCAATAAAGTCGGTGAATTCTCCCTTAACAGTTAATCTGCTTATTACTTGCACTGTTTATTTTAAATTGCAAGGGCCCCCTTATACTGACCCTGGCCTTGCAGTCGGTGCACCCGAGGCGGGAGGCCTAATTATTTAATGGCGCCATTCGATTGTTATTTAAATTAAAAAGTTAAGCATGCTAAAAACTTAATACATATAGCCTACTTAAAACAGATGTATTTTTAGCATCAAATAACCGGGAAGTCAACAGAATATGCACACTTTTTACCTTTACGAGAATTCTCCAACAACTTCTAAAGAATTTTTTGCACTCCTTGTGGTTTAAAGGAAAATGAAGTTGAAAGTCATGAAGTTTTACAGCAATTAAAATAGGCATTGTTTACCTATAAAAAGCGGTCGACGATCCATCCCTATACCAAGCCAATATATTGAGGTTGTCGTCTTCGTTAACAGCCGTTACATTGCAAGGTAGTTCAGCGTTTTCTCCTAATACAGCTTTAACTAAAATAATTTGTTTAAAAAATGTATTTTGTAGTATAATTCCAGTAGTGATAGTTGTTAACATGGAAATGTTATAGAAACATCATTAAACATACATCTATTTCATAGAACCAAGAATATTATATAGAGACGATTCCAAGTGATGTATAAAACAAAAATCTGTTCAACAGATAAATATTCACGTTTATAAGATACCTATGCGTATCATTAACGCTAGATTGATTCTATCAAAAGCCTTTATTTACAAAGTCGAAGCCTGGGCAGCAAGATGTAAAATATATTAATAAAATAAAAAGGGCAAAACTATTCTATAAAATAAAATTAACATTAAAGTGACAAACGAAAAACATCGCTCGCAATCTCCTCAAATACATCGTTAATTAACTGTAATTAATTAACTATATTTTTTTTAATAAATAAAAGTTACGAATAATCGAAAATCATTAAATCTATACCAAAATCTTTTTTGAAAAGTATAATGTGTATATTAATAATAAAAAATAAAATACCTGTAATAACATCATCTGCGTTACCTAAACTAAAAAACACTAAACTAAATGCGAATAATACTATCATGACTACCACAGTGATTTGGGAAAACTTTTGAATGAAGATTTGTCCAAAATATCGCGATCGGGCTCAAGCATCCCGACTGAGTAGCGGACACGCGTTCCAATTGGCGCGCTTAGTTGCAATAAACGTTGTCGGTCCAGGGAACACAGGACTGCTTCCGGAGCGCCCGTCCTCGTGACGTCACACCCGCGCCCGCTGCTCAAACAATGCTCCATGCCAGCTCAACATTTACCTTACTTTTTAATTGGTGAGGTCGAAACAATTGGGTCGCTTGAGTTGCAGATTTACCCCAACAATAAAATTTAAATATAAATCGTATTTATCTTGAACTAGCCACTCGCCCGGTCACACGCGGAGATAAAAAAGGATCCATTTTAAATTAGTGATTTATGTGGCAAAATAGACAATGATACCTTCTCTATTGGTAGTAGTATCTCGTCATCCAGATACCTCACCATATATAGTGACTAAGCTACAGTAATTCAGCCTTAATATAATAATGAAAGGTTTATTTGTGATTATATAAGTACAAACATTAATATTTTCTCCATTTGGGTTGCCTGGAACATGTCGCTCATATGGGTTGCCTGGAACATGTCGCTCATATGGGTTGCCCATTGCATCACCAAAAATGTTGTTTTTTAATGTACTGCATTTTCTTATTTTTTCTCAATCTCAATCGCAATTTATTCTTTATTTTAGGGAAAGTATAGAAATCATTAGGGCTTAGGTCGGGGCTGTACGGCGGATGGTCTAATAATTCTGTTTTCTTACTCTAAAAACTCTTTTGTTCTGTGCGCGGTGTGAGAACTCGCATTGTTGTAATGGAGGATGATGCGGCGGTTGCAGTTCTCTTTACGGAGTTCAGAAACGACCTGTGGCAAACAAATGCTAGCATACCATTCTGCATTAACCGTTTTTTGTCCCTCAAGAGGAATAGTCGCAACATGGCCGGTTTTGGAGACAAACGTGGCCACCATTTTTTTTGCAACACTCCGTGAACGAACAATTTTCGTTTGCTTTAACTCATTTTCGAACACCCAAACTCGTGACTGGTTTTTTGTTTCGGGTTCGTACGCGTAGGTATATCCAGGATTCGTCACCTGATACGATGTTGTGTACAGCATTTGAGGATCCTGCGTGGAATCTTTCGAGAGTTCTGACGCACCAAGTAACGCAAACCGCTTTTTGCTCTTCACACAGCGAATGCGGTATCCATCGGGAAAACAACTTTTTTACACCTAATTGTTCATGCAAGATTATTTGTATTTGACTCATGCCAATGTCTAAAGTTGCCTGAATTTCGCGGTATGTCATATGTCGATCTTCCTCAATCAGCTTACGCACAGCATCAACGTTTTCTTGGGTGACTGTAGTTTTTGGACGACCTTGACGGGGATCATCACTGAGCTTGACACGTCCACGTTGAAAATCGCAAACCAGCGATAAATTGTGGTTTTGGATGGGGCTTCATCACCAAATGCAGAAATCATCCGGTCAACACACTGTTTTTGTGATAAACCACTTCGAAAGTCATAATAAATCATCGCTCTTGAATTTTCTCGAGTCAATTCCATTTTCTCAACGACTAAACAAGTTTGACAAAACGTTGTGAAAAGACCGAGAATCTTTTTTTTTTAAAAATAAATGGTATTCGATTTTTAAAAAAAAGGAGTCTTCAATTAAAAAGATCTAAATATGACAGGAACAGTGGTATTATTCCATTCCCGATACTTTTAGTGCAGCCTATGTACAATGGTTTATACTAGCAATATTTTGCATAACGATTTATGGATTCAATATTAGCCATCGAAAACATAACTTGTAAAAATACCAAGTCTAGCATTGCAGGTCTACTGTAAAAAGTTGTGAGATCCATGTAATAACTAATAGTCGGTTAATTTATTCAGTTATTTAGGGCTTTTTTTCTTAAGTAATTACGTTATTAGTTAACCTAACAACATCTTATAGTAACCATATTAATATTACAAATATTTTATGTTTTAAATAAATGCCGTTGACTTAGCTCGGAAACCGACTTGCCTAAGACCCAAAAAGTCGATCACCTACTTGCCTATTAGATTGACAAATGATCATGATACAACAGATACAGAAATCTGAGGACCAGACCTAACAAGGTTGTAGCGCCACTGGTTTTTTTGTCTTCTAGAAGTACCTTACAGTTTTGATGATCGGTGAGTGTCTCAGTCAGTGAATGTCTCACTCAGTCGGTGAGTGAGTTACAAAATTAAGAAATTTGACTAGTTATAATTCTTAAACTACTAGTTCAAATTGAACGAAATTTGAAATATACCATGTTTATACAATCCCTGCTTGGTATATGGAACAGGCTTCTATTTTTATCCACAACTTGGTTATAGGCCTACAGGGGGTCGAAAATGGCCTTAACTGCTTCGAGAAAAGGATGGTACGGCCGTGCCGCTTTTTTGATCAACTTGGCGGGCGCACAGCCATGCCCCCAGATTTTATAGTGATTTTAATGCCAATACAAAGTACTAACCATTAAGTTACACTGCTTATATTTTACTGGCTACAGATTATTATGTACTTATTGGTATGTATACTATTTTGTTCAATAAAAAATCAAGTATTTAAAAATATGTTTTTATTTTGATACAAATGTTAGTAGGTAGGAACTTTAGATATGTTTTAAGGAACGAACAAATAACACTGACAATAGAACTATAACAGCACTTCCAACTGCACCCACAATTATCTTTTTATTTCTGCTACTTTTTGAACTTTTTGACAAAACCTAAAACATATTATTTAATGAGAATTAGTACATTTTAGTATTAAAAAGTTCTACAACATGGCTTGATGAGTATTGCAATCTTAATAACTCAGAGAGGTCGTCAGATTCCCAGCAGAATAGTTTTGATAGCAGGTTTTTAAATTACCTACTTGCTTATCAAGATGTAAAAGTGAGATACCCAGTTTTGCCACTTGTGTTGTGTATTTTACTTCTACTCTTTTTAACTCTATACTTCTATTAAATTGATAAGTATATAATTGGTTGGTTTGGTAGTTTTTATTACTAAAAGATGTTTTAAAAATAGTTCAAAATATTACCTTGAATTTTGTGTGCAGTGATTTATCCATAGAGTTTAAAATATTTGTCATGTGACTCAAAGTACTAATACATACATCTGAAGCATATTTATCTTCATGTAATAAGCAGTCAGTAACATTCTTTGACTTTTTAAGTGATATTGTGTTTGCCATCATACTCAAGTACAGTCTATAGAGGTGTTGTGAACTTTCTTCTAAAGCTTCAATAATTTCCATAGGGCCTAAGTTTGTGTAATTTTTTGATCTAAAATAAAATAGTATACCTTGTCATAAATTTTTAAGACTCGCCAAAGACAATGGCAATGTACTTACGATTGAACAATCATTTCTTCATAGATGGGTAAATTTTTCACTTCATTTAATATTTTATTTCTGATTTCCTTGTCATCTACACCAATTTTTGTCAAGTCTTCATCATTTAATTCCATTAAGGTACATTGGCCAATATTGTGTTGCCTTTAACAATCATTTTTTGTTTTGTTACTGAAGAATATGTGTCTGGGTTGAATTTATAGTAGTTTTTAAATAAAATTACATTAGATGTCATCTAAGATGATTAAGATTTATTTAACAATACACATTTGATAAATTGCAGGCGATTTCTCAAAAATTCTGGAAATTTTTATACCTGTTTACCTGAATAGTGGTAAATATTTTTCAGCTCCAAGGCCCACCAAGAGAGCATTTATCGTTAGATCAAATTTTGTTGGATCAATCATGCTATCTGCCATAATGGCCGGCGTGATATTTTGCACTTTCTCCATTATTAATCTAGAAACCTGTGGAATCAAGACATCGAAGTCTGAAGTAAATTAGTACAACGAGAGAAATGATTTCAATATCTGTTATCCGTATGTCCCTATATTATGCATTGTTTAAAATATATAACGAACTACGAAGTTATGAGTTATGAGTTATGACCGAAAACTTATAAAGTTATAAGTAAACATTGACTCAGTCATTTATCATTGTCAACCAGTGTCAAGTATAACTATCATGCAATAACATTGTGTTTTATATCCACTCTTACTGCATGGAGATTTTTGAATCTAGATTTACTTGTGATGAATCGGATCTATGATACGGGAAATTCATTTATATATTACTTATTAATAGGTACATTACTTTTATTACAAGATAACATTTTGTATTATAACTGTGCCTAATAAATTATAAAAATATCTATCTGTGGCATTCGCGCCAAAGACAAAAGTTTGAATTATGAGAGATTCTTTTTTTAAGATTTTATGACCTGGTAAATTATGAAAAACCGAAATGCATTTTGGCATACAGTATTGAGACTATTATAGTTCAGAGTTTGAAAGTTGAAGGAACAAAAATATTTCTATATGAATCACACGGAATAGTGAGATATTTATAAGGAACAACGTTTTTTCATCTTCCACTTCAACTTGCTAGGTGCAACATCCGATATCTAACAGAATAGTAATTTGATTTTCTTTATAGATTATAAAACTTATCTATGTATTTTAAGAATTACTGTTTTGTACAAGAAAATAGAAGAAACAATTGAACTTTTTAATTAAACGTATTTAAATGTCTGCTTCCTATTTAGTAAAATTTCACTCGTACAAAGTCATAGGTTACTCTGGGTTAATCTCATGTAATATTAGCAGATGAAGACTGTTACATTGTATGAATATGATGATACATGATTTTAAAATAAAAAGTCAATGTCACAAAACAATTTATTTTCCTAATTCTATGTCAACATCTTAAGTACATAAATATTTAGTAATTAAATAATAATTTACTTAGAAAGTAGCGTGTCTCAATAATTTATAGCTAAAGGTCACTGATATTCGATACAATTTTTATATAATTTTAAGTAATAGTTTTTTTATTATATATATATATATATATATAAAAATGCCCACACAGCTGAATTGGCCCTATATCACATACCATAACAAACCTTTTACATCAACAATTTCACTAAATATACAACACTTTAATAGTAATCGTTTTTTTAAGTGTGTCGGCAGCGCCCGCGCATAAGTGTATTCCTCAAATTCATGCACCCAATTTGAAAAAACCATGATCTTTCTACAGTTTTTGAAAAGTCATTTCTTCCCAAACACAAAAGCAAACTTATATTTAAAAAAACTCGTGTAAGTTTATTTAAATTTAGACTAACAAATATAATTTATATTGAAGCATATTAGCAATCACACAAATCACAGTCAAGACGATAAATTGTCTACAATAGCTTTTATTGCCTGCCATATTTCTCTCGCCGTAGAGACTATTTGTGAGCCTGGCAGTAAAAATCCATAAGGACCGTAAGAGTCCCGAAGATCGACGTGGTATGAGAATTTAATTCCTGCCCGAGCTTTGGCCCAATCGTGGGACATACCAGACGCTGGTTGCTGAATATCTGCAGCTGTTCCAACCTGGAAAAAACTAGTGCTGCTTTAATCATTTTTATAGCGGAGTAGTTATCATGAGAGGTGATATAATAAATGAAATAATGATATTAAGTCTGAAATTAAAATATATTTAATAAATTCCGGACTTAATAAATATCCGATTTCTCATCGCAGTTGACTATGTTCATGGCTGTTCATGGGCCTGGGTTCAAACGTTACCCGTTATGTCACAGAGATATTTCTTCGTGTCTTTAATAAATATTTTCATCTTTCTTTTATACACACAATTTTTTTTAAATATAAACAGACAAGAAATACTATCTTATTCTGTAGTAATCAAGTAAATGCGTGACAACTATTAAGATATATGGAGCGCTAAACGTATGGAATAAACGAAGTACTTACGTGAAACTTAGTTAAGATGGTTTAGCACGACAAGTACATGATTATTTCTAAAAATTATTGACGCAGGTAATAAAATAAAATTAAGGTTAAATTATTTAATTTAATTTTTTGTTTTTTTTATATATTTTTTCATTCTAATAGTAAAATATAAATAATATTAAGTAACATTAATATGTTTTAAAACTACGCACCTTATATTTCGTACCATACATATCTGCCAAAGCGGTTGTAGCCAGTTTGCCCATTTCCATAAGAACGCCGTCATCGGAGTACGATGTGTAAGCATGAGAACTTGGTAGAAGCCACGATTGTGAATACGCATGAAGAGATAGGTAGACCTGGAATTTTACTTTCGTAGAGCAAGGTCAACGCGACATGTTGTTGTCACGTCACGGTTTGTTCTTTTTATGGCTGTGTGCATACTTTGTCTTTTAAAAATTCTAGATGCGATACCGGAAGCTCAGTAGTTTTGACATAGTGAAAGTAAAAAAAAACTTACCATTACAATGATTAATTTGTTCTCAAGGCTAAGTTAATCCTTAGGTTCTTTTTCAAAATTAGACAATATAGTAATATAAAAAAAAACATTATTTTATGAATTAAACACGAAGTCGACACTAAAGTCCTGTAAGGTATCGAAATAATTAAATTTGACAACCTACCTAGGATGTTCATATAACGTATCTACAGGCTACATCGAATTTAAAGTAAAAGATAAATTCAAAAACTTATTATAACAAAAATAATAGATGCGTATGTTTCATTGAGATATGATTTAAAGCCTCCGTAGCCGAAAAAATAGAGTTTGGTAGGCATGGAAATGACAGAAAGTTATGTTCCTAAACGATCAATGAATCGGGAACATATCTTTGTACACAGATAGAGATTTTTAGTTGGGACCTATATATTGGATATATGCATATAATTAAAATAAATTTATGTTTGGCAATACTCAAAGAAATTCTGCATACAATAGCATAATTATAATAAATCTCAAAATTTTGACGTAGAAACTATTTTGAAAGTACCATGTGGCCAAATACCGTATTCACAATAATTCATGATTTCCCTCTATGCGGTCTACCTCAGTTTTGTAGATATAAAATGATTCATAAAATGCTTTCTAAAATAACATTGTAATTTTTAAACGTAGTCAATGTAATACCATAATTAATGGTTACTTTCAAGTGATATATCACGATCTTTAATTACGTTTGTAATAAATCATGTTTTTTAAGCTATACGCACTTCTCAGAGAATACATACATATATTTTCGACGATAAAATATGTATAATGAAGCAATTTTATAATAATTTCCATAACATGGAGTTTATCATATTTTTAAAATAGGATTTTTTTATTTTTGTTAAATAATTATAGTATTAAATGGTAAATCATGGTAGGACTAAGCAGTTAGGGGTAGTGGAAAGGTGTGGCCTGAACTACATAAATCTTTAATTCAAGAGAAAAATTGAGAAAGTATGCCGAAATTGAGTACTTAACTTTTTTTAGAAATTTCATAAATGTGAAATTGTCTTTATTAATTCTTACATTTTTAAACTGGTCTTATAAATTGCATACCACATTTTATTTGTTGAAAACAAACTATCGCATATAATGCCATCGCCACAGGCATTCAATCCTAGCTCCACAGACAACATTCTTGACAAATATAATATTTTTAAAACTTTACATTAGTTTCTTATAACTTGAACTATATTTAGAGTGTGCGGAAAGAAAAATTTTGATTCGAAAAAAATGCTTAAATGTTACCTTAATTTGGCCCCTATGTTCGGCCAAGAATTCTGAAACAGCTCTAGTTTCAGGCTCGCTAAATGGATGAGGGCCGGCATAATTGTCCGAGCAAGGGTCCTGTGAAGAATCCTTTTCCCTCCAATGATAATCCCAGTTGCGGTCAGCGTCCACACCCACACAATCGGTACGTCCCCAGTTCCATGGTAGCCTTTTATGTTAAAATTATAAAAGTTTTTATTTATAAATAATATTCTTTTTAATAGTGTTCTGCTTGCTTTTACGAAGTTTCAACTTTGATAGAATTGTTCTACGATGTGTGTGTGCACATTTCTTAATGTAGGTTATATTAAAATTACTAAAGAAGGAAAGTTTGGACAATCCACAAAGCCAAATTAGTAATGTAAAACAAATAACATACTTGTATAGAAAAAACTGTTTACCTATCACAGATAGGAAAGTATTCGATCGATAAAGTTCATTCAATGAAAAAAAAAAGCTTAGCAGAGTTAAGTATATAATTATGGCAATTTATATACGACGCTATTTTAATAAAACTAAAATTTTCCACAAGCAAGTTTTCCAGAAGTATGTCATTTTATTTATTCTCAGCAGTAATTACTAAAACATTATACTTGTGCAAACATTTCTCTCGTCTTATTTTTTCGCGTGAAAAAGTAATCTTAAATAAATGTAACTTGATATATCGTAACTCACGTCAAATTCATCTCAAATACTGTTAAAACAATAAAGACCAGTAGATCTATGTATTTGTTGGAATTTTACGTCTGATAAGCAAGTTAGGCGGGTAAGCAAGGCATCAAGCCTTCTACGGTTGTTATATGGACATACACATTTCTGCGTCTGTTTCATAGATTTTTTTTTTGTTTAGTTCGCTGATCTATTCTAAGGACTTTAAAACATCCTTGACGGCGGCAACATCGGCCAATTTATAAAATAAGCAGGCTGAGCCTGACATGTGCCACCGAATGGTAGTCGACTGAGACCCAAGATCCTTACTAAACCCAGACCAAGGCTTTATAAGTGGAATTGATAGGCCAGGGACCTCGAAACAATAGGTGTTCGAAATATGATGCCTAATATTGCGATGGCAAAAAATCGGAGAAAGGATTATACAACGAGCTTACGGACATACGGACTACTCTGTCTGCCATACATCGTTTATAATTATTAGATCTAAGAGTGAGACTCATAGTCGAGACTAAACGCTAAGTATGATTGTATGAAAAATCAAATTGATATACCGAATCATACCGCTCTAAAGCTTACTATAAATCATGCGTTACATCACGATGTTCGTCATTGTTTCATTTGTTGGTGGTGCATGTTTACTGCGCCTATAGAAAATTGTAGCCGGGATTCGAACACACGACAAGGGTCAGTCACACGTCAACATATATCAATAACATAAAAACTAATAAATATAAAGTGTACAGGCGCTATTTAAAGATTTAAATTGGTGCCTGGTAGATAGTACCGGTGAACCCAGAGCTGGTGCTTTCCTCGCTCGACGAGTAAGTATTAAAGGCGTTAAAGGTACACTGCCACAGGGACCAAACTCTTAAATTTGTTTCAATTTTATTTTTACTATGTTGGTTAAGAAAATCGTAAATACTGCATATTTGATTGTTATGATTACTAATAAAAATTACACAGATATAGCACAGTCCCTTATTTAAAAATCCAAATACAAAGCCATCGATGCGCAGCGTTAAATTGGCGACTGCAAGCTGAATCGTTTAAGTACAGGTTGAGTGAGTTTTTATAGAAACTAGGTTCTAACCAGCCGCCGTAATCGTCGGAGTCAGACAACCGCGATCTTGTTTTCCTCCAGAGGCGATCGTGAGTGTGCGAATGCTCATATCCGTCGGGGTTTAACACCGGCATTATGTAGAAATCTGCCACTTTTAGCACTTCATAATCTATGCCTGTAATATATATTGTGTTACAGATTTTATTTAACACATCTGAGAGAGCAACTTTTATTTCGTATTACTAGAGTAATGTTAATAATTATCTAACTATGAATTATTTATTTATTTATTTATTTATTCATAAAAGCTTGCCAACGCTTGGCACACTGATACATTGACAGAAGAAAAGTAAAATACAGTTTTTAATGTGTCAAGCACTTACAGGCAAACATATCATACAAGAAGTAATAAAATTAATTAAGCAAAACAATAATATAATTTAAACAAACTTAAGTAAATAAAAATAAATTAAACGAAAATCGCTCTCAAAGTGTGAGGTGAAAAACTAGTAACAAAATCACTGGATAAATGCACATTAGAATTTTTTTAATATAACAGCTCTAAACTAAATTGTTACTCATTTAAATATTTTGTTTATTAAGTTCGATATCAATCATACGACCTTGGGATTTATGAACAAGTTTAGGGTGAGTAATACTGTATACTGTATAATGCAATTGAGGTCAACATACCCGAGTCTTTTTCTCCTTCAACTAAATTATGTATTAACCAAGAAGCCACAGCTGGAGCGATCCACTCTCTTGCGTGGGAACCGCCATCTATCCAAATAGCTGGTTTTGTGTATGAACGAAGCTTCCACTTCTTCTTCTGCTCTTTGGTGTTGGAAGCCTTCGTCATTGTTTCATTTGTTGGTAATGATATCTGTTGAATTATATATTTTATAAAACAATCCTTCAAATCAGTATGTACATAAACCATTGTACATACACTCTTTAATTTTTGCAAATAAACTTTAAAAAGAAAGAAAATGTACTCTTATATATCTTCAGGATTTCTGAAAACATCTTGATGTTAAGAAAATAATAAATGAATGTGTGATTGTAAAATTAGCCTATACTTTTTCTAAGTCTAGATAATTCAACTTCGACAACATTTTACAGCAACTATTAAATTAGGATTTTTTTATTTAGCTTAGAGACTTGTATATATACATTATACACCATTCCGGTCAATGTTATGATCATACAAATATGATATACATTAGGTATTTTAATATAATTGAAATACAAAAAAAAAAGCAAATTAAGCTGTAGCCTCTGAACTAGCGCCAATATCATAGTCGGCTTAGTATTACCTTTACTACAACTAAAGGCAATCCTTCCGAAGAGCGTCCCAGCGGGACCAGCTCCACAATATCAGAATAGGAAAGTTGCAAATACTCTAAATATCTCAGGATGTCAGCGTAGCGATGATATCGCCTCCAGGTCATCGGATGTCCTCTCAATTGAACTAATTCCAGTCGTTGTTTCTTCGAAAGTTTCGGGTTCTCATACATAATGGCTTTCTGTAAAAAATCTTTTAAATAAATCGAAATCTTAACTGTTGCGTTGTGAGGGTAGTTTATCACAGCAAAATACCTGTAGGTCCCAGATAATAACTTCAAAGTCGACGTTAGAGGATTTTAAGTGATCTTTTACGTCTACTAAGAGATCTGGGGGAACGAGCAGATCTGTGGAGCCATTGAGAGAAGGTAGAGTCCACCACATTAAACCTGACCCTTCTCCCTCTTCCTGTAGGTCTATCAGGGATCGTATTTTCCATTGCGTATCGGGGTATGATCGAAGGAGTTGATAACCTTTGTAATTTTTTCTCACTACCTTTTTATCCGACTTCTTTACTGTAAATAAAAAAACACCTGTGTGTTCTTATGTGCACGCGTTAGAAGTTATACTTCTTTGTCGTAACAAGATAAAAATCTTTTCAAAAGTGTTATTCTACATTTGCAGAAAAAACGACGCTAACAATAGAAAAAACTAAAATTTGACTAAAGCTAACTTCAGGGTGTCGCTTTTTTGAGACGGTGTGCGCGCGCATCGTAAAAATTTACTCTCATAATTTTTCCCTAACGCGCCAAAAAAAGTATAACTTCAAAAATTTACCATTTTAGAAAATTATGTTATGGCGCTTCTAAACGGGCCATGTTTTGCTGCAATTGATGGCTGCAACACTGTGGCCGGCAACATTGCAAACAATAGCAGCCACACTATGCAATATTGCAGTAACCTGCCCCGATGGGTGGCCGGACGATCGCTAGGCTATCGAATTCAACTGCAATATTGCACAGCCAGTTCTCTTGTTGTTTCAGTCACTCTCTTTGTTATGGCACAGTGTATCCTTTTCGCCATTATGGCGCTTCTAAACGGGCCATGTTTTGCTGCAATTGATGGCTGCACTGTTGGCAACTAATTGCCCGGCCATTACAAAAATATTTTAATGCAGCTGATGGCCGAACAATCTATGGCTGGGCAATATGTTGCAATATTTCTGCAATAGTATGGCCCATGATGCAGACTCCTAAACGGGCTACACAAACCGGCAACGATGGCTGACGAAATCACACTTGTCGCAGCAGCTTATATTGTTTTAAAAAAGAAACAGAAAAAGAAGAGATTGTGGATTCAACCTTACTTAAATTTGAGTCTAGAAATAAGCCTTGATAATAAATTATTCAAGAACTTTACTAGAATGTCAAAAGCAGTCATTTTTACGTAGTAACCTAACGTCAAAATGCAGCTGATCGCAAAACACAGATGGTGCGTTCCACTAAGCGCTCACGACGATCACGCTCACGACCGCTGATTTCCCCATTCCACTTGATTGTGAATGTTACTGTCGTTAACTCAAGTGGAATGGATTATGGAGCGTTTCGGGCGTTCATGTAAATATTACAAATGTCAAGTTTGAAAATAGTAGAATTTTAAGGAGGTTAGGTAATCATAAACAATAAGTTTTGATATTTGTGACTTAAATTTATTTATGTTAAAAGTGAAGAATAATTGAATATTTTATAAATAATTTTTTAAGTTATCAAACAACTTAAGTTTAAATATAATCGAAATGGCTTTACAATTTCTCTTTCTGAATCAAATAATGTGATTTTTCTTGTCGCCATCTTTAAGCTTTGAATATAATAATATTATTATTTGTCATATTTCAAAAATTGCGCCAAATTATTCTCAACGTTCACAACGACCCACCTCTTTAGATGGGTCGTTGTGAGCGTTGCGTGAGCATTTGTCATGACGTCATGAGTGACGTTTTCGCCGTGACCACAACGACCGCGGTCGGTATGTGGAATGGCTAAAGGAGCATTTTGATCGTCGTGAGCGCTTAGTGGAATGCACCAAGAATATAGCAACAGGCACACTTCACTCATCGAAAACGTCATGTCGCGTAGAAAAAGATACACTATGCCATAACAAGGAGAGTGACTGAAACAACAATAGAACTGGCTGTGCAATATTGCAGTTGAATTCGATAGCCTAGCGATCGTTCGGCAACCCATCGGGGCAACATCGGCCATATGTGGCTATACAAAACATGTTTGGCTATATGGCCGGGACATTACTGCAATATTGCATATTGTGGCTGCTATTGTTTGCAATGTTGCCGGGCCACAGTGTTGCAGCCATCAATTGCAGCAAAACATGGCCCGTTTAGAAGCGCCATTATACAAAGTTCCACGTAGACCAGAGACATAATATGTAGGTACACAAATGAATTGTATATCGTCATGCTAAAAATTTATGTTCATCTTTATTTTTCTTATGCGGTACTTACTATTGACCCCATTAGTTGAATGGGCATTATCGTTATCCTCCGAATCCAGAAATAATTGAAACCAGTTCCCAGTTGAAGTACTGGGGGGGACTGGTGTCGTGCTTCTGGACGGAGCTTCGATATCTGGCTGAAACCATCCCCCACTAAACCAAGATGTCTTCGACCCAACGATCCATTTATAAATTCTTGTAAAAATACCTTAAAACAATTAAATAATCAGATTATTCCATGCCCACCCTAAGGACGTAAATATTTGGGAACCATTTATATCAAAGTATGTATTTATAATTTAAAATAATTTCCCATTTACATAATAAAGTTATTTATATAAGAAATATTACATATACATATTAGACGTCAATTTAAAGAGTTCATGACTGTGGACTCAATAAAAATCAATGGTCTGCGTCTATTTATTTCTTATATTGTAATATGAGTGAAATTATCATTGTATTTAGAATTATAAATATTAGGCCATGGAGTATTGAATTGAAATGCAGGTGTAAACTTTTTATAGCTAGTCTAGACTTCGAGAAACTTTAACCGGAAAACAGTTATTAGCTAGTATTTTTTTATGTCTAGTATTGTTACTAAAACGATTGAATGGAAAATTTGTATTTACATTTAAGATATGGAGAAAAAGGGCTTTTATGAAATTGCTTCGTTTGTAAGGAAATTATTTTTTACGACCAAACTTTTCATTCTTCCGGTATTTGAAATGACTACAATATTACTAAAAATTGGTATTTCGCATTCATTAATTAAAATTTATATTACTTTATTGCAGACAATATAATATATACTTTGATGAGAAACTAACAACTCACTTTATAGGGATGTTAAAATAGAAAGTGTCTAACATTAACCATTTGTATAATACTAATACTGTGCTGTACTAATGAATTCATAAAGTTCAGCTTCTAAATAAATTCAGGTACTTACTTATACACAGTTTCTCGAAAGAGTGTGGCAATGGAACTATGTAGCTAAGAAAACTCGCAAACATTAATTTGATATTATACCTGCGCCTGGTAATTTAAATTAAAGGCATTTTTTTACCACAAATCGATTTTCGGGAATTGAATAAAATTATTAAATGATATGATACTATATATTCAGCGTAAGAGTCTGTGTGCTAGTAAGAAAGGGTTTTAAATATATACATAACTTTTCAATTGTAGTGTTACCAACAATAAATAAATCATTTAATAATAGTACAACAAAACTTACATGAATAAAATGCTGTCAAAGAATTAACTTGGTACTAATTATAAACTATTTAAGAAGTAGCTAATAAATGAAGTCAATTTATTTTAAATATTATGAAAAGTCTAACATACGACGAATATTTAGAACCAAAGTTAACTGGATAGGCGTTGGATTCATCACAACTTATTACTTTTCAGTCCAACTTATAAATACTAAAATTAAAAAGTTCACATCTTTAATAAATAGCGCGTAGGTAATTGGGATTAAAATCAGGAAAACAAAGTTTTCTGTGCCTAAATTCTAATTCATCGTAATATTCATTAAATTATTATACATACTTAACATTATTTTAGCTAGACCAATAAAACAATTTTCCAGTGGTTACCTCGAGTTCATACTGGAAAATTCTAATTAGTCATGGATTTTATTGCTTGATAGATTTTAAGTTAAGATAATAAAGTGAAACGGATAATTTGCAGATATAGTTTACTTAATATGAAAAGTTTATCTAATTAATACATATTTTCTGCTATAAAAGGAACTTTCCATTTCCGTTAATGCCTTCAAAGTTTCTAAACCATTATTCGACATCCAGTAACTGTAATTTCTTTGCGTTACTCATCGGATTTTTAACTACTCCATTTTTACTTTTCTATTTCATTTAAATTAGTTTACAGCTTGTGTGTTAATAAAAAATTGAACACACATTTTCCAGACACATCTATTAAATGGATGTTTTAGATCCAATTACAAGAGCATGATTAAAATATGATAAGGTACTCGTTACAAGATATTCACAATGTAACGGAAAGATTTTCAATTAAAGAAAATTCTTGAATGACTTTAATAGCTAGTGTACCTTGAATAAACAGTAAAGTAGTGAATCAGACTAGAAACAAGATTCTAGAATGACATCAGTTGGGTTGCTCGCAATGAAACCAGTACCGAGAAAGCCCTGCGCTATAAAAACATATATCTAAACAAACCTGAATTATTTTGTGTAGACGGCCTTTTATCTTTAACATCTTCTAACGCAGTCGACTTGTACCCGGAGTGTTTTGGTGGACATGGACTTTTCTTTGGCGCCTTTGTACTCTTTGATACCAAATTATATTTCCGTTTAGGCGTCTGCCGTAATACCGTAGTGTGCTGGCTGCGAGTAGTTCTGCGAGGCTGCTTTGTCGTTTGACGTTTGGTTGAAGTAGTCCGACTTGTAGTAGTCCTCCGAACATTTGGTTTTTTTGAGGTACTCCTCGGCGTTGATGCATTGATATCCACCCACAACTCTTGATCTGACACCACTTTTTTTGAAGGGGACCGCGTAATTTTACTATTCACTGGTGTTCGCCTTGTCACAATAAAGTTCGTATGACTTTCAATTTTTATAGTAGTCTTAATCACTTTATTTTTATCACTTTTTTTCATAGTTACATTAACTTTTGGTATTTTGCTTCGTATAATCACTTTGGGTCTGTTTTTAGGGATGGATGCTTGGACAGGTACGAACTCTGGAGATTCGTCGTAATCGTCCCAAAAGGCAAAGGGGTCGTCTGATTCGGAGATGGAGAGGTCTGCGGGTCTTGGAGGCGGATGGAGCGCGCTCACGAGACACGCCAAGAGCGCAAAGAGCGCCAGGCGACGCGCCATGTGTCGACAGTGTTTGCATGACGAAGTGCGCGGGCACTGTACGCTGGCAGCGACTCGCCTATTCCGTGGAGACCACCTTCCCTGCCACTGTCATTATACGATCTCGCTTTCAATACGCAACCACTAGGTCAGCTCGTTTAGTCGAGTTACACGGGGCTCTCCATTTAACTATCAGTTTAATACTTCCTGTAGAAAAACCGTGCCTTATTGCAAAGAAAGTATTAGAAATTAAGCCGAAGCTAATTAAAACCCAGCATTTACCTTCTCGAAGAGTTTTATTAGCTATAAGTATTTTCTTAGCTCAAGCTAAATAAAACCTCCTTATTGAGCAAGATTATTTAAGTTTTTTGGTCGTTAGCGGTTTAAATGAAAGGTGGCTAATGTTTTCAGAACTTATCCAAGATTAATTTTTATATTCTAGCGAGATTTTTCCATAGAAAATATTAATGAGCATTCAAATCCTTGTATGGGCACAATTACTGTAGAACCTACATACGTTTTAGAAATCCATTTTCTGTTTAGGTAATAGCATTGTATTAGCGATAATAGAATATCTACAGCCTAATCAGTGTAACCTGATGCGTGAAATGTAGTGCAAATTGCACAGTCCGTTTGTGTGGAGTTCAACCGCCCACAAACACGATACTGTCGCATAGTATATGTGTCACTGCGTCAACAATCTTTATTTTATACAAAATTATATGGCACTACAAAACTTTTCACCTTAATTCGAGTTTACTATGCGGAAACTCATGCATAGCGCGAACTTGTTACGCTTCGGGAAGGGCAAATCACTAAACAAAGCCTTATTATCATTTAAAATTCAAACGAAAACAGAATTCTAAATTCAAATAGCCCGTAGTTCCTTGTGGGGGTGAGTTTACTCATACAGTTAGGCGCTAATTGAGTGACTCATTGTTAGTATATATTTTCAGCCTAATCGGGTCATTATCTTTTGAGTTATCATGGAGTAAACAAGTAAATCGGGAAGAGACTAGCCACTATGGGAAAAATTGAACATCGCGCCGTTATTAAGTGCCTTACCAAACAAGGAAAGACACCTCAATCCACCTTACAAGAGATGTTAGCTGTTTTTGGGACTCCGCTTCTGTTAAAACCATTTATAAATGGCACGCCCTTTTCACACAAGGAAGGGACTCCTTCGAGGACGACCCCCGACCTGGACGGCCGATTGAGGCTCGTAGATGGATATTTTAGTTAAAACGGTGCAATTTCACGAATTTGTACAAGGTTTTTTTAGATACAATTTTATCTACTCCACACATGAGCAAATGAACTTACACAGCAAGGTCAACATGTAAATTAAGAGTAGATTGAAGATCAAAACTAAATAAAGAAAGTACCTCAATTCCATTGATCGATAGCTGAGGTCAATAAGTTCGGAGTTCTAAATACCGAAATTATGAACCATAGTATGAAGATGAGGCTTAAAGTGTTTAGGCAAGATTAGCTTTGCTTAAAACATATTTAACTAGCTGTGCACTGCGGTTTCGCTCGAGTTAATTCAGTCGTATTAATTGGACTTGCCTTAAACTAAGAAGCACATGTCCGTTATTAAGGGTAACTCCAAGCATACCTTAGCCGGTAGATCGGTGTTAGACTAGTGGTTAAGCGTGTAATTCAACCCAGAGGTCATGTATTCGAATGCTCAGTTGTGCATCAGCAAAGAAAATCATCCATGTGTCTACCAGGGACTTCGAAAAACATGCCATCTTGAGACACTAAAACATTTATGAAATTATTTATTTAATTGATAAGTTTCTACTGTAAATGTTAAAAGCTATCTTTTCTAAAATATATTACAATTATGTTAAACATAAATGTTACATAAAATTAATAAAGAAAAATAATTAAATTAAATAAAAACACTACACTTCCAGTTTTAGATTTAACTATTCATTCTTATTCATATTTTAAGCAAAAAAATACTAGCAAAACAGCGGATTATGTATCAGATAGGCACTTAACAATGCTTTTTTTAATTGATCAGCTCACTACCGAATATGTTATTATAAAACGTTGACTAAAGCACCTTTCTTGCTACCGTATCAAATGGTTAAGATAGTTTTACTGGGTAAAAATGTTAACACGGTACTGTCTTGTCTCCTTTGATAATTTCTAGGTGAACCGGGACCTCGGATTAAGAAAAAACAATTGAAGCGCAAAGAATTGTAGTATCTAAAGAGTTTTATCACTTAACTCTCCAAGATGATCTAAGATAAGAATCATGATGGTGTATTCCACAAAAACATTAAGCAATCAAGTATCATCATAAAGAGAAACATGCCGGTATAATAATCCTAAGTACAAAATGAGGTAGTTATCATAACAAAGACATTTCCTTTCACTGATGATAAGTTCTTGTTCATGTCTTCTAATTGCACGAGTATTTAGTATGGTTTTAAGCTTAGGATAACTAAATAATGTGGCTGTGCTTAACACTGCAGCTCTGTATTATATTTAGAATTTAAGAAAATAAAAACTACAATTGTGGTTATAAGCGTTGTAATTCGATAAAACTATTTTATATTTTTTTATAAGTATACAATTTTATGGCTTTATTGAGTGTAAAAAGAACACGCAAAGTGCTAAATAGTTAAAGTAATATTTTTTATGTTTATATATCCAACTGTACAACGAAAAAGTGGTACAATATACATTTTAAAGTATTTTAAATAAGAATTGAAAATTAATTCGCAGTCAGTTGACCAAAGTCGAATATCGATAAATTTATAATACCAAATTTTCCTTATATCAACAATTCAATGATATTCTAGTATAGTCTTGAGTAAGTTGTAAGTTTTAAATATTATAGCAACTAAGTCAAATCGTGATATTCAATTTGGTTCCCATTTTACATACACAAAAATAAAGTAATAATCTATATAAAATATGGCTTTTAAAAGCGTTATGGCGGAAAATAACTTGGGAATTTATCTCAAAAACCAGTTTTAAAAGATTAATTTTTATACATGCCCGTGGCACATAATTTGTGACGATGTCTTCGTCTGTCTTATTCTAATATTGTCCTGGAGTTCAATTTCCGCGTAAATAGTTTATAATCGAATTATAATATTTGCGTTTTTGTTTAAGAATTATTTACACGTAAAAACATTTAACGTTTGATTTACGTGATTACAAGGATTTGTGTGAACCAATCTTGTCTAAAGAAGCGTTCATAAAATTATGAATATTTAATTGAATTTTTTACAGATACAACAACAAAAAATAATCCTTTGCTTCAAATTCTGTGGTTTGTAAATAATGTAATAAATTAGCGTTAATGCGCCTAATTTTTGTTTTATTTTGAGGTAGTTATTTTTGGGAGAAGTTATATATTATATTAGAAACCTAGTTTAACCTTACTCGAAAATTCTGTGGGTTTGATTTAATTTTTTTACATCATATTACCACAATAAGTCAGTGGAACGGGCACAGAGAAAAAAACCTAGAAATCTGTGTCATTAAAATGTTATCTATAGTCTAGATTTTAAATAAGTGATTTTAATAAACAAGAAGTAATTAATTTGATTTAGTAATTTTCTTTGATAAGCACTTAATATTTTCTAAATAAGGCCATTGAATTAAGTAGATTTTTGTCTGAACTTAAGTCACTTTCAAGTTTCAACTAATGAATGCACGGACTAGTGTCACGGACAGTATATAAATGAAAGAAGTGATCCTTACGAAAATTAAACGGCAATGTATAAAAAGAATTGTCTATTTATTGTAAGTTTGGATAGTTTGTTACTCTGTCATACTAAACAACTAAAACAACTGTATGGAAAGGACCAAGAGGAAGAAGGAGAAGAGGTCGCCCAAAAAATAGGTGGATAGAAGAAATAGAAGCGGTAGCAAGACGAAATGGAGAAAGACAGCCATAAACAGATTCAGTTGGAAAAAGCTGGAGGAGTCCTTTACCCATGAAGGGGTTCCGATCGACGGTACTGAAGGAAGCATTCGACAACATTTGTTTAATTGTATAGACGCTGCTCCTACCATGATGTACTTTTTTCGTATCAGTTAGTAAACAATAGAGGACTTAAAAACACCCGAAGCAAACCACTCATTTTGATGAGTTTTAGTATATATAACTTGTGATACTCCGTCTGTTGGCTGATTTTATGTTGGTGTTGTCGAATGTGGCTGCAAAATGGTCTTATACATAAGACTATCTATAATATATAGATTTAAGACCACCTATAAAAGTTAATCAATTCGTTATATATTCGCATTTTAAATGTTTTATTAACTATAGTAATAACTATTGTTTATACCACAATATTGATATGAAAAAAATATCTTTAGTAATTGGATACGGCGATACATTGATATTGGCCGAACCATTCTTTAAATAATGTTTAAATAATTTAACAAATAATGATTATATTATGATAAAACAGCTTTCAAAAGTGTTCAGAATACGGAACTTCATTGAATATATCTATCTATATGAAGGATACAGTGAGCATTACATATGCACCGCATGTAAACTTTGACGTTGTCCTAGATACATATAAACATATTCTATTGTTACACACGGAATCCAGACAATTAGCTCAATTATGAATTATATTCTCCCCTTCAAATAACACCGGATACAGGGCTAATCTTTCGCATAGTACACGCAAATATAACTTTCGCCGGAACTTATATACACGCTGAGTTTACCGAATATCGCGTAAATTATGTAGCTGGGTTTGAATCCCAGGAAATTATAAAGGTCTTTTTGTTTTTAATAATACTCTCTACTGCCCTGCCATTGTGTCCGGGGGCGTTTTTCTATCTCATACATTTTTACTAAAAATATACATAAATTAATTAGGTACTCATTTGTGTTACCCGTCTTGCGAGATACGCCCCGTCTACATCGATAATACTATTATTTACAATATTCATGGGCGCAATTGTTTGCGAGACCCGTTCTTTCATTATTAATATTTTTTTAGCAAAACCGTTCCAGGCACGGTCTGTGCATTGTTAATATGACCTGTAGGCAGTTTCGGTCTACAGTCATCTGTTTGTTGCACCTGGTCGTGCCTGGACAGTGCGAATATAGGGCAATGTATAAGCACATGTTCGGTTGGTTCGCCATTATTGCAGGTACGCTTGTCTTAATTTTAAATCTATTCAAGTTATGTGCCAACGCTCCGTGCCCTGTAAGGATTTGCGCTATCTGGGGAAATTATAACGTTTTGGTAGGCAAGATTTGTTAAGAATGTATTATCTAGATTTGTGTTCTTGTTAGTTACGGTGGCGATTTTTTATGTAAACAAATCCGCACTGTAGGTTATAGGTATTTCAAGATTACTTTTATATTTTCATTAGTCAAATGAGGAAATGTTAATTGTAATTAGAAACAATAGTATGATTAAGGAACATTAACGCGACGCGATAGCTACAGGGCCGAAATATGAGTATCTAGGGAATGATCGTGGCGAACGGTCGTGTTCGTTGCAGTGTCCGCTCCAATAACCCACCTACTCTGCATTTGTGATTGCCAAGCGGGGCCAAGAGAGTTCACTGTCGCTCAAGTGTCTAGGGGTCATTGCCGCAAAACCGGTAACGTATATGCTGTAAGACTCACTCAGAAAAACTAGAATGCAAAGTTTTAGTAATCCGATTTGGAAACTAATTGCCCAAGAGATTTAATATAATACAAAAAATCTAGATCGAGTTCTTAATTTGAAATGGCGATGCGTACTTCTGAATGATTAGACACGTTTTAATTTTACATATCATTCTTATTTTTTTTATAACTGTCTCAGATGATACTATTTTAGTTAAATTAGTTAATTCACGATTATCCTTTTGTTATTTCAAGCTAGTTTTTATTGTTTTTTTTATTATTTATTAATTAATTTTTATCAAAATCATATTAATTATTTATGAAAATGAAATAGAAAAACTAGATCTAGCAAAGAACGCGATGTGAATAATAACAATAAACGTTTTCTGTAAATTTCGACATTATTTAATGTGGAAATAAGATTTTAACGTTTTATTTGCACAATGCTTAAATTTATTAAATACGGATATAACATTATTTTTCAGATATATCAGGTTGCATTTTAAAACAGTTATTTATTGTTTCAGAAATAAATTCTGTGTTCCACAATGAGGCATAGAATTCCTTTTATATTACTGCAATTAATTATTTCCTTTGCGACTTATCTTTGCGAGGATTCGACCAGCTCAGTGCCTTCTGTCATACAACTTAAGGAACTTGTCCAAGGAAGTGAGCTTGAAGCAAAATCACCACGCGTAAGTTGTACCATATACTATAGAATATATACATACTGAAAATTATAAATGTGTTGTTATGTAGGCGTAATAGTTGAACAAACCACAGAAGATACACAAGTTTTATTATTTAGTTAAATAAGATTCCTAATTATTTTTTTTGCACCATAGCACAGAATGAACAAATGAATGGAAGGGAAATAAAAAAGACTATCTGCTTAATTTCCAAAGATTTATAAATTATAGTCACTTATATTTATATAATAGAGTTGTGTTAATAATTAAGTAAAATGAAAATGAATATTTCGAGGATTCGATTCCTATCAAAACAATGGGTGTAACAGATTGTAATTAAAATAGCAAATATGAAAAATAAGCTTAATACGACTCAATGCTTTCAATGGACATATTAATTAAGAGAACATAATATAGTTCACTCCATAATTTGCAACTTGTATTATCTATGGACTCAGTGACTTGGCACTATAGGCATTTAAATATATATTTGGCATTGATTAGGGGGCATATCGAACAACTTTCTCCACCTTTCAAAAATTGCGATAAAAAAAATTAAACTTATATCCGTTTCAAAGCGAATTCTCAAATGGGTATACATTAACTTCCGGCTTTAAGTATATGTAACGGTATTTAATTTTAAGCTTAAAATTATTTGACTAGTCTATTGCCATGCCACGTTCTAGAATATGCCTGTAAACCTAACAAATCACAAACTTAATAGCCGTAAATGTTTTGTTTCGAAAATTCGTGTCACTTTGAAAGTAAATAATTTCTCGACAAGTAAAAATATAATATTCTATATATAAGTACTAGGACAAGTTAAAAACATGGGGAATGTGAGGAATGTGGATGAAGCGAGAGAGGTATGTCAGGATCGTAGTAAGTGGAGATCTGTGGTCTACCTACCCCTTCGGGAAAAAGGCGTGAATATATAAATAGATAAGTTTACATTACACACATATACAATATTATTTGATAAAGCATTGACGCTAATCTAATCAAAATTAAAAAAAAAACACACTTTGATGTGATTTATGACAAGAACAAAAGTGTTACATTTCAGAATTATAAAACCAGAGCTTTCAACACTAAATGGGTATATCCTGTTAATCAATAAAATTATTCAGTAACATCAATACGTTATGTATAATTAACATGAATGGGGAAAATAGCTTTCTAATCTCACAAAATATTTAATAAATCTTATTAATAACTTGCACATCAATTTGTCTTACATTAAGTGGGTTATCTATCCATATTTATAAGCGGGACATCCATCCATTTTTAATAAACGGCTATTATGGTGTGATATCGATATTACGCAAAGCACCTAACATCTGACCCAAGGTTCGATTTCCAGCAAAATAATAATTGTGTGGGACGGTTAAATACCTAATGGCAAATGTGTCTGATACTTCTGAAATGTGTTTTCTCTCGTTAAATAAAACAAAATATCCAATCTATGATAAGCAATATAAAAAAATGTTCAGGTCAAGTTTCTCACAAGTCCTAACCGAGTCATGTTTAGGTCTAACTCAAAAGTCTCGGCCCTACAAATATCAAAAATCTATAAGTTTTGTGATCAGATAATACTCGTAATCAATATAATAAAAAAGAATGGAAAAGGTTTTTCTCAAGCCGTGTTGATTATTTCGGTATTTTCTCTACATAAGGTTGTTTACTGTAATTATTTGTCCACAGTTCAGACGTAATATCAGCATAGTCGGAAATGAGTTTATGCTAGAAAATACGCCATTTCGCATCATGTCCGGATCAATACATTACTTCCGAGTGCCTCACGAATATTGGCGGGATAGATTAAGGAAGTTGAAGGCGGCCGGTCTTAATTCTGTATCCACGTATGTTTCAATTAATGTTTATTAGCCCTATTCCCCTATTAAGAGTCGTTGCATTATATTTATAAAGATTTTTAAATGAAGCTGTGTCACCGATTATTTAACTAAGGAAGCGAAAGAAGTGAAACATATATTTCAGGTTCCAAACTTAGTTACAAAAAGGTTTAAGTCAAGACTCTATTATTAGCGGCTTTTAGAACGTTAAAGTTGAGTTTATTATAATATTTAACTAAACTTTTAAAGTATAATAGTTGAAGAATATCTCATCATCAGTATTGAGCTAGAGTCTTGAGCGTGACCCTCTCAATACTATTGTCGTGCGTTCGAATCATAGCTATGTACCAATGATTTTTCTTTCTATGAGCATTTAACAGTCGCTCATAAATCGAACCTGCCTTAGGCACAGAATGCTGATCACCTACTTGGCTATTAGAAAAAACAAATGATCGCAAAACAGATATAGAAATCTGAGCCCCGGATCTAAAAGGTTGTACAGCCACTGGTTTTTCTAATGAATTAAAAAAAACTTTAGGTTTACAACGGGCCTTAAAGTTCTTGACACGGATTATAGTTTTCAAACAAATTTTCAGCTTATTATAATGCGCGTTTAACACCCGAGGAGATAGTAAAATATTATTGACCGACATTTTTCTTCGTAAACGTTAAATTTAATTGATATTAAAGGTATGTTGAATGGAGCAGCCACGAGCCGGAAGAAGGGATAGAATCATTTTCAGGGGACAATGATATAGTCAAATTCCTGAACATAGCTCAAGAGGAAGGATTACACGTGCTATTTAGACCTGGACCTTATATTTGTGCTGAAAGAGATTTGGTGAGTCGTATTTATATGCTAACCAGGCCTAGCAATTGGATGACTCTTCATCCAATTGCTAGGCCTGGTCCAAAAAAAAACCAAAACATTCTTCAATCGATTTCAAATCTAGATTATCTTAGTAGGTATAACAGGTTACATTAAAAACTATCTCTATTCTTAATAAAAAATACTGTTTTTTATACCATATCTTTGGCCTTGTTGGTGAAGCAGATATCGCATAACAAGTGTTCGATTCTAGGGGAAAAATGTCTTTGATGTTTCGTAGCACCAGAAATCAGTTAGTTATCATTTCAGGGTGGTTTCCCGTATTGGCTGCTTGGCAAATATCCAAATATACAATTACGTACAACTGACGCAGGTAACTAAAACAACTTTTTTGGTACAATTGGGGTCTAATTAGACATTTTAATGAAATTAACAAAAAAATCAGTGGCGCTACAACATTTTAAGGTCTGAGCCTCAGATTTCTTTATCTGTTTCATGCTCATTTGTCTAATAGGCAAGTAGGTGATCATCTGTGCCTGACACACTGGGTCTAAGGTTCCTCGCGATGTTTTCCTTCACCGAACGAGCGAATGTCAAATGCGCACATTGATAGAAAGTCGATTGGTGTGCACCAAATGGCTACAGCGTGCGACTTTCATTACTGAGGTCATAGGTTCGAACCTCGGCTGTGTACTAATGGAATTATGTGCGCATTTAACACTTGCTGGTACGGTGAAGGAAAACACCGTGAGGAACCGAAAAAACAAATGTTTACAATATAGATACAAAAATAAGACCTTTAGAGTCTTTAGAGATTATATCGAATTTAACAACTATTTTTCAGATTTCACCAGCGAAACAAAAAGATGGTTCGATAAGCTTTTTGCACTTGTAAAGCCCTTGCTTTACGGAAATGGCGGGCCAGTGATTTTAGTTCAAGTGGAAAATGAGTACGGGAGCTATGGTGCCAGTAAAAAGTATATGGAAAAACTGCGCGACATCATTTCCGAACATGTTGAAGACAAAGCCATTTTGTACACAACAGATGGCATGTATAGATCATATTTTTATGATGGATCTGTGAGCGGGGTTCTTACTACCATCGATTTTGGTCCAAGTAAGTATTATTATATATTAACATAAAATTATTTGCACGGAGACAGGAAAATACACATAAAAACGCCTATATTCACAAACTTAACTACATATTTTTGTAGAATTTGTTATCTCCCTTTGATACCCTTATCTACCACAGCCTAAGGCTAAAATGAAAATTTAAATATTATTGAATTTTGAAATTGTATAATTGCCTCTGTTCTTTATTTATTATATAATGAATGCTCTTATAATGCATAGAATGTTATTATAATAATGTAGTTAGTATGTTTAGGCCTCGCAGTGAACAGAGCAAAAACTAAACTGATGTTAGTAGATCGAGCCAGAAAGCTTCCATGTGTAACTTGCAACATTCCTGGCATCAGTATCGTTGACCGCTTTATAAGAATTCAAAATGCACAATCATTTATTCATATTGGTACTTGTAACACAATGAACGTCAAAAAAGAAATATATATGAAATGCTTCTAATTTTACATTTACTTGGCAGTAAATGTTCTCAAATCAAGGGTGTAGAACGGAAGAGAAGAACTGGCAATACACTCTCCGCCACTCTTATATCTTATATATCTCGGATCCCAAATCTATAACAAGCTCTGTCCCTGAGATAAAAAAGCGGATCGGCATGGCTAAAGATGCCATCACACGTTTACAAAATCTGGAAGAAAAGAGGAACCGGTATCAAAACAAAAATAAGACTGATACAGGTTATACTGTTCCCTATCTTCCTGTATAAACGTGGACTACCTTGGCTCGAGAAAGGCAAAGGATCAATATCACATCTCAATGCCTTTGAGATGTGGTGCTGGCGGCGAATGCTCAGAATACCGTGGACTGTGAAGCGAACCGCATACGGATTCGCCTGTCTACTGCTATTCGTCTTGTTGATCCCTTGGCGTTGCGTAGAGATGTGGGTTGTCTTTCCAACCATGGAGAGTGTTCAGATTCAGAGAGTTCAGAGGAGTTGTTCGGACTAATAACTGCAGGTGATATTCATCATCGGACGTCAAGGCAGAATACAAAATACCATCCGTATCACCACGATATCCGTCGTTCCACAACTGTGCGTTTCTTAATGCAGTTTTTGCTGCGCACCACCACTAAGTGGAACCAGCTGCCCACTGAAGTATATCTGAACCAATTCGACTTAGGGTCCTTCAAGAATAGACCGTACCAATTCGTAAAAGGCCGGAAACGCACGTGCGAGACTTCTGGCAATGTGAGTGTCCATGGGCGGTATCACTTAACATAATGTGAGCCTCCAGCCCGTTTGCCTCCTGTTACATTAGAAAAAAAAAACAAAAAAGATCATAGTATTGTCTTTGATTAACATAACTTTTATTCATTTAATAAAACACTATTTTGACCGGATTGAAGTTATGTATTATTATAAATTTACAACTATTTAACATAATTTTAAATTTATCCGACGTTTCGCGTGCTTTACAGCATGCGTCACCGTGACCACGCACGCTGTAAAGCACGCGAAACGTCGGATAAATTTAAAATTATGTTAAATAGTTGTAAATTTATAATAATACATAACTTCAATCCGGTCAAAATAGTGTTTTATTAAAAAAAAAGATCATGTCCTGTCCTGAAGGGCCTGCAACACACCTATAAGCCTCTCTGCGTTATAGGTATTCATGGGCGGCGGTTAACATTTTAATTTAAGCGATGCCATTTGTCCCATAAACGGAATATCTATCAAAACTTGAATATTAGTGGATAAAACATAATTGTAAATTTTAGTTGACAGCGTGACCAAGGCGTTCCGAGATCTCCGCAGATTTATGCCATCTGGGCCTCTTATGAACTCGGAGTATTACCCGGGCTGGCTTACTCATTGGACTGAGGACCTCCAGCAAGTATCATCTGATCGAGTGGTGAACACTTTACGAGATATGTTGGAGCACAACATTAATTTCAACTTCTATATGTTCCATGGTGGGACCAATTTCGGATTTACATCTGGTTTGTGCTGAATTTTCAAAAAAAAAATATCCAGTGTCTTTGATTGTTACAATATTGAAGTCAGTAAATAAGCGTTGTTTCACAGTTGAGTCTGCGCTGAAAGAGAGGTGTAGCGGTTTAGCGAACTACCATAGTAATTTCGTTTATTAAAAAAAATACTATTAATTTTTCCTATTCAGTATCAAGATTACTAACTATTAAAGTTAGTTTTAGCATAACGAAATTCAAAATCACTGCTGCGACCTCAAATCCAACTACGGTTCTCTCTCCGCACAGACTAGCAGCTGAATAAAAACAAATGAAAACTTAAGCTATTGGATAATTAGTCTCTAATCTAATCTACACTACAAAAGCACTATTTTCTATTGATCACAGATTAGACAGAAATCTATTTTTTGAAATATATATCTAGTATATAATATCCTTCGCCTATATGGCCGTTCTAACTTTTCTATTTGTGTTGTTTTGTTTTTATGATATGCTACAGGTCAGAACATATTTTTTCCTATGCATAAACACAATTGTTTGTAGGTTAAATAACCCTACTACATATTATATTTTACTATAATAATATTTATTGTAAAGAAAAGGAAGAGAATAGAAAGATATATATTAAAAATATAATAAAAAGCAAAATGTTTCAAGGATGTCATTGATAGGCAACTGTACAAATATGTTTGAATACCTTTTGGCAATATAATAATTTGGTACAACATAGAATGTGTATGCCTATTATAAAACTATTTAATTCAATTCTTATTGTTTTTATGTGGGTTAAGATACAAAGCTCTATTTATATTTTGTTTTGGTTTATAAGATTTTGCGCACATCAATGACGTTTAACAACCGAAACATCCCATGGCCACGCAAAAATCGAGACAGTTTTATAATTTGAAATAGATGTTATTATTATTATTATGAAAGCTTTATTAATCCATACAACAATTGGTTAGTTTACATTCCTTAATATTAGTATTAGTTGTGTTAGTATATAATATTTTAAAAAAAATAAGTTAGATTTATTTTTTATGTGGTCTAGTTTTAGGGTAAAAGCCTCCTCCATATTTTTCCATTTCTTGTCTTAAGCAACATTCATCAAATTTTTCCGCTAGTTCTACAATGTCATCTGTCTATCTTTTCTTTTGTCGTCCTATACATCTCTTTCCAGTAGGTTCAGTCCATTTGGTTATTTCTAATGTTCATCTGTTATTTTAGAAATAGATTTAAAAAAAATTATTCCCAAAGTGTATTTACTAATAAATAAGAAAATCATAAAGTGTACAGGCCTAATAAAATATATTTATGTGTATTTTAGGTGCAAACTACGGCAGTTTTTATCAGCCAGACATAACATCATACGATTACGATGCACCGATCTCAGAAGCCGGCGACCCGACACCAAAATACTTTGCCATCCGAGACGCTATTACTAAGGTTGGCTTACTTATATGTAAAGTCTTTTTAGATTACATGTATCAGTTCAAATCTAGAGACCCATTTGTGTCGTTATCGTTTTTTTCAGTAGGTACCTAAATGCAGGATCAAAGTTTTAACTAATCCGAAACAAATATCGTGGTCGTCAATCAATTCCCGACGAAACCAATAGATTTTAATTAATAATTAATATTAGTAGAGGCGTAATTCGTAGATTTGAATCTACGAATTACGCTATAATATATATTATTGATAACAGAATAAATGACATCAACGGGTAACTTTTAAAAACATTTCACTGAGGTTTAGAATATATATCCTTAATTTTTTCTTTCAATTAAAATAGCCTATAATCATCAGTGATAATGTAGCATTCAAATGGTAAAGGATTTTGAAAATCGGTTCAGTACCTTTTGAGCCAATTCGTTACAAACATACTTACTTACATACAAATCTTTCCTCATTATAATATCTGATACTATAGAATTTTAACTAATGACGTGTGGCACAAACGGGAATTTGCTACTATTAAAAAGATTCGATTTATATATTTTACTATAGTCTATATCATTTCCTCGCTGTATTGGAAAGAAATTATACGGTCACTATTTACCGGATGCCTTGTCAAATTTTTATTACAATTAAAAAACTAAATCAAATCAAAATCTCTAAAATATAAAGTATTTCAAATTAAATTGCAAAATAGCCTTTATTCGGATATAAACGATTTAGCTGAAATTAAAGTCGACGTCGAAGATTCCAGCCCCGGGCGCTTCTTTCCTATCTCGCGCTCTGGATGGGAAATTGTATAATTATTGTGTTACAAACTTTTCCAATGTTTTGCGCGTACAGCCAACGTTGTTACGATATTTTTAAATATATTACAACTAGTGGACCCCACAGACGTTGTCCTGCATGATATTTAAAGCGATTAGGATATTAAGCAAAGTATGAAAGTACCGACTGCAGTGCCATCTGCCGGGCTGATTTGTGAATCTAAACCATTCTCGAATCTCCACGAACACACACAAAAAATTTCATCAAAATTGGTCCAGTCGTTTAGGAGGAGTTCAGTCACATACACACGCACACAAGAAATATATATATTAAGATATATATTTCACTTTTTAGTTAGATACTACTCAAATGATATAGTAGTAGAAGTGACTGATCCTTACACTGTAAGGATGATGTTTCTTTATCCTGCCTGTACATAAATAAAAAGGCTTTAGAACGAACCTTTTGATAGTTTAGTCAATAATTATTTTAATTAGACAGTTTTACGACTTGAACGCGCCGATTTTGCAAATATTTATAGGTTACTACACGAATATTCTAATATAACTTTGTGCTTCCGTTTAAGGAATTCTAAACATGCTATGGATCGGTTCTCATTTTTTTTCAGACAAAATTGTTATTAGATTTTAGGTACTTTTCGTGGTAAGGGAAGTACTTCTTTATATTTATTTTATGAATAACTTTGTTATAGTTAAATCCAGAAGTCAAACATATACCTCCTCCAACAATTTCGAAGAAAGGCGCATACGGTGCGGTCAGCCTAACTCCTAAAATTGAACTTTTATCAAATGATGGCCGTACGATTTTGGGTAAAAAATACAACACGGTAACGGGAAAAAAGTTGCCAACTTTTGAAGAATTGAAACAATTCTCCGGCTTGATGCTATATGAGACATCGTTGAATGGAAATGGTTTATTGGAAATCAGAAAACCAAGAGATTGGATTTTTGTTTACGTTGATAATGTAAGTTCTATTGAAGTAAACCGACTTTATAAGAAATATTGAATCTATTATTAGAATAATACTGATGCTAAATTGTATGGCTTTGCTATACATTATTTTACATTAACCCGTAGCAAAATATCTCGCGGATATTAATAAGAAATATACTTAAGTGAATATGTTAAAAGATTTTCAAATTCTTTGACGCCTACACATATTTATCACTATACTTTTAAATATTATGTATTATTGATATTCGTACGTTGAAGATTTTATTTTAGATTAAATGCAAGAAAAGAACTATATCTTATAATAAATCTTTACTGTGTTGTTGTATTTATTATTGTATTTGTAAGTTATCATTTACAATGTTATGAAACATATTAATTGAATTAATATATATCATTATCTTCGATTCAATAAAATATCCATAAAGTACGTTGTAAAATGTGTGATTACTTAAATGATGTTTTATTATAGCGCTTCCAAGGTGTGATAAATCGCAGGTACAAAGCATATTCATTGAATATTAAGTCAAGTGGCGGGTCATCTTTATCATTGCTCGTAGAAAATCAGGGACGAATCAATTATGGGCCTAAATTGCATGACTATAAGGTAAGTACTATTAATCGATACAACACTCTCTAGCAAATGCACGGTATTTTTATTATTTATGCTTATTCTTATACTGTAAAAAGTATCAAGCGGATATGTGAAATAGTTAATAATGCTTTGAAAACTATGTAAATTCTATGAAGTTACGGATTCGGTTTACGTGTGCCTAACATAAAATGGGAAAGAATCTAATTTATCTAGTGGTGATTGACAACATCATGAAGTGTTCAATTCTACGATTCCACCACGATTCCTTCATAAAGTATTATTCGATATTACCGGACCAATTCCGAAGCAATTTCTTTAGTCGCACATAATGGGGGTTTAAAAAATCTAATATGTATCTTGATATAAAGAAAAACTTTTTAGAGACTGATTTTACGTTCAATAGCTATCTTTATTTGTCTTTCGGACACTCTGGAAATTATGTGGATGATGAAATGTTTTCATAGAACAAAGGTGTTTTTATTTATTTGTTTGTATGTTAATCTAAAACCTTTGGTTTGGTACGTTTAATGTAAATGACTTTGCTAAAACGGCTTTACGGTTGTTATAAATAGATCATCTAAACTTAGTTACATTAAAATTTGATGTCAGGAAAACAACTTAACGTTTAAATTACTTTTTAAATAGCAAATTTAGCAATTTACTAAAAACATTTTTAAGTTCAGAGCACGCATTTTTAGTATGATGGTGAGATTGTCGCCAAACACACAAGAAAGATATTTAATTGTTTCTTACAGGGAATCCTAAGTACTGTAGTATTCAACAATAAAACCTTGGAAGGGCCGTGGACAATAACAGGGTATCCTTTAGATAAAAGACCTAAGCAGGTACAAGAATCTTTGTATGAACCAACAGCTTGCTCCCCAATATTGTTTACTGGTGACTTTGTTTTACCGCCTGGAGATCCTTTGGATACGTTTGTGGATATGACTGGTTGGGGAAAGGTAATTATTTATAACACAATGCTTTCTTACTTCTAATATCCTTTCTATTTCATGTTTTCGTAGTATCAAAGAGAATTGCAGTAAATTTGTCTCTGGAATATAATTTCACGTTTGGGACAGTTTTGTATGAAAACTTGCAGTGTTTTAAGTATTTGGTCAATCAGTAATAGTTCGATTTCCGTCGAAATATTGTTTTTGATTTAAAGGCAGAGAATGCTAGTTAATAGTTACTATAGATTCATTCTTCCTTGTTCCTAGGCTCATTCGTGGCCTTAATATAAGTTAACGTTTATATGCCACTGCGACATATAAATGGACCTTTTCTTGGTAAGATGTATTAATTTAAGACTTTTCTTAAATTAATATTTTTTTATTACTGTGTTTCCACTGTATTAATAAGTCCTTTTATTATTACAGTGCAAACACAATTTGAGAGATGAACAAGTACTTTAGCATTTAGACTGATTTTTTTTGTATTAGGGAATACAGGTATTAAATTTTTATTACAATTTTTAGGGTTACATAACAATAAATGGCCGTCTACTTGGAAGATATTGGCCTGAAGCTGGTCCTCAAGCAACGTTATACGTCCCTGGAGTCTGGCTAAAACCTGCGCCTGCGCAAAATGTCATCGAAGTCGTGGAATTGTATAAGACGCCTATAAATTCCACCGTTAATTTTATTGACTATCCAATTCTTAATAGAACCGCGACAGAGTACAGTTATAATGAATTAAGTTGTTCATATGTTAATTAGTTTTAAACGGGTCAACTGTATAATAAGATAGTAACTTAATTCTTGCATATAATGTGTGAAGTTTCAGACGCGTGCTAGTGGGTTGAATACAAAAATTATCTAAGTTAAAATACTCATAGGGTAAGATTCAGTGTCGTGACTTATGTGACGCAAACTGTGACTTATGTATATGTATATACATATATATGTATGTCCAAATCTAATACATTTGTGACATAGTCATAGTTCGCTTAAAGTCTTGTATCTTATTTTTACCTTTAGTACTGAGCAAAATTTTGTTTCCTTTCACGTCCTTAACAATAAAGTTTCTGACTAGCCAGCGAATACTCGTTTTTTTGTGTACTCAATAAATGTCATAATTAATGTGTTGTTTTTTTAAATAAGCACAAAGGTACGCTTATAGTAAATTATATAATTACCTACCACAATAGTTTAAATTAAGTTTCTCAACCTTAATGTTTTGAAAAATGAAAAATTATTAATAAAATATTATCACGTTTGTGTTACGAAAAGTATAACGACCACAAACTGTTCCCAGTTCAGTTAAAAATAAAATTAAAACGTATATAAACCTAAGAAACATATTATAATAATATCTTAGAAACATTCGTGATTTTAGATGCGAATCTAGGTCGCCATGTCTTGATTTTTGACCGTCTTTGACCTTCAAGAAAAAAGCGAGTTCGCGTTAGTATCTATGGGAGATACTATCCGATGTCTCTTGACCTGTTTAGTCTAAAAAAGCCTTTAATCGAAGTAGGTATACAATTAAACATGTAGTTTGGAGTCAAATGTAACGGTAATGTAATGATTCAGTAGACGCTCCTGTTTTCAACGGTCTGAAGGACAAACCAATTATTTGAAACTAGATGAACTCGTGAACTTCGTATCACCTACATATATTCCCTTCCACTTCCACAAATAATTCAAGACCAAAATTAGCCAAATCGGTCCAGCCGTTTTTGAGTTTTAGCGAGACTAACGAACAGCAATTATTTTTATATACTTATATATATAGACTAGCTGACTCGGCAAATGTCGTTTTGCTATGTATATCATTTATAATAAAAAAATAGGGGTTGAGCGTAGAGGGGTGAAAATAAGGGGTTGTATGTATTTTTAATGATGTATTACAAAAAAATAAAAATTTATGTAAAAGTTAAAAATAATTATAATTTAGGGGTGGACTACCCTTAACATTTAGGGGGTGTTCTGAGTCTCAGACATACCCAATATGCACACAAAATTTCATGAGAATCGGTCAAGCCGTTTCGGAGAAGTTTAACTACATACACCGCGACACGAGAATTTTTTATATTAGATTTAATTATTTTAGGCGATTATATCGTGTTATAAAATTCATTGATAAAGGCACTCTTTAGTGGACTGTGAAATAGATGAGTATGTACGAGAAAGGTAGGTCAACTGTCAGTGATTGTTTCATAGCAAAAAAATCATGTATGCTAATGAAACATTTGAACACTCGCTTTAAGCGTGTAAGTAGAAAAGGACATAAATCTATCTATCTGGGATGTGACTATAGTAATTAGAGGCCTTTAAATAAACGTAAAATTACGCCTTTAGTATAATAGTAATTACTCAGTAAATTTGATTATATTTCGTGCAATTTGAGTTTGGCTTTGGTATTAACTAGAATAGGCAATAGCGCCTGGAATTCCATTCCATTTGGAATCCACACTATATTTCCATGCAATTCTCGAGGCTTAAATAATAAATATTATTAGTTTAATTCACTTTTTGAAATATTAAACAAATACTATATCATTTATCGAAAGTTAATTGTTTATAAGGATCATTGTCCCGATTGAAGAATGCCCTAACTTTCAGTCAATCATTCAAATGTAGTGAGAAAAGATGCGGCAGACTTAAGACGTATTTAAAACCCTCGGAACTACAAACAATAGTATTCACATCATTGACCTTAGCCGTGGCAGAGGGAGACGGCTATATCTAAATAGTGTACATCAAAGCGGGATGGTCTACATCCTAACTGGTTGGTTTTGTGACGTGTTATGTTATCGTAACTTGGAGGAAGTGGAACACTGAACGAGCGCTGAACGCGGTCTGTCGTTGTGGGGACACCGACAGCGCCGGACCGTTTTTCGTGGTCCATAAAAACCACGTGGCCGGCATTTTAAACCTAAAAAGTGAGTACATAAATCAATTGCTCTTAAAACGGCCTTTATATTCGTATTATATGAGAAGTGGTCATAATTTTTCAATATGTGACCATTGGCACGCGGTGTGCTTGGTTAGTTGTGAGTTAACTATAATCTTTAAGTATCAATACATATTTAATAGCAATTGAATTCAATTTTAATACACGTTTTATTTATTTTCATGCATGTATATCGTTTGTATTATTAATTTATTATATATCTACTGAAAATAAACACCGATAAAATGTCAAAGTCAGTTCTTCAGTGTAAAAATTCCATGCAACATTTTACCTTATGATCATAAGTTAAAACCAAAGTTATTTCAAGATAAGTAATTTCTTGGTTAACGAGTAGGTTTTTGCAACTTTTTTTATTTAGTACATATTCGAGTCCATATTTTCAGAGATCACCACTATGTTAGTAACTAATATACTTTTTTTTAGTACGTTAAAATTGAATATGGTATTTCATTAAATAAATACACTTCTGCTATTTACTTCCTTATTTGGAAGTATGTATTGATAAGGTTATTATGCATTTTACTATAAGAAATTCTGTTTAAGTTATCAACTTTCCATTATTCATACTACAGTACAGTACACATATAATTCTAAAATAGTATAGGTATAGTATACAAATAATTATTTACTCTTGGGCCGTGGGGTTCAAGTGCAAAGGCGCTAATTAAAGATTTGTGTTCGCTATAGTTATTTTAGTTAGCGTCCTGGTAGATAGTACCGGTGACCCCAGAGCTGGAGCAGAGCTAAAGGTACACCAGCACAGCGACCAAACTTTTAAAATTTGTTTTAATTATTATTATTATTATTACTATGTAGGTTAAGAAAATTGTATATACTGTATGTTTCTTTCGTTAAAAATATATTAATATATAAGGTTATGGTAATTACATCACCTTGATATTACAATATTGTATCTATAACTACGTTCGTGCGGCGATTTGATGGACAGACTTTAAATAAATAATTATTTAGCTGTAAAATACGCACCAAAATTTAGGATGCAGGGTTGTTAAAATGTCCAATTTTTTTTAAATCTCTAAATTATAAAACTGGTTTTTACAATAAGCAATATTAACTTACTTTAAGATTAGTTTTGTCTATGACTGTTCTCGCGACCTTACCTAAAACTAGACCCGTTACAAACGGTATTTTTACATGAATAAATACTTAAACAGGTTAGTTCTCCAATGGTTACATCTTCGTTTCAAAATTCAGAGGCACTAAGTTAGCAAATAAAACTGTTTCCTATTTTTCTACACATTCTTTATAAGTTTTATAATTTATTACTAGTAGACTCAATAAGTAAATAACCCTTAATAAGAATACCCTTGTATGTGTAATTTAAACACAAATATATCTTTTCGTCAACTTCAACAACAACAACTGATTCTTGAGAGACGATTAATATGTATAGATTCTAAAATTCCCACAAACAATTGCACATAAGTTATTATTTAAGTATTAGAGTTATTATAGAAGTCAATTTTTTATTTCCTGTCCTATGTTGTATAAAATAAAATTATAAAACCGCACAACGATAGAGCTATATTGTATTCGATTTTACTTACTGATTGCTTCTAGCCGAAAAACACTAATATGTCTCGAGGCACACATTTGTATCATTCTTTAAACTAAATTTAGTGTCACTAAATTTTTGATGTGCATTATCAAGTTCAATTGCGCATATAGAAAAAATACTTGTACGTCGAACGCACGATGTCAATGTAACAGCGAAGGACAATTTAAAAGAATAAAAAGCAGAGATATCTTTTATCCTGGTTGATACGCACAAATACAAAAATATATGTTGACTTTAATATAAGAAATATTCAATGTTATAAGGAGACAAATGCAGGCATGGGTGTTGGTTTAATACAACTTTATTTGATTTACAAATATTGAATATAGAGACAGCTAAACAGAACATTATGGGAACTAAGTAGATACAGAGATCCATATCAATTATACTAGTACAGTAAAGACTTCCGATAGAGGAGTACCCCGACGCGAGTTCTAGCTTTTATCTTGTCATTGTAGATAAGTGTATATTAAAGATTTTATTTCGCTCAAAAAACCTGATTAAAATAATGATTTATATTAACTAATATTACAATTTCTTACAACTGCATGAAACCTTATACAAGTTGCACTGTCACCCGTATTAAAGCATAATATATGTGTAATTTGAGCAAGTCGTGTCATTAACCCTGAATAAAATACTGTAACTTTGTAGATAATATATATTTCACCATATAAAAAAAATATTTCAATAGAATAAATGACATATAGTAAAATAAATAATTAATATATATTGAAAAAAAAATCAGTTGCGCTACAACCTCTTCAGGTCTTGGCCTCAGATTTCTGAATCTGTTTCATGATCATTTTTTAAATCTCATAGGCAAGTAGGTGATCAGCCTCCAGTGCCTGACACACACCGTCGACTTTTTGGGTCTAAGCCATGTCGGTTTCCTCACGATGTTTTCCTTCACCGTTCGAGCAAATGTTAAATGCGCATATAGAAAGAAAGTCCATTGGTGCACAGCCGGGGATCGAACCTACAACCTCAGGGATTAGAGTCGCACGCTGAGGCCACTAGGCCAACACTGCTCCTTTTAATATATATTGACGTGTTTATTTCTTGAAGGTTACATCCAAATAAACACGACAATATATTCATTATTTATTTTACGTCAGGTATGTCATTTATTTTATTTTTTTGTATATACTATCTCCAAGGAGCACTGATATAAAAAGCCGCAACTACTACCGCAAGGTACCTAATAGTGATATAACAAACAAGTATTATATAAATATTCGCCAAGGATTCTATTTATTAATAATTTGTCTTAAATAAAAATTTGTTTAATTTTTTTTAAACTATTATTTTACGCTTTATTTCAGGAAAATGTGCGACAATAATGAGCTGAGTTGTGAAGTGGGGCCGCCATGCAGCCTGGTGCTTGCTGATGGATCCGTCTTTCAGGGTCGTAGTTTTGGAGCCCAAGTACCTGTGGAAGGGGAAGTTGGTAAGTTAAACGTCTTACTTTAAGTCTTACTCTGTTTTTAATGTTTTTATTTAGGAAGCTTTCTACAAAATACATACATATTCATGTGCCGACGTATATGTTTATGTGTGTGAGAGAGAGTAATTGTTACTAATTACTTAATATTTTATTTTGTAAGTATATCATTTTAGTAGTTATTTTTTATTAAAAATTTCAAAAATAAATTATTATACTGGGAATAAATTCTATTTAATATGGGGGCGATATGAGAAAAGTTATTCTTATTTATAAGCTATCTCCATGTAGGAAAAGAAAACTTAACTTGAGGAGATCTGGGCCGTCTGACGTCCATGAAGTCGTGTAGTAGGCATTAGAACAAAAGAGTGCGTCTATCCTGTAAAGATATGAGTATATATTTTTACACCTACTAACCACACGACATATCCGCTCTTTTAAAATCGAGATACCCCAGAAATTTATTTTGAACATTCTAAAGTGCAAGTGTCTGAATGTTGGACTATTATTCTAAAACACATCTTATTGTAGTTACAACAAATCGTAGTCCAATCGTAAAATTGTTCATTTCATGAAAGAAAAAACCAGCATAGCGACTAGTTTAACGATATGTCATTACGGCATATTTCTATATCGTTTGAAATGTTGAAATAAGCTAAGTTATTATTTTAATTGTTGACTGATGACGGTTCTATGAATCTAATGACCCAACATGAACATATGCATATACTTTATAATATTTTCAAAATTAAATAAAAACGTTTTGTATCTAAAACTAAATACATATTCGATCGATCGGTGAAGGAAAACATCGTGAGGAAACTTTACTTAAGCCGAAAACGTCGACGGCGTGTCAGGCCTATTGGTTTACCTATTAGTTTAACAATTAATCATGAAACAGATACAGAGATCTGAGGCCCAGACCATAAAAGTTGTAGCTGATTTTTTTATTATTATCTAAAACTTAATTTTATACAAACTGAAACCTCGTTTTTGAATATTAATCATAACTATGATAAGAGTTTAAGGAACTTTGTTCTACATATTTTTAATCTGATAAATCGTGTAGGTCAGAATCAAATTTAAATATTTATCAAGGTTTTTAACCTGTTCTCCTATGTTTATAGGCGATTTTCGATTAAATTTATTTACGAAATACGGACTTTGTATCGTAATGTAGGTACGGACATGTAGACATCAGGATAAAAATTGAGTAAAATATTTTATTTACGTACCCAAAGGTATTGCCTATGGTTTATCGACAGTGCGATGTGATAGGCATTTAATTGAAGGTATTCTCCTCTCATTGAAAACACTCCGGATGACGGTTGTGTAAAGGTTTACATATATCAAATTCAATAATTGATCTTCGAAGATAAATGATGCAAGCTTCAAACTTTAACTATGAATACACACCCATTTATGGGCTTCTGCTTGATACCAACATTTGTATAGACAAAAACTATTAAAACATCCTAGGATTTAAGAACATTTTACTTGTGTGAAGAAATCCCGTATCGCTACAAATCGGATATCAGAGACGTTTCTGTGTCTGTTACAGGGATAATATTAGCCTTCTGGCCTTAAGATCCACGACCTCTGGGTTGACATTCAGAAGCTCAACTGCTACTACGCCAACTGCTTCTCTAATACTAATTTGTAGCAATAATCCATTCCAGTGTTTCAAACTGGTATGGTGGGATACCCAGAATCTTTAACGGACCCTTCCTACCACGCCCAGTTGCTAGTACTGACCTATCCTCTCATCGGTAACTACGGGGTGCCTGATGAAAACGACTTTGATGAACATGGCTTACCCAGGTTAGTTACAAATTCAATTTTTCGTTTTCAATATGCTTCGTTAGAATTTACGAATGCGTTGATAACCAATATTTAGACAGTAAGCAAGACAGTTTTATAATTTTAAAATTAGGTTAAATAAAGGCGTTTTAATGCAGTAATAGTGTATTTTCTTTTAAATGTTTTGCAAAGAATATGTAATATGCTTAAGTATCCGAAGTGTAATATAAAAAAGGAGTTGTTGTTTAACTCTGTTTGAATCCCGGCAAAACAAATATTGTATTGCTTGGGAAGGTCTATAAAGAAATATAGCCATTGGAAAACACACGCAAGAATGTGTCCCTTTTCATTAGTTACAGGATTGTAATTTTATACGCTGTATGAAATGTTAGGTAAAACCAATGCTGCCTTTGTTTAACTATCTACAGTACCTACCAGATTTTATGACAAAAATTTGAATACTTATCATTGCAACGGAACCGAGCATGCCCATGATCCATCTTTCCATACGTAACAAAAAAGATATATATAATACTCAACACCTTTATATAAGACTAGATATTATATTAATTTATTTATTAAAGTTCATCAAATCATACATCTACCCTCATTTACAGTATTTGTGACAACCTATATTTTCTAAAATATATGACAATTATGGTAAACATGAATGTTCCCAAAAATAAAAGATTAAAATACTTACATAAAAATTACAACAAAACAGCGGATAAGGTATCAGATATTAACAATTCTTTTTTTTAAATTGATCAGCCCACTATCAAATATGTCAAGTCCTGGATAAGTAGTGTTTATCGAAATCGATCGAATCGATGTAATTCGAATCAGAGGTATATTTAACATTTAATATAATATCAAAAATATTACATTTCAGATTTTTTGAATCTACCCGCATATGGGCAGCAGCTCTCATCGTTGGCCAAGTTAGCACCGCAGCGTGTCATTGGCGCGCTAAAAAATCATTAGGCAAATGGCTAGCTAGTAAGGGTGTACCTGGATTATGCGAAGTTGATACTAGGGCTCTGACATTCCGACTTCGAGAAGGTGTGACTTTGGGTAGAATAGTTCAAGGTGTGCCCCCCCTTTAAAGTAATGGCACCTTTGACTGATCCCAATACGAGGAACTTGGTTGCAGAAGTTTCTATTCAGGTAAGTGTTATGTCACAATCCTCTCTGTGTCTTTAAAAATATTTATTCAACCGTTCATTTTTTTCCTAAATTCATGGAATTGATTCATCAAAAAGAAAATAATTTCGTAATATTTTTTCAGAAGTATTGAGTTCTCTACAAAATTGAATTGACCGTCTCTATTGATCAATATAAAGTAACCAAAGATTCAATGATGTAGTTATTGTTTGGGGCTTAGAGGCATTAAATTCTTATTAAATTCTTATTTAGCTAAAAAGAGGCAGAAAACAGTATTACCCTATCCTTATCTTATCCTATCCTATCTACACTCCACATTTCACACAGAAATTTATAAAATCTCTAATTAATATTATTGTTTTAGGAGCCACGGATATTTAATCCGCAAGGAGATATAACCATAGTGGCTGTGGATTGTGGATTGAAATATAATCAAATTAGATGTTTAATAAAAAGAAACGCAAAGGTGATATTAGTGCCATGGAATTATAAGTTTGATACAGAACAATATGACGGAATTTTCATTAGTAATGGACCCGGTGATCCAGAAGTTTGCAAGGTGACGGTAGACAATTTGCGGCAGAGACTACAGGACAAAAAAAATGTTAAGCCAATCTTCGGTATTTGCTTGGGTCATCAGTTATTGGCTACTGCAGCGGGCTGTAAGACATATAAAACTCGGTAATATACATTTATATCTTAATTTAAGCTTCTTAATAACACGCTGAGGCGGTAGCATTACAATTATCTTCTGGCATCTTTTATAATTATTATATAATTTGGTAGTCTTAGTGATTAATGGACTTCATTAATATACTTTTAGACGCTTAAACTTCTTTAGCTCACCCAGTGGCGTAACAATAGGGTGGCAGGGCTGGCAAAATACCACGGGTCCCCGACCCATGAGGGCCCCTGCCCAAGAGATACTATGTTCTATGGATGAATGTGAAGTCTCCAATACACATTGGGTAGCGTGGGATCTAAAGACCATTCCCTCTCGCCTAAGAGAGAAGGCCGATGGCCATTAGTGGGACATTTACAGCGTGTAATTGAGTACGCTGAAAATTTCGAAGTTTATTAAAATTAAACTGTGTAGGGACAATTTTTACTGATAGCGCCCCATCAAAAGAAATGCCACGGGCCCCAGATGGTATACTTACGCCACTGAGCTCACCCTTTAATTGCAAGCTTGCAAGACAAGTTATATTTTATAGTCTATTTAGTTATGTTAACCCATCATAAAAAAGAAATCATAAGCTCATTGTTCACATTTCAGATACGGAAATCGTGGACACAATCTACCTTGTACGCACAATGGAACAGGCCGCTGTTTTATGACTTCACAGAACCACGGTTTTGCAGTAGATGCTAAGACACTACCAGAGAACTGGGATATACTTTTTACTAATGAGAACGATAAAACGAATGAAGGCATTTCTCATAAATCTTTACCATACTTTAGCGTTCAGTTTCATCCCGAACATACAGCGGGACCAACCGATTTAGAATGTCTTTTTGATATATTTATTGATTTAGTAAAGTTATACAAAAACAAAAAGCAAGCTGTTGTAAATGAATTGATTAAAGAGAAACTAAAATATACGCCTATACTACAAGATAGACCTAAAAAAGTGTTAATTTTGGGGTCTGGAGGGCTTTCAATAGGACAAGCTGGAGAATTTGACTATTCAGGTTCGCAAGGTGTAAAAGCTATGCAAGAAGAAAAGATTCAAACTGTCTTGATCAACCCTAATATTGCGACAGTTCAAACATCGAAAGGATTAGCTGATAAAGTATACTTTCTTCCCATTACTCCCGAATATGTTGAACAAGTTATTAAAGCCGAGCGTCCAACCGGTGTCTTACTCACTTTTGGAGGTCAAACGGCTCTTAATTGTGGGGTTGAATTAGAAAAAAGTAAAATATTTGATAAGTATAACGTTAATGTACTGGGTACTCCAATACAATCTATTGTTGACACAGAAGATCGAAAAATATTCGCTGAAAAAATTAACGCTATAGGAGAAAAAGTGGCACCAAGTGCTGCAGTTTCATCTGTAGAAGAAGCTTTAGCAGCAGCGTTGCAAATCGGCTATCCAGTGATGTCACGCTCTGCTTTCTCTCTTGGTGGCTTGGGATCAGGATTTGCAAACAACGAAGAAGAATTAAGAGTACTAGCTCATCATGCTTTGTCACATTCTGAACAGTTAATTATTGATAAATCTTTAAAAGGCTGGAAAGAAGTTGAATACGAAGTCGTAAGAGATGCATATGATAACTGCATCACAGTCTGCAATATGGAAAACGTAGATCCATTGGGTATTCATACAGGTGAATCTATTGTTGTTGCGCCAAGCCAAACGTTATCTAATCGTGAATATTACATGTTACGTAATACGGCTATTAAGGTAATAAGACACTTTGGTATAGTCGGTGAATGTAATATTCAATATGCCTTAAACCCCAATTCAGAAGAGTTTTTTATCATAGAGGTCAATGCACGATTGTCCCGAAGTTCTGCATTAGCTAGCAAAGCTACTGGTTACCCTCTAGCATATGTAGCTGCTAAATTAGCCTTAGGTATACCACTACCAGTTATCAAAAATTCTGTTACTAGTGTGACCACAGCCTGTTTTGAACCAAGTTTGGATTACTGTGTAGTTAAAATACCCCGTTGGGATTTAGCTAAATTCAATAGGGTTAGTACTAAAATCGGAAGTTCTATGAAAAGTGTAGGCGAAGTGATGGCTATTGGCAGAAGTTTTGAAGAAGCTTTTCAAAAGGCTTTGCGAATGGTGGATGAAAATGTAAATGGTTTTGATCCTTACATAAAAAAGGTAAACGATAACGACTTAAGAGAACCTACAGATAAAAGAATGTTTATATTAGCTGCAGCCTTAAAAGAGGGATATTCAGTAAATAAATTATATGAATTAACTAAAATAGATCGTTGGTTTTTGAATAAAATGAAAAATATTATAGATTATTATGGTAATCTTGAGGCGATAAATGGATCTATGACCCCAGAAATCCTTAAACAAGCGAAGAAAATTGGGTTTTCTGATAAGCAAATCGCTGCAGCTGTTAAAAGTACAGAACTTGCTGTTCGAAAATTAAGAGAAGAATACAAGATCACCCCATTTGTAAAGCAGATTGACACTGTAGCTGCCGAATGGCCGGCTTCCACTAATTATTTATATATGACGTACAATGGTTGTACACACGACTTAGAATTTCCAGGAGAATTTACTATGGTCCTTGGATCTGGTGTTTACAGAATTGGAAGTTCAGTTGAATTTGATTGGTGTGCCGTTGGTTGTTTAAGAGAATTGAAGAATCAAGGTAAGAAAACAATAATGGTAAATTATAATCCAGAAACAGTCAGTACGGATTACGATATGAGTGACAGATTATACTTTGAAGAAATTTCCTTTGAAGTTGTTATGGATATCTACAATATCGAACACCCAGATGGCGTCATTTTGTGTATGGGAGGCCAGTTACCAAATAATATTGCCATGGACTTACATAGACAACAAGCGGTTATATTAGGTACATCACCAGATATGGTAGACAATGCTGAGAATAGATTCAAATTTTCTAGAATGTTAGATCGCAGAGGTATATTGCAACCGCGATGGAAAGAACTGACGAATTTAGAATCGGCCATCAGTTTTTGCGAGGAAGTGGGTTACCCATGTTTGGTTCGCCCTTCTTATGTTTTAAGTGGTGCTGCTATGAATGTAGCTTTCTCAAACCAAGAGCTAGAAACTTACCTTAAATCAGCAAGTCAAGTAAGTAAGGACTATCCGGTGGTTATTTCAAAGTATATTCTGGATGCAAAAGAAATTGATGTAGATGTTGTAGCCGCTGATGGAATATTACTTTGTATGGCTGTATCAGAACACGTTGAAAATGCTGGTGTTCACTCCGGCGATGCCACACTTGTTACGCCTCCACAAGACATAAATAAGGAAACTTTAGAAAAGATTAAAGATATAGCCAGAATAATCGCCGAAACTTTAGATGTCACGGGGCCATTTAATATGCAACTTATAGCAAAAGATAACGAACTGAAGGTGATTGAATGTAACGTGCGAGTATCAAGATCATTTCCGTTTGTTTCTAAGACACTGGATCATGATTTTGTAGCAATGGCCACAAAAGTAATCCTTGGTATTCCTGTGGAACCCGTAGATGTAATGAGTGGCTGTGGAAAAGTGGGAGTAAAAGTTCCTCAATTTTCTTTTTCACGACTCTCTGGTGCCGATGTTACTTTGGGAGTCGAAATGGCTTCAACTGGAGAGGTAGCTTGCTTTGGCGAAAATCGGTATGAAGCTTATTTAAAGTCACTTATGAGTACTGGATTTAGGATACCGAAAAAGGCGATTTTACTGTCCATAGGAACCTACAAGGTAAATGATTCCTTCCATACAACATTCATTATTTTTATGAGATTGTCACCTCATTCATTATTATTCATACGGTAACAATCAACATATACTTTTCCAGCATAAAATGGAACTATTGCCTAGTGTGCGAGTACTACAAAGCATGGGATACAAACTATATGCTAGCATGGGAACAGGAGATTTCTACACAGAACACGGAATCGATGTAAGTATATATATATATATATATACACTATTAAATAATTATTTAATTAAATATATAATTAAACTAACTATATAATTATTGCCACATTATAATTTGGTTTTTCCATATTTGAATATAGTAGATGTATTTTCACTTACCGTTGAACAATTCCAATACCTACTATTTGATATATCCACTCATAAAATGACCTACTTTTAATTTCAGGTAGAAAGTGTACAATGGACGTTTGACCATATAGGAGATCTGGACGATGCAAGATCGGACGGGGAATTAATGCACTTAGCAGACTTTATGGCGAGAAAGCAACTGGATCTCGTCATCAATTTGCCAATGAGCGGTGGAGCTCGTCGTGTATCTTCGTTCTCAACTCATGGGTACCGCACTAGACGCCTGGCTGTTGACTACGCTGTTCCTTTGGTTACTGATGTGAAATGCGCTAAGCTTTTAGTACAGGTAACAGATTAAAGTAATTCGTGGAAAAAGCTGTGTGGATATTCTTTCTTAGATGGTGACTTAATATTTTTCTTAGTAATACATTAACTTAAAATTAAGTACAAATATAAGGTATTTGCTTAATTTCCTCTTTTGTGTCACCTCTTTTACCTCAATATTATATAAGTGAGAAAAAACATAAATTACAGCGTTTACATCTAGAAATAAACATCATCTTAGTAATAACAATTCCTTCCAGGCAATGTTACGATGCGGCGGTGTTCCACTCATGAAAACCCACACTGATTGTATGACATCAAGAAATATTATTAAATTGCCCGGATTTATCGATGTTCATGTTCACGTCAGAGAACCAGGTGCAACTTATAAAGAAGACTTTGATTCCTGTACAGCATCTGCTCTTGCTGGTGGTATAACTATGATTTGTGCCATGCCAAATACAAATCCACCTGTGATTGATCGTACTTCATATGACTACGTCGCGGCTCTCTCTAGAGTAAGCGCACGTTGTGACTATGCATTATTTGTTGGTGCCTCTACCAGCAACACAGACAGCGCAGCAGAACTAGCACCACAGGCAGCAGCTTTAAAAATGTATCTTAATGAAACTTATACAACTCTTAAACTCGACGATATGACTGTTTGGCAAAAACACCTACAGAATTGGCCCAAAAAAGTACCTATCTGCGCCCATGCAGAGAAGGAAAAAACTGGAGCTATTATACTAATGGCTTCCCTTTTAGATCGACCGATTCATATCTGCCATGTAGCAAGAAAGGAAGAAATAATGATTATAAAGGCTGCTAAAGAACGAGGCTTAAAGGTCACGTGTGAAGTCTGTCCACATCATTTGTTTTTAAGTACTAGAGATATAGACAGAATCGGTTTGGGCCGTGCTGAGGTTAGACCAGTCTTATGTAGTCCCGAGGATCAGGAAGAACTGTGGAAAAATATGGATATTATCGACATCTTTGCTACTGATCATGCTCCACATTCAGTCGAAGAGAAGAACTCAGAAAAACCTCCACCTGGTTTTCCTGGCTTAGAAACCATTCTACCACTGCTCCTTAATGCTGTCCATGAAGGGCGTCTTACGATGGAAGATCTAATTAATAAATTTCACAGAAACCCGCGAAAGATATTTAATTTACCTGAACAACCGAATACATACGTAGAAATTGATATGGATTACGAATGGACAATACCCGAAGCCATGGAATTCACAAAATCAAAATGGACTCCGTTTGCGGGTATGCATGTTTGCGGCTCTATTCATCGAGTCACCTTACGCGGCGAAATAGCCTACGTAGAGGGACAAATTTTAGTACCACCAGGATTTGGACAAAATGTACGAGATTGGCCAGCACCAAAAAAACAAACGTTCCCTGTATATCCGATTGAAAAAATTGAAAAAGAAACCAGCCGACCAAATTCAGCTTTAGACTTCCACAGCTCTCTAGAAATTAGTAAATATAGTGACTATGAACTGGATCAGTCAGAACCAGGCAAGACAGACAATAAATTAAACGTTCATTTCAATGAGAGCACTGGTTTAAGAAGCACCTCTCCTTTACCGCCTCAAACCACTACAAGACAGAGATGTGACAGTTCTTCTATATACCCTGCACAGGTTACATCATCACAACGGCAGCGTAGCGATTTATTTGGCAAAAGTATTTTGACTGTTGATACGTTCAGTAAAGAAACATTAAATGACATTTTCAATTTAGCCCAATATATGAAAACCAACGTAAGTAAGGGTAGATGTCTCGATGATTTACTGCGAGGAAAGGTGATGGCATCCATATTTTATGAAGTCAGCACTCGAACCAGTTGTAGTTTTTCTGCAGCTATGCAGAGACTTGGTGGTTCAGTGATTCATACTGACGCCACAAACTCGTCTGCTAAAAAAGGGGAAACTTTAGAAGACAGTGTTGCCGTGATGGCTAGTTACTCTGACATAGTAGTTCTCCGGCATCCTGAACCTGGAGCAGTTGCTGTAAGTAAACTATAATTTATTCTTAGTTACACAAAGATAAGATTATACTAGATATTTAGCTAGTGAACAATTTTACTTTTTAGTATGTACCCTACACACTAATCATATATAATATATATTTACTTGCAGCGTGCTTCAAGACACAGTCGTAAACCTATTATTAACGCTGGAGATGGTGTAGGTGAACATCCTACTCAAGCGTTGCTTGATATTTTCACTATAAGAGAAGAAATTGGCACTGTAAATGGTCTGACTATAACCATGGTTGGCGATTTGAAGAACGGCCGGACTGTACACTCCCTAGCTCGCCTACTTACATTGTATCAAGTGCAGTTGCAATATGTCAGTCCCCCTGGATTGGGAATGCCAAAACACATAATGGACTATGTGGCGTCTAAAGGTGTTCCTCAAAGAATGTATGAGAAACTGGAAGATACTCTAGCTGATACACACGTATTGTACATGACCAGGATCCAACAAGAAAGATTCAAAAGCCAAGAGGAGTATGAGAAGGTAATTTCAAATCTTTATTTTAATTCTATATCTTAGTAGTCTATGAATATTCTTATTACCATAGGTAGTTTTAACGTTCAAAGACAAATATTTGGTATATTTTTTAGATACGTGGCCTGCTAGTGGTTACTCCGCAATTGATGACCCGCGCAAAGCGCCGCATGGTTGTGATGCACCCTTTGCCTCGAATTGATGAAATTTCACCTAAATTCGACACAGATCCTCGAGCTGCCTACTTCAGACAGGCAGAATACGGCATGTATGTGCGTATGGCACTACTCGCTATGGTGGCTAGCGTGAATCCTTTAATTTAATAAAACTAGTAACTACATATATAGTATATTTTCACTACTGACAATAAAAAATATTTTTAAACGTTATTTTATTATAATAAGTAGATACAAATTATATAACACAAAATTGTATGGGATATGAATAGAGTAGTCATCCTTTATCCTTTGCTTTCCCGTTCATAGCGTGATATTATTACACTTAAATATACTATATGTAAGTTATTCACGGTCTGATACATACAATGCCTTAAAATTATTAATATCAATCCAATGTAAACAATAACTCTAGTAATGAAGAAAACAAAAAAACATAATTTTATATTAAAAAAGTATTTTAGTTAAATATGGAATTTTAATATTTTATGAAGGCGAGATTCTAGAACATGACCTTATACTTAAATAAGATTTTTTTACAATAAGAGCCCAGGCCACAAAAATATAGTTTTAAAAAAGGAATTATAACCTATTTATAATCACTAGTAAATAAATGATAAAATAACAATGTCGGCAAGGTACGATAATCATATGGTAGAACCTGGAAAGATTTATAGGAGTTTTGAAGGTTAGCAGCATTTCGAGAAGCTATGTTGCAACCATGCACCCATCCGCCATATTAAAAAACAGATAATTATTAGAAGATGTTTTTATATCTTCTTTCGACACATTCTACGATGAAAGCATTCGTAATTATTTATATACAAAATTAATCTCGAGACCATATTTACGATATACGCATTAACATTTTTTGTAAGATATAGTTTAAAACGATCACAATTCGAAATACCCAAAAAAACATTACCTAAATTATAAAATATAATTAGAAATAGAAAGTCAAATAGTATTTCTTCCTAAAATTAAAGAATATAGGTATATAGTTATCACATTATCTTTTTAAAATGACAAAGTTTTGAAAACCTGAACAACATTATATATTATAACAGTGAGTTATATTATATAGATACCTCGTGCAATAAAACTTTATAGCTTAGATTCCTCAAGGTCATCTATTTCAACGAAGGACACTTTATCCCGAATTTTGACATTTTCAACATGAACATCTACGAAAGCGAATGATGGTGTTCCCGAGTTGTCCGTTGGGGAGTCTTGGTTATTAATTATATGTTCAACTTTTGGTCGCTGTTTCCGCATCATGTTTGTATTAACTGATCGGTCATGCTCTCGGACGGATACTTTGTAGCCAATGTGATTAGCTAGCTTTCGCTGACAATCAGCTAATTTGTCACGTATAATATTATCATATTCGTGTACCGATGCTTCGCTGGCAGGTTCCTCCCTCAGGAGAATCGTTAGTCGTTTAGCTTGCTCTAAATAAATTACTGCTTGCCTGATAGCGTCGAATTTTTCACTTGATCGAGCCATCGCAATGAAGTGAGAAATGAAAAATTCAAATACTAACCGCCGTCGTTCCGACTCCATTTTTGTCGGCAAAATTATCTAGAAAGAAAGAATCATAGCATAATCTAATAGTTATTATCGCAATCAATTTGTATTATCAGACGAATTAATATCTACAAAAATTGTTGAAAATATGACACTTACATTTTTATTAATCTCTGTTTCTATCTTTTCTTTTCCCTTTTCCTTTGGCTTCCTCATGTTGAAATTTGCTTTTCTCCGTTCTTTCATTTGACGTTGTCGTTCTTTTTTCCATTGATAGTGTTTGTCATGGAGTTTAGCTTTATCCCAAATACTATTTACATTTTCGTCTTCACTATCAGAAGAATCTTGGTTCATTGGTACAGAGTGAACTGGTAAATAGGGATTTATCAGACGCAATGGATTTTTGCACGTTAAGATGTCATATAGTCTGCGGCTGTTAAACGTTGGATAGAAATCTTTTTTCATGTATTTTACTTTATTTAATGCATATAGTGTATGCATCACTGGTGCCTCCAAAATATCTGCTAATTTCCGTTGGGCTTTCAATAGTAACGGTTTGGGTACGCTTTTGAATTCATTACACGTATCTATGAAGTAGTTAGGAAATCGAGAACGTCCAAAATGTAAATAAAAACTTCGCAAGAATAGACGGAGTGTTTCTCCTAGTCTATCCTCTGGCCACTTTGCGTAATTGTCTTCACATTGCCAAAATAAATGATTTTTTATATGACTTGCATCGATACCAATTTTAGACGTATCGTTCTCTATAAAGGCTTTATGTAAGGCAAGCGTAAATAGGTAACACCTCATGTGCGAATGGGCTAAACAGCTTTCTAAATATCGTTCTGCTGCTGGAAATGTCACTTTCCATTGTAATTTTTGATTGGGGTTTAATCCTCGCTTCGGGCGAAATCCCACTGGTACCAGAAAGCATCCGAAACCAATAGCCTTACCGACCATGTATTTAGTTGGCCATTGATAACAGAAGTTGGTTCGAGGATTCTGAATTATCTTTCTTTCTCGAATAATCCACTGATTTGCTGCATTTGGCCAAGCTGCTAAAAGTGCTGGGAATACTTCATAACTAATATTTGATCCGTTTCTATTGTTATCACAGTATATACTGGCTCCTTGTGTTAAAGCATCTTTTATTGCATCTTGAGGAAATCCCAAGCCAGACCCGATACCAACAATAAAATTGTCCACAAAATCATTCATAAACGCTATTGAGTTAAGATATTGATGTGTCTCGTAAAGAGTTTTTGTTAAAGATAATTTTGATGCTGTATCCGCTTCTTCGTCTTCTTCGTCATCACTCCAGTCAAAAGCCTTTTCACTGACAGTAATCCAACATTCATCTGGTAAGCCTCCAGAGGTTGGTGAATCTTTAGATTGTAAACTAAGTTGAATTTTCTTGGGTGTCGTTGATTCTGTAATAGTAGTATACCCATAATCGGATTCTGTTTCACTTGATTCTGTTTGACGACTTGAGTTTGATCGGTAACCAGACGTTTCAGTGTCTTCACCCATATTAATGTTTTCCATGCTATAATTTATTTCAATATTGCTGGTATTTTCAAGAGATGGATTCTTTAATATGGATTTTCTTGGCTTGGTCTGCGCATCAAAATTTTTAATTTTGTTATTGTTCTCACTTTCCTGAGTCTGATAAATACTAACACTTTTTCGAGCATTATTTTTGACATATCTTGAAAGATCCCCGGAAGGAGAAGCACTTCTATCTAAACTTTCTGATCTAAGTGGAGGTTCGTGGTCATTACCAAAATAAGGCGAAACATCAGAGGCAATTGACTCTTTTTCTGATTCAGTGTATATGCTGTCGTCTGAGTGTGAGTGACTTGTTTTTATGAGATCTGCTTCTTTAGATAGAGTACTCTCTAGTACCTCTAACTTTTTAAGTTTGACAAAGCCTGAAAAAATACCAGAAATTAATATATGTATTTAAATTCATATAACTGCCTTAATTTTAATCCTACTAAACTTACCCGGCTCTTTAGTGTCTTCGATACGTAGTTTATAAAATGGCGCATCTAGCACAGCACAATAATCAGAAGTGTCTCCGGGTTCACTGGCCTCTACATTATCGTATATGATAAACAACCTTGGTGCCGCTAGTGGTTGTAAAAGTTCTCTTCTTTTCTGGTAGCAGACGTATTCTTGCACACATTCAAGCAATCTATCAGCAAAAAATACGTGTTTGTGACATCTGACCATAGCCGCGTCCATTAAGTGTTGTCGTTCACTTATAGGATTATTTTTCAGCAACTGAACTTCCCTAAAAGTAAACATACCAAGATAAATCTATAAACCTCTAAACTTAAAGATGGCCAAACATTTAAAAAGCTAAAAAATTTAATCAAAGTATAGATTCATTATTATAATGACTTTTAAGAATTAAAGATAATAAGCGATTGATTTAAATGAGTTACTGTGATTTATAATAAAAAGAAATCACCGCTGATGATACGGATGATAATCATATCAAAGTAAGTATGTTCTTGAAACCTTATCGTCACAACCTTTATATCCGTTACTAATACCTATATCGGTCGGAATATTTCTTTAAATGAATAGACGTTTATTTTACAATTGTGCTATCTAAAGTGCTATTCTTGTCACACTTCAGTCAAAGCTTTAATAAATGAATTATTAGAAGAGCATTTATGTTAAACTGAATACTTTTGTAAGTAAGTTATATATTTTCTGTTTTATTAATTCAAACTACTTATTCGAACTTTAGAGACATTGAAATATAACAAAATGGTATTAATTACCCTAAGCTTATGGAATTGAGCATTTATCATTCAGAAATCAAATGACATCAAAATATGCCATCACAAAGCAAGAAGTACTTATTTCTAGCCTGAGGCGAGACAAGAGAGAGAATCGACTAGAGACAAGTGTTCACCAAGTATTATTTTGACACTAGAAAACAAATTATCGCTTTGCAAACCAGACACATTTCATATAAACCAGTTGTGTGAGTGTTGGATGTATCCTTTTTGTGCTTTATACGATAAACAGTCAAGTGACTTCGGGTTTTTCCACTATGTGCATTATTATATATAAAAATATTAGCATGTCTAAGACAGTATGGCGGAGACTGAACACCAAAACGATGGAAAATAGGTAACACGGCTGGATCCACTGACTCCTTTTTAGACTCGGAGGCTCCGTTATGCTCACTTAAATGTCATTATTGGTGATGGCGTCCATGCGTCGGGTTGTCTCTCCCTGCAATATGGCGAGAAGGCCGATGGCTGGACAGGCGTCATATTCGTGAACGGGTGCATCGGTGTATATACGGCTATGTATTAATTATTTTCCGCCTCGGTTCACCTTGATACTACATGTGTGCGTGTTGATGAGTAATGTAAGTGCATACTTCTCTTACACCGCGCCTTACGTGGTAAACGATCAGTGTTCTTATTTATTTATTAGCTTTTATTTACTTATCATAAGTGACTGCTTTTATATGTCATGAGGAGCATGATGTAATGGTTGCAAATATTTTGTAAACAATTGGCGATTTAAAAGTATGACGGAGAGTTTATTGCTACTTCTTCTCGTCTGTTTTATGCCTTTGATTGGAGAACTAGCAGAAAATGGAAATTTAGAACCATTATTATTTTCATATACTTACAAAATATATATAAAACTATAGTAAATCTTCTCAGAAAATGCAAAAAATCGTATGCAGTAACGCCCAGACCCGTCATACCCTTCCCTACTTCTCTATGAATCTTCTTTAAATTATAATTAGATGCCTATTTATTACTATTTTAAGATAACTTATATATACCTGAGTGACCTAAAAAAAATTTTTAGCCTTTAGATGGGCTAAAATTTTCGTATTTCATAGAGAAGTAGGGAAGGGTATGACGGGTCTGGGCGTTACTGCATACGATGTTTTGCATTTTCTGAGAAGATTTACTATGGTAATATATATATATTTTTTTACCATAGGAAAGTAGAGATTTCAACGAACTGAAAGCACACCAATTTTTTGAAAAAAGCTGAAATTTTGACGTCAGAATTTTCGATTGAAAATTAGGGTGTTTTTTCGATATTAATTCAAAATAAGGTGAAAAAATAAATATTTTTCATCAAATAAATTACAGTATATTTGGGACATAATAAGGTAAGTTTTCACCAAATTTCGTTTATAAAAATAAATTTTTGTAAAAGATAAAAATAAAAAACCAAAAACTTGGTTTTTTGAATTTTCACACCAATTTTGAGGTTATGTGAAAAATGTGTGAATACAAAAGTTTTAGATCTTTTTATTACCTACAACTTTGCCATTTAACTTTCTTCGATAGGACTTTTAGTTTTGCCGGAAATCGAGATAAACCGTTTTTTACCCTTAAAACTCACAAAATTCCTTCCACATAGATGTGTGTATAGATATACAATTAATCAAAGTTTTAAAAAGCTATACATATTTCTCAAATCACAGCTTGAATATCTTAATATTTTATATTTTAAACGTAATCTTGATTACATTTATTAATTCGATAAGAAGCACATCGACATAAGAATAATATTTGACTAGTAGATACACCAGTATGGGGTTACAAAAAGGTGTGGTCTTAATACTTTTTTCCAGTACATAGGAGGTATTATAGTGTACTAATGTGTGCGTAGACACATAAGTGAATTATCTAGTTTATAACACCAATGGTACGGATGTATGGACAGCAGTATCACGTAAACATCCCAGGACCGACAGCTTTATCTCTGAGGCGCAGTTAGGTGCCCATGGCGATACCACATCTTCGGGTATTTAAAGACAACCAACTTCCAAACTTAGAGCTACCTTTGAACCAGAACCTGATAATCTGTAGTCAAATATGCTGACTATGACTTAGTTAAATAGGATTTAAATTATATCTTGACTTTTCTATACCAAAACCACCTATAGAATAAATACGTTACTATGCTTACACTCACACTTAATGTTCCCTCCTTCCCTTCTTTCTAATTTCAGCACGGCGGACAAGCATTGCTCAAGAAAAACGACACGCACAAAGTTTTCTTTTGTGGCCCCTGGCGCCTATTATTATCAAGAACGATTGTTTCTTATAACAATGACGTTACACTCACCGTTCATAATTTTCGAAGAACTGCACAGACAAAAGGATGTTATTCAACAAAAACGCATCGGAGTCGTGATTCAATTGATATCGCATACGATCCAAAGCATCCTCGTCGTATGAACGAACTTGCGCAGGGGCAGAGAGCGGGGAACTCCCTAGCGAAGGGCCATTAAGCTCGGGCGCAGGGTTTAACGGTGGCTCTTTTGCGGCAACTCTTTTATTTATAGGATTTGCACATCTCTTCTTTTTTTTCTTCACTTTTGTGTTCCTTCCATCGGGCACGCTCAAAAAATTTGTCGGGTTCTTTCTGTGACTTCTTCGACTTAGAGTTTCCCATTTTTATAACTGTAGACACATTTGCACAATGAGAATGCACCTGTCGTGTACTTTCTTAACGATATCAAATAGAACTAATTGATAACCGTGTTTGCTTATACCATTCTATACGAAATCTTATCTATAATTGATAATTAATTTATTGATTTTCACTGATAGGATTGCGAATTGTGTGAAAACATAATGCAGGATTTGCCTATTTGATAGCACGTCATGCATAATACACGAGAATGTAAGTGCGTGCTCCTATTTCACCATGCCTCCTGCTGATAGAAGACAAATCTTTGTTTTTAATTTATTTTATTATTATTTATTACTTAAGATGTCATGTGGAACATTGTGTAATGGTTGCAGCTCCTTACAAACGTTGTGTAAAACAAAAAACTTAGCGATTAAAAAGAGTGGCGGAAAGTTTATTGCCAGTTCTTCTCTTCCGTTCTACGCCCTTGATTTGAGAACTGACAGTAAATGTAAAATTAGAAGCATTTAAAGTACATTTCTTTTTTGACGTTTATAAGTGTACATTGTGTTACCTATATGAATTAAATAATTTTTGACTTTGAATACAGGTTGGGAAATTATGCGTAATATACAAGTTTTAATTTTATATTTTTGCCTGGTTTCAAAAAGAAAGAATTACATTGAGTAGGACGACTTTTCTTAAACTTTTTCTACTCTCACGACTGTCAAACTCATTTAAATTATTACCCATAATTTGCAGATATCAGCAACTTTATTGACGACGTAATGTTTTGTTTATCCCGTTGTCTGTTTCTCTTATGCAGTGTTAATATTCATAATATTATAGAGGAATATGGGCGAACTTATTCATAGAGGGTATTATTATTATGCGTAAGTGAGCTTAAAGATTTTTTAACCTGAACAATGAATTATATACATATATATACGCAGCTCGCGTATATTAGACATTGAGGCGGACCTGGTACGGCTCCGCCAAACCGCTTGACCCCGTAGAAACGGACTACACATTGGCATTTTTTTCTATGTTACAGGAGGCAGACGTGCAGGAGGCTCACCTGATTTTAAGTGATACCGCCGCCGATATATTAATTTTTTCATTTATATGAGAGGGCCATGAGCTTTGTTAAAACGATTTGAGGTTCTGATGATGAGTTTAGGTTCCTAAATTCAATCGCATTTTTTCGTAACATTGTTTGGACACTTCGATACCAAAAAGTTTAACAAATAGTAACTTTTTTTAGAATCTCTTATTCTGTCATAGTTTGAGGCCTAAACGGTCCAATTAAGGCTCCGTCGCGAGGTTCCATACAAATGGAATGAACGAAATCTAATTACCGCTGCGATTAAGTGGAAACCTAAACGGGCTGGTTTATTCGACATCATGGTATGAATAAGCGATGAAGTTCAGATTTAGTTTGTCATTAGGCTCGCAATAAGAGCTCATTATAGGCCCCTTGGATAGATTGCTTGTCATCGATCACTTTGCAAATACCTATTTGTTTTAGTACTAGGTAAAAAAAACTTAATAATTTGGTAATACTCAGTTTTATTACTATTATACTTACAAACATCAACAAAATAAAAATTTATCTAAATACAATACAATATTTTGTAGTTAATGAGCTTTAAAACTCGTGAAGATTGTTAATTAATAATTTTTACATTTCAAATAGGTACTAATTATCACAAAAATTATATCTTAGGTCATTTAAGTAGGTACAGATAGATACATATATACAGATTAGTTATTTCCAATATTCTCAGGCTTAATTAAGATTTTACAAATATGTAAAGTAATAAAAATCATTATAATATACATATATAAAAAAATTATATGAACTATAATTTAGTGTAAAATTATAGTTCATACATAGCATATATATATGTGTATATTGCCAAACTTTTGTAATTTTTTATCTACACCGAGTGTCTTGTCGCACTGTGTGTTTTGTTCGTAAAAACGTTAAACGTTAAACTTTTATGAAAGAAATGTATATCACTAAAAGACTTTATTTACACGCTGATCAAACTTGGTTATAATATTGTGTATAATTTAAAATACTTAATACTATAAATAATCGACGCTGATATCCAACGCCATAATAAATCTTCAAAATGAGATTGTATAGATTTAATATAGGACCCATATATTACAAAAAAATCTCTTTTCAAGGGATTTCACGAAGGATTTCAGCAGGTGCAGGAGTTCTAGACGATTCCTCCATATTATCAGCTATTCTTATTACATCACCCTGCGGATTGGCACCCCTCTTCTGATTGCGTTTACGCTTCATCTGTCCAATTTTTCTATCGAGAATCCGCCTGAAATTAAATAGTTCAGCATTAGAAAAGTTTGCCAGATTTTAGAGCGTGTAGGAACTATAGTTTGTGAACATAAAACCTTACACATGTTCACAAAGATAAAATCTATGTAAATGATAAAACCCGGTTAAAGCATTCTAACACGGCTCGATTATCTTGGAAAATTCAAATAAAATTCCTATATTACAAAACACTACTTACTGCTGTCGGCAATCGATTAATATTCCTAGAACGAAAACGATAACAATAGCTATAACGATCAAAGCTGTTATGCCAAGTATTGTAGCCACCGTCAACGTAGGTACATCTTCCGCGATCATTGATATGCTGGGATCTGCTGTCGCCTCGGATAGTTCTGAAATATAGAAAGAGGGTTATATTTTGACTCAATTCAAATGTTTTAGTTGGCTCGACGTGTTTGGCCCAACCAAGGGTTGCGCCATCGTTTCTTTTTCTTGTGGTGGGGTATTAGAAACAAGACGGGACTTGCAGTTTGCCTAGTATCTACTTAAACCCTTGTGGGGGGGTGGAGGGCAATCCGTGCTCTTCAAGAACTCATTTCTTGCATTGTTGCACAGATCCCCGTTAACAAAGACGTTGCGCCTACTGAATGCTGTCTCCGACAATATCGGCATCAATATTTTGTGTCTTATGTATTTAATAATATTATGTATTATTTTTTCGACATAGTTTTAGATTTTGTTTTACAGTTACGATCCTTCTACCCCGAATGGCCCTGTGTGTAACAATTTATATAGGTTAAAGGTTTTTTGGAGTTGAGAATACAATTTACAGGTAGATATACCTGTTAATGAAATGGTCCGAGTCTGTCCTATTCAGATATTAACCAGTTTTTTTTAATATCGTGAGCGTCTTTTGATTTTACATACATATCTAGTATACGCTAAGTAAAAGAATAAGTCTAAATAGTACAATAATTATGATTAAACACGGTGCTTGACAAAAAAAGGAATATGCCAGTTATGTACTAGTACATTACCGTATTAAAACAATATGTGGTTAATTAATATTCAATAAACTAAAAACTACTTCATAGAAAGTAGGTAATGTACCTAGACATTATATAACTGAGCAATTCGTTATGAATTACGATATTTCGTCTCACTTGACTGAGGTTTAAACAAGGAAATTATTTATGTCTTTATTGATTTGAATTCTTTGCGCCCGTTTGTCTTATTACATGAAATTATAGTTTTACTATACTTGTGTGTATGTTCATAGGCATCCTATGGTTGCTTATTTGGTAATGCCATATAATAATTCCAGGTTATATGCCATTCCGAAATAATGTTTCGAGGTATGTATGGTTGGAACAAGTTCTCACAAATGATCAATGAATAAGACAAATATCTCTTCGGGTGGTTACGAGACTTTAAACAAGCCCATAAGAATCCCCCGTATGTCAAAAACTACTTTCATTTTGGCGTACTTCGCGCTGAGACTGTTACTCAATCCTACCATTCCCATCGCATTACGTTTTAAGACGTACCAACGTAACACAACCCACCAAAGTACCAACGTACCAACGTAAAAAAGGAAATAAATTCTTTATTATTACCAGTTTCTTACTAATTTACTTAGTATGCATTCGTCATACACCTGTGGAATGTATGGTGACTCATCTAGTAATGTTCTACTATCGTTTTGAATCCGTTTTATATTTCAAAATATAAATGATTTACCTAAACCCCAACTGCCATTGTTTTCGTCTTCCATTGTTTGAGTGGTGACTTCTTTTTAACTGAAAATGAAAGAAATAAGTTAACTTCCTATTATAGACTAGATGTTCTGTTTGTGTTTTGTGGCCATCCAGGAAAAAGCCTACAAACACATAAACATAACAAATATACATTCATAAATAAATTGGCACTATGTATTATCTAAGAATGCAAGGCATTATATAAATATATTTGTTTACTTTTTAGTGCATTTTGAAGTCGGTTCTAAAGGAGAAAAGTCTAAAAATATAATTCGACTATAATTTTAACATTTACAAAAGTTAAAAACTTCAAATAATGCGTTCATATACCAAGACAATATTTGCTGTTTAATGTTGGAAGCCACAACAGCTTGCTAATCTATATTAATTAAATTATCAAAATAATGATTTATTTATTTGGCCTAGTGTGCAGAATTTTCATGAACGCGGTCAGATACCACGATATGCAGTGCAAGAGTGATGCATCACTTTATATATGGACGTTCCTAGAATTAAAGATAATTATGAAACAGTTGCTAATAACGCTGCTATTTGAAGAACGCGTAAAATGATTGGTCGATTCTACGGCAATTTATTTCCAACACAGAAATATCTAAAACATAAGTTACTATTTGTATATTACTAGCGGGTCAGCAAACTTAGTACCGCCCAACAATCAATGAAAGTCGTGTTACAGTTTCGCTGAACTTAATTTATGATTTTATGAAAGGTATAAAGTGAATTAAAAATAAATATTAAGTTCACTACTGTCACCAAATTGCAATGCTCAACGTTACGTTATGTGCCTATATTGTTGTTTATTTAAGTAGCTTTCTGAACGTACGAACGTAAATATTTGACAACCAATATATACCAGTATATGTCAATCCTATATCATTACTGTCATTATTCTACACTTTTAAAATACGCCATTATACGATATATCTGGTCGATTCGAAACTTTTATTTAAATACATAATTTAATTTCAGCAGTGTTGGCCTAGTGTCTTCGGCGTGCGACTCTCATTCCTGAGGTCGTAGGTTCGATCACTGGCTGTGCACCACTGAACTTTTCTTTGTGCGCATTTAACATTCAACATGTAGCCAACCGGCTTGCCATAGACCCAAAAAGTCGACGGCGTGTGTCAGGCACAGGAGGCTGATCACCTATTTGCCTATTAGATTGACTGATCATGAAACCGATTCAGAAATCTGAGGCCCAGACCCAATCAGGGTGGTAGCGCCACTGATAAAAATTTAATTTTAAATAGCAGAGAGCAGAGTGGCAGAGTTTACCGTATCGACGGGATGAACATTAAACGTTTGACAGTTTCGAAACCAATGAACATTTTCTATTAGATTTTTTTTTCGCCAATTTTCCAATATTTATTCTGATATTTGACAGAGACAAATACAATAAATCAAAAACTATTTAAATCGGTCGAACAAACCCGACATTGTTTTATTTGTGGTATTTTATTTATATTAAGAATTACGGATTTTACAATGTTAATTACTGAATTACGTATAGACAAGCTGTGCCAGTGCTGTGATAACAATACGGCAAATCTACAATTTCTTTTAGATTGCGGCTGTCGGCATTTCAAAAATAATAAATAGATAAATGTTCTCATGGATTTTTTATCTTTATCTTTTAGTCTCTGTAACTCCTGTAGCGATTCTAACTTTAACATACTGCTCTACGACGTAGAATGTTGAACGCTGCTGTCAGCGTCCAAATTCTACGTAGACTATTGTCCAAAAAACGGAAGCGTTCGAGATCTGGGTTTATCGATGCTTAAAATAACTTGGACAGACCGCACACGAAATACAACCGTTCTGGACAGAATGCAGAAGAACAAAGAAGTGCTTATGACGGTTAAGAAAAGAAAACTTAAGTATTTCGAACACGTCTTACGTAACACCCAAAAATACGAGCTCCTTCAACTAATCAAAGTGGCAGGTAGAAGTAGACCTGCCTGGAGACGCACGTCTTGGTTGAAAAACCTTTGACAATGGTTTGGTCAAAGCACCAAGTCATTGTTTAGAACCGTGGCGTCCAAAATTAAAGTAGCCATGATGATCGCTAAACTTCGTTAAAGGAGATGGCACTATAAGAAGAAGAAGAATTCTTCTCTCTAACAAATTCCAAATTGCATATAAAATGATGATTTTATATTACAAAACATTTCCAAGAAAATCGATTAGATAATTAACAATTATTATTATAGTATGACGAAAATCATTAAGATTTAATGATAAGTGTATTTATTGTTCTGCATACAGTTGATTTTAAAAAACAATCAATAACTAAGCTGAAATTAATTACCTAATTTATACGATACGATGACAATTACTATCATGTTGAATATTTGCGGATACTTAAGTGATTTTTAAATCGTAAACCGTGTTTGTGGAATATAACACCATTGTCAACAATTCATTATTTTACTTAATAAAAAATTAAATAAAGAAAATGTCATGTAAAATAATAAAAATTTCATAATGAATAAGTACATGGAATAATAAAAATGTTTATTTGAAAGTCCGAGAACACAACTTTTTGAGTAATTTCAATAACAACATAAAAATAACATAATTAACAAAATACTTCATATAAATACTAAGATTATGTCTCCATGTTATTTATAAGCCATAAGGCCCTATCCCAGCACGAATTGCTGTGTCAGTGTCTCGGGGTGGACTGCGGGACGCAGTGGAGAGGTGGAGCACTGAGGCGCGCCGGCCCTTAATAACAATTAGTTATGTAAAACATTAAATGAATGTAATTTTATCAAAAACAAATTCTTAAATGGATTACTTGGCTTGCGATAAAATATTTCGTGTAAATTTCAAAATCATGTTCTATATACATTTTGAAAGTGTTTTTTCAAATTTTCATAAAATGAATTCAAAGTGTCAAAAATTGGCTATGTTTGTATTTTTTTTTCTACCAAGCGAAGTTATTTAAATCGTGTATCGATCTTTCAAAATGGATTCTCAACTCTACAATATACTTTTTCCATTCTCCCTACTTCAAGCAATGATGACGAAAAATGGAAAGAAACAATGTACTTTTTTGGAGTTGGGCGACCAGATCGGTCCTTAATGGTTCTATTTAAAATTCTAATTTCTTAAAAACTATTCGATCACGTTTATATTAACGACCATTAACGTACTGTACGTCTTAAATGTGCAATCTTTTCTACTGTGTCCTTATCATGTTCGTCAATTTACAAATAAATTATCGTGACCAAACATTATTTAATTAATGACTTTTTGGTGTCGGTTTTATTGTTGAACTTGTATTATGGCGCGTCTAAACGGGCCATGTTTTGCTGCAATTGATGGCTGCACTGTTGGCCACTAATTGCCCGGCCATTACAAAAATATTTTAATGCAGCTGATGGCCGAACAATCTATGGATACACTATGCCATAACAAAGAGAGTGACTGAAACAACAAGAGAACTGGCCGTGCAATATTGCAGTTGAATTCGATAGCCTAGCGATCGTCCGGCCAACTATCGGGGCAACATCGGCCATATGTGGCTATACAAAACATGTTTGGCTATATGGCCGGGACATTACTGCAATATTGCATGGTGTGGCTGCTATTGTTTGCAATGTTGCCGGCCACAGTGTTGCAGCCATCAATTGCAGCAAAACATGGCCCGTTTAGACGCGCCATTAGACATCCGAGTCCGTTACCATGGTTACGATGTTCAGTGTAACAACAACGATAACCAACTGAATAAACTATCAGGATATGAAATTCAAGATGGTGATCGAAAAATGATATTTGTTTAGTATTTCAACATAATACTTGAAACTTTATGAAATATAAAATATTTTTTGTCTATTTTACGAATGAAGGTCGCAATGAACCAGTAAAGGATTGTACTCTTTCAGGGCCAAGAGAAATCCAAGTGCTAATACAAAATAAAAACGTACAATGACGCAATATTGTTTTAATATTCATTTATCTTTTATGCTACTAAGCCTCATGGCTCTGTTTTTTGATAAAAAATATACTTACGCTATTTTTGCTTGTGTAGAAAAAAATCATTAGGTTGTTAGTTGTTTAGATTTTTAGATCTTCTTAAGAATTATTTATAAATCGACACAAATTAAATGCGTAATTTACCAAGTACAATTTTGGAAATAATTTCATCTATTGCAACACAATAATACATAAGGTCATTAGGGAATTTTATTTATATGTACCTACAGGTTAATTACCACATTGGAAATCTAACATTCCTAGAGACGTCGACAAACATATAGGTAATATAATTATAATAATATATTCTTCTTGAACTATTTTTTAATTACAGTTTGAACCAAGAAAGCCAATTAAGGTGCAATTTTGATGTTACACATATCTCTCATTATACGATTTATATATTGTTGTATCAAGTTTGTAAGGCAATAGGGCAGATTCAATGAATCAATTTGCAGATAAGGAGGTGTTTCAGCTTTCTATGCCGTGGAACACGAAACATAATTATGTCGCCGGAAGGACAGGACACCAGTTATACGCCATGTCTGTTACATAGGCACGTACTTGTTCGAGAAGGAAGTAATAAAACTCAGTCACAAATCTAATCTGTTGAATGAAGAATTTTTATAGTAACTGTTTGTACATGTATTTTGCATTTCCCCCGCTTTTCATAAAAACAATGTAATGAACTATGGAAGAGACTGGGGCCAGACATACATAGCGTTAGTATCGGCTCTGAATATCACACTTATTGTCTTAAATGTACGAAGACGACGTCGCGGGCATTTGTGCTATATGTTTTTGACACAAATTCTGGAGGCCAATACGAAGGTTGACGGCTTGAGGAAAATATTTTTCTCACAGCCTCGAAATGTTTAGCTTAATAATTACTATACACAGAAGCCACAAAATTGTTATATATATATATATTTCTATATCTATCTCTAACCGTGTCTGTGAATGCGAAAGTACTTTTATGAAACTGTATGTTTACATAAGATAAGAAATCCCCGAA